ATTTTCCTAGAGCGGTTTGGGTTGATCTGCAAAATTGATCTGAAAGGACAGAAGGTTCTCATACACTCTGTTGCCACAGAGGCACACCTTCCCCACTATCATCGCCCTGGCACCGTATTAGTGCATTTGTTCAACTGATGAGCCCACGCCGACACATCGCTACCCCCCAAAGTCCGTGGTTCACATTAAGGTTCACTGCGGTTTGGGGCGGTCTATGGTTCCGACAAATGTGTATCGCCATGCGTCTACCTTTTCAGTGTCACACAGAGTGTTTCACTGCCCTGAAAATCCTCTGTGCCGCACCGTTCGTCCCTCCTGCCCTCCCTGTCTTCTCCTGGGCTGATAGCTCATGGCCTTTCAGTGCATCCACTGTCTGGGTGTCCCATAGCTGGTCCATCCATCCACCTATGGAAGAGTATCTGCGTCGCTTCCAAGTTTTGGCAATTGTGACTAAAGCTGTTACAAGCATCTCTACGCACATAAGGTTTTGTTGGGCCTAAGTTTCCAGCTCCTCTGGGGAAAGACCAACCAGCATGATTTCTGGATGGAAGGGGAAGAGTGTGTTTAGTTTTTTAGGAAAGCGCCAAACTGTCTTCCAAAGTGGCTGCACCATTCCGCGCTCCCGCCAGCGAGGAGCGAGACTTCTACGGCTCCATGGCCTTGCCAGCGTTGGGCGTTGCCGGTGTTGTGGACTTCCACCGTTCTAATAGGTGTGTCGCCATCCCTCGTGGTTGTTTTCATTGGCATCTCCCCGATGACATATGATGTGGAGCGTCTTCCCAAGTGCTTATCTGTTATCTGGGTATCTTCTTTGCTGAAGTGTCTGTGAAGGTCTTTGGCCCATTTTTTTTTTAAAGTTTATTTATTTTGGGAGAGAGAGGGAATGAGCGTGTGCGAGTAGGGGAGGAGCAGAGAGAGAGAGGGAGACAGAGAATCTCAAGCAGGCAGCGCAGAGCTCGATGTGGGGCTCCATCCCACAAAGGGTGAGATCATGACCTGAGCCAAAACCAAGAGTCTGATGCTTAACCAGTTGAGCCACACGGGCGTCCTGGCCCATTTTTTTAATTGAGTTTTTGGTTTTGTTACAGTTGAACTTGAAGAGTTCTCTGTGTATCTTGGGTAACAGCCCTTTATCATGTGCCTACACTAGATCCATCAAGGTCGCAGTAGAAAACAGACAGGATGCTCGAGCTGGGACTTTAAGGAGGCCTTTTATACTCTAGAGACTGTGGACAGGATATGGGCAGAGTTGCACAAGACTGACAGGAGGCGGTGATAAGACCAGCACCAGCCAGAGGGGGGGCCAAGGCCAGCCTGGGTTGGGGGGAAAGGAGAGGGGACAGCGGCCTGAGCCCAGGGGTAGGAGGCGGGGCATCAGCCCCCACAGGTGTCCACCTCCTAACACCCAGAACCCGTAACTATGTCTGCCACATGACACGGCAAGGGGAAATGAAGGCTGCAGTGGAATCAGGCTTAAAATGGGGAGGCTGTTTTGGATCATCTCCAAACAACTACCTGAATAGTCGCCCCAGACCCCTCTTCTCCTGCTTTGCCACAGCAGAGCCTGAAGCATGCCTGCCGCCACTGCCTGCCACTGCGGTCTCTGTCCTTGCTGTGTGTGCCCAGGTGTGTCCAGTACAGTCACAGAAGAAGCGGGGGCAGAAGACAGGCAGGAAGGGCTACCTGGGAGGGGTGTGGCACGACTTCGCCGACTTTGAAAAGGACGAGACCACACGTCGATGACGCCGGCAGCCGGCAGAGGCTGGAAGGCAAGGAAACAGGGTCTGTCCGAGGGCTTCCAGAAGAAGTGCACCCTGCCAGCACCTTGACGTTAGCCCCGCCGGAGCCATGCTGGACTTCTCCTCTACTGAACCATAAGGTAATGAATCCGCATGGTCTGAAGCCACTAAGTTTGCTGTCATTCGTTACAGGAGACGTGGAAGACGGATGCACTTAGCTGGAGGAGATCCCCTTGCAGGATGGGGTTGGGGGGCCCAGGTGTCGGCCAGTTCATGGGAATCCAACAGGGAGGACGGACGGGAGAGGAACAAATACCTTCAACTCGCTCTACCCACTTTCTCACCGCCCACCACTGGCTGGACCCAAGTGGAGGCTGGAGAGCTCAGAGCAGAGTGGAGAAGAATGAAGATATAGAAAGGCATGAAGGGAAGATGTGTGTGTGTGTGTGTGTGTGTGTGTGTGTGTGCGCACATGCTCATGTGTACACGCACCTGCCTACCTGTCCCTCTGTCCCTGTCTCTCTCTGTCACTCACACACACACACACACACACACACACTCACTCACTCACTCACTCACACACACTCTGTTGTTGCCATGAAGGTAAACTCTGCTCCTCTGGGTCAGAAGATCCTACCATGACTCAATCCTGACTCAAAGGAACGAACTCTTTTTTTCAAGGTTCAAGTAGCAAATAATCTCTCCAGGTCATTGGTTGGCATCGGGACCAAAAGCTGCATGAAGATTGGAAGCTGTGTGAGCACCACGAAGTACCAAAACCAGGGGGTGTGGGGGCTTAAGCAACAGAAATTCAGTGTCTCACAGCTCTGGAGGCTGGAATTCCAAGATCAAGGTGCCCCTGATTTGGCCCCTGCTGAGAACTCTCTTCCTGGCTGGCAGACCGTTTCCTTCTCACCATGCCCTCAGAGGACAGAGAGAAAGGGGGCTCTCTGGCACCTCCTTGTAAAAGGACACTAATCCTGTGAGATCAGGACTCCACCCTTCTGACCTCATTTAACCCTAATTACTTCCTGACTCCTAATGCAGTCACACAAAGGCTTAGGGCTTCAGCATATGAATTGGGGGAAGGGGGATACAAAGCAGTCCCAGCAGAAGCCCTTTTGATGGTATCTTGTATGTAACAGACAAGAGCATCAGGAACCTGGGCACACAAAGCAAGCAAAGGGCCAGAAGACCTTGTTACAACTTTACATGATTGGTCAGACAGCCCCAAGCAGTATCTCTCCATCTCTGGCATCCCTGGGCTCAGAAGAGCTGCTTCTTCCGTAACTTCGATAACTTCCATCCCACCACACCTCGGGGAGCCCTCTAGCACTGAGTGGCCCTCAGTTATTTGCTGCATCACGAGAGGTGAAGTGATGTAGCCTGGTCTGTGGTTAAACAAGAGAGCCAAATTTTGATTCTAACGTAGACGGTGGAGCATATCAGGGATCAGAGCCTTCCAATACAGACTGAAACCAGTCTTAACGCAAGTGATGTTTTGTTTGTATTCAGAGGCAAAATTAGGTTCCACTGGGTATGAAAGAAGCAAGTTCTAGGCCCAGAGCACCCATACATAGATATACTCTCTGAAAAGGCTTTCGGGTTAGGGGAGTCCATGAATGAGATTTACAAACAGAGACATCAGGTGCCCTGGGTGACGACAGAAATTGTGAGCCCTTTATACTGGCCACAGGGGGGACCCATGGGGTGAATCGCCGGTGCTGATTCTTCCTCACTTCCACATTAACTGCATTTTGCAGTCCACCTCTGACTCGGCTGGAGAGGCCATAGAAGACACAGAGCCATGTCTCCTCTTTCTGCATGACAGAGGGCAGTTACCTAGGGCTGTCCTAAAAAGGCAACAATACCTCCTTCTCATCTTTAACACTCCTTCCTGGGGAAAACTCACTCCCACCGGTGCAAGTGAGAAACCAGAAACTGCCCCTTTTTTCTTTGAGCTTTCCTACCACGTAGGAGTTAAAGGTTTAACACTCACAAGTAAAAGCCTGGGGACTCCAGTCCTGGACTCCTATCTGCTCAGTGCTCTACCTCAAAGGAGTACTGGATTGATGGCTTGCCTGAGACATACAGCTAGTGAATGGCAGAGCTGAGACTCATATCCACGCCTCCTGATCCCAAGCATCTTGCCCTCCCCACTATTCTAGCCTAGACCTTGGGAGACTGAGTACTTGGAGAATTCTTCCAAAGGGGAGCAGTAACTTACCTTTTTCCAGATGCTACATGCCTTACTGAACGGCACGAAACCCAGTAAAGAATTAAAAAGTTATTAATACAGATTTCTTGCTCAAAGAAAAGCTGTATGAAACTCACATTTACAGAATCCTTGTAGACTGAATTGCATCCCCCCCCCCCATCTACTTGTTGAAGCCTTAGCCCACGCTCTGACCATATGATTATACAACTGGATAGAAGATTAAACTATCACTGAGCCATAAGAACTTTACCAAAGACAAAAACGTCAGGAGGCCTGGGTTTGGCTCCAGCAAGTATCCGGGGTTCTAAAGGCGAGCCAAGTAAGGGCCTTTTAAAGTTCTGGCATTTACAAGGGTTCATAAGGAGAGAGACTAACGAACGGGTTTGCAAACATGGTAACACACTTCTTTTCACTTCCGCCCTCTGCTCCATGGGAATGACATCCGAAAAGGCTGGGAAAGCCCGATACCCCAAGGATGCATCTAACAGTGACAGGGATCCCTGGAGGATGTTACTGCGGTGCTCAGATGGCCCTTTACCAAGAAGAGTAACAGCTGCCAAAGCTCCGGCAAGCCCTTGGCCGGCTGTCTCTGGAACTTCACACAGCAGCACAGCAAACGGGTGCAGGTGCGTGGTACTGGCAGGATGCCTATTTTTGCTACAGGTTCGGAGCCCTCACACAGATCGGCTCATTTAATCCTCACAGAGATTCTGCGATGTGGATCATATATTTTAAGTGCAGAAATGGGTTGAGGAAGGTTAAAAAAAAAAAAAAAAAAAAAAACTTGCCCAAAGTCACCCATCTGGTAAGTCAGGCCCAACCCTCCTGTATCCCCTTCCACCCAGCACGTGCTCCCCGGATTGCACTGAGCGGAGAATCGGGCTTACACTCGCTGTCCCGGTCTGGTCCGGTCCGGTGTTTGCTCAGGGACACCGCTGGCGGGGGCGGGTCCTCCCATGCTGGAGGTTTCCAGAAAGGAGGAGGCGCTGGCTCTCCTCTCCGGGCAGCTCGCCCAGTCTCGGTGCAGTGAGAGGCAGGGAGCGCTGGCCACGGGAGAGGAATGGAGAGCGGCAGCCCCAGCCCCGCGCGGAGCCTGGACGCCCGGCTGGGCGTGGACACGCGCCTCTGGGCCAAGGTGCTGTTCACCGCGCTCTACTCGCTCATCTTCGCGCTGGGCACGGCGGGCAATGCGCTGTCCGTGCGCGTGGTGCTGAAGGGGCGCCCGGGGCGCCTGCGCTACCACGTGCTCAGCCTGGCGCTGTCGGCGCTGCTGCTGTTGCTGGTCGGTGTGCCCATGGAGCTCTACAACTTCGTGTGGTCCCACTACCCCTGGGTGTTCGGCGACCTGGGCTGCCGCGCCTACTACTTCGTGCGCGAGCTGTGCACCTGCGCCACGGTGCTCGGCGTGGCCGGCCTGAGCGCCGAGCGCTGCCTGGCCGTGGGCCAGCCCCTGCGCGCCCGCCGCCTGCTGTCGCCGCGCCGCACCCGCCGCCTGCTGTCGCTCGTCTGGGCCGCCTCGCTCGGCCTCGCCCTGCCCATGGCAGTCATCATGGGGCAGAGGCATGAGCTCGAGAAGGCCGGCGGGGAGCCGGAGCCCGCTTCGCGCGTGTGCACCGCGCTGGTGAGCCGCGCCGCGCTCCAAGTCTTCATTCAGGTAAGAGGGAGGGAGGCTCGGGGGCCCGTGTTTCACTTCGAATCCTCTTGATCTCCGCATCAGTTTGGGTCTCGTGGCCCCATTGTACAGAGGACTTGGGGAGAGGCTTAGCATTAAGGGAAGCCCAGACTTGAATTCAAACCTTAATTCTAGGGGCGCCTGGGTGGCTTAGTCGGTTAAGCGTCCGACTTTCGCTCGGGTCATGATCTCGCGGTTCGTGGGTTCGAGCCCCGCGTCGGGCTCTGTGCTGACTGCCAGCTCAGAGCCTGGAGCCTGTTTCAGTCTGTGACTCCCTCTCTCTCTGACCCTCCCCTGCTCACGCCGTCTCTCTCTCTCTCTCCTAGAAATAAATAAAACATTAAAAAAAAAAACCAAACTTAATTCTGAAAGTCTACGCTCTTCCCAGTGTTGCAAGCGTGGGGACCAAGCAAACAGTGCCGGGTACACAAAGTACAGCCTAGGGAGGGGAGGGACTCTAAAAATATAGATTTCATAACCCACTCCAGCCTTCTATTTTTTTTTTAATCATCAAAACTAACCATCTTCAGCCCCATTACATCTCCAACTTCATGGGATTTTGTGGCAATATAAAAGAGAGGCCTGAATCTTCAATATTCATGAAGGATTTCGGAAGAAATACATATGTTATCTGTAGCCTTAACAAGAATTTGGAAAACTGTAAAGTTAAATCTGATGAGAGAACATTCCACTCGCTTCAGAAAGACGCTTACTGTGGTCACTATAGAGAATTACTCAGAACTGACAGGGTAGGGTCCCTCATTTTTAAAAAACCCTATATCAGACATTTTTGCAGGTTGTCCAATCTGGACCTGATGATAAAGGGAACAAAACCAAAAACACACCAGCAAGCACAACAGGAATGATTCTAATGGGAGTGACCATGTGCGGACTCCAGACAGCAGTGGGAAGGGGGGAACCCCACTGGCAATAGTGGGAGCTGCTCCTTCTGCATCAGGTGGACCACTGGTGACCTGAGAGCACATCAGTCCAGTCCACACACTGCCTGCCGCCATGGTGGCCCGAGCACATCACAGCCACAGAGCAGCGTGTGCAGGGCACCCGTCTACCCTTCAGCAGCCTCCACACAGGCTCTGAATTCCAGCGGAATGATCTAGCTGAATAGTCAGAGCACTGCAGCCCCTCCCTTAGGCTCCCCACCGCACCCCGTCGTGGCCGTGGCAATGAATGAGCAACTACATGCTCAAAAGGCCGGGTAGCCAAGCTCCACCAATTTTCACAGACTACGGCGGCAGCTTCCAGGCTGAACCTACTTTGGAACTGGGCTTAGGGGGAAAGCACCAGGCATGGTCTGTGTTGTGAATGCGCCGCTTGCATAGCTTACTTGATGTGCTGCGGACAGACCAAGGCAGGAGAAACTGTGAAATCTGCCAGGAGCAAGCTTTTGACATTCCACTGGTGAACGCCTTCGGCCTAACAGCCTTATTCAACAAATGCTATATTTAAAATTGTTTCACTTGAAATACTCCTGGAAAAGCTGTACAGTTTTTTGTACTCTCGAAAACTACAAGGAAATCCAGTCTATGTTAGCACAACAAAATAACCAAACTCAAATTAGGATTATTTCAGTCCACCTTCCTTTTTAAGTGTCTTCTCATTCACTGTCCATATTAATCGGGGTTGACCAAGAAAATCTCTCATAGTTTGCAAAAGTACAAAAAACTGTACAGCTTTTCCAGAAATATTTCAAAACTCCCAAAGATGAATAACTAATGTATGACTATTTTTTACCTCCCACTTTTGTCTTGTCTGGTATCAAAGTTATAATGTGATAATAAGTATGATGCTGTTGGCAAAGTGCTGCTCGGTTCTACAAGAAACACCAATGGTTGTCACATAGGGTTTTATTTGTCTCTTGGTTCTGGTTTGTGAGCGTGAATTAAGAAAAAAGCATGAGTGCTGACTCCTTAAAGAGGGTACAGCACCCAAGCCAGATATTTTGTACTGATTTTAAAGCGCTATTAAAATGTCCAGGTTTTGGGGCGCCTGGGTGGCTTAGTCGGTTAAGCGTCCGACTTTCGCTTGGGTCATGATCTCGCGGTTCGTGGGTTCAAGCCCCACATCGGGCTCTGTGCTGACTGCCAGCTCAGAGCCTGGAGCCTGTTTCAGAGTCTGTGACTCCCTCTCTCTCTGACACTCCCCCTGCTCACGCTGTCTCTCTCTCTCTCCTAGAAATAAATAAAAAAACATTAAAAAATAAATAAATAAATAAATAAATAAAATGTCCAGGTTTTTTTTTAAATGCTTACACAGAACCAATGAGGAAAAACTCTGTAATACATATACTTCATAGATATATTTCCTTTTTTTTTTTAAGTTTATTTTGAGAGAGAGAGAGAGAACCAGCAACAAAGGGAGAGAGAGAGAGGAAGGACAGAGGACCTGAAGCAGGCTCTGCGCTGACAGCACAGAGCCTGATGTGGGGCTCAAACTCACAAACCATGAGATCATGACTTGAGCCAAAGTTAGATGCTTAACTGACTGAGCCACCCAGGCACCCTATACTACAAATACTTTGAATTTTAAAGATTAAACATTAAAAACACAGGGTATTATATAGTAAACTTGTTTATCATAAGTCAAAAATTACCAAATAAAAATACAAGCCTTGTTGCGTGAAACAGCTGTCCCCTTACGGCCCCTTCACATGTTGGTTTATATTCTCTTGTTGAAGGGCAGCTGCTGTCCACCTTTACCTCCTGTGCTCCTCGCCTACACATTTCTAAAGAATGCGCCTGCTTGATTTCACAGTTTCCACATTTTATCCAGTGTCTTCTAACTGGAGAAAGGAAAAGAGCCTTCCGCTCTCCTACTTTCCCATCCTTACGCTCCACGTCACGCACCTGTATGCACTTCTCCCCGCTCCTCCAGCGTTAATTCCGTCCGGGTATAAAGTCAGTCTTCTGCTCTGTACTTACATACTGTGACATTAACACATTCTTCGCAGATGAACCACGTCAAACATTTTTATTGTAGTTCCTTTCCGATATTACATTTGCTTTCTTGCTGTTACTAATGGGTCTTTTTAGGGGCACCTGGCTGGCTCGGTCGGTTAAGCATCCGACTCTTGATTTCGGCTCAGGTTATGATCTCGTGGTCGTGGGATTGAGCCCCGCGTCGGGCTCTGCGCAGAGTGTGGAGCCTGCTTGGGATTCTCTCTCCCTCTCCCCCGGCCCCTCCCCTGCTCACTCTCTTTTTTTTTTTTTTACAAAATAAATAAATAGCATTTAAATAATAGTAATAATGGGTTTTTAATTTGCTTAGTTTCCTGGGCATCTATTTCTCATGCATTTTCAACCTATCTACCAAAAGGAGAGGTACTATTTCAGTATATTCAGACCCATCCAGTCAACCACCAGTTTTATCTCCCAGTCGCCCCCTGGAGCCCTCTCTTCCACTCCAGGGTCACCGGATACACAGCCCGCATCTTACATCACTCTGCTCTTGCACCAGACGCCCTCTTAGTGGAGCCCAGGTCTCCCCCTTTATTGATTTACAGCCTTACTTTGACGGAACTTCTGCTCCTGTAACCTCCAGTCACCTGAGAGAAGGCCCATGGAAGGTGAAAAATGAAGAATTTCCATGTCTGGAAATGTCCCGGATTATCCTCACATTTGCTGTAGGACGGCCGGGCATGGAATTCTAGCTGGAAACCACGCCCCCCTTCAAACTGTAAAGCATCACTCCACTATATTCCAGCTTCCACTGCTGCCTTAAAGAGATCGAATGCCATTCTGGTCCCCACCCTTTGTTAGGTGCCCTGTTTTAACCTTCTGGTGGCTTTCCAGGTCTTGTTTATCCACAGCATGCTAGAAGTCCTAAGGACGGGCCTTGATGGGGGCTTATTTTCATCCATTGTTCTGGGCCCCCAGGCAGCCTTTCAGTCTGGAAGCTTAGATCCCTCGCTTTTGGAAAATCTTTCTTCAAAGTGGTGTGTTTTTAAAAAATGATTTCCTCCCTTCTGTTTTCTCTGTTTTCCCTCTAGAGCCACTATTATTTAGATGATACGTGTCCTAAACTAATCCCAAATGTTCTTGTTCCTCTATTTGTACTGCTCTCTCTCTCTCTCTCTCTCTCTTTCTCCCTCTCTCTCCCTCTCTCATCTTTTGAGAATTTTCTCAACTCCATCTTGTAACCCTGCTGTCACCCCCTGGTGCTGCTGCAGATTCCCGGCTGGACCTTGGGCACAGCCCGAGGACCACAGCATCACAAGCCTTGCAGCCGCCCTAAACCTTGAAATTCCCTTTACAGGTGAACGTGCTGGTGTCTTTCGTGCTGCCCTTGGCATTAACTGCCTTCCTGAACGGGGTCACTGTGAACCACCTGGTGGCCCTCAGCTCCCAGGTGCCGCCCACTTCTGCCCCCGGCAGCCCCGTCCCCAACCACATGGAGCTAATGATCGAGGAGAGGAGGGCGCTTCCCCAGGAAGGCCACGCTGGCCTCGTGAGACATAAGGACTCCAGCCGGCTCCGCGGCCTCCAGCACAGCGTCCAGGTTCTCAGTTAAGTACTTGGTAACACTGCCCGGAGAGGAAGGGATGGGGCTCCAGGCTGCCTCGGCCAATCCCTGGGCAAGTGGCCTTGAGCAAGTTACTATCTGTCTCCAAGCCTCATTTTTCTCTATGCCCCAGGGGAATCATGTGATCGCCAAAAGGCTTCTATAAGGTTTGGTGGTATGATGACAGGGTAGGATGGGAATTCCATACACGAAACCCACACCTGCTCCGGAAAATAATACATAAAGACAAGTGAATCCCTGGTCACTTTTCAGGGGGTCTGGTCTGTGGATAGATACAAGGAGCAACTGTAGTTAGGGACTTGTAGCTCCAGCATTGAGGACTCAGGCCGGCTGGGTCCCCCACCCCGTTCTCCACCAACTCCCCACTTTTCCTGAGGCAGCATTGATTGTTGGTTTTCCTAAGTATCTGGGTAAACTTGGCCTTGTAGGGGAACCATTAAGAGGCACAGGAAAGCAGAGGACTCTCCACAAACACCTGCCATAATGCAGGCACTCACTAAGGTCTGGCAAGATTGAATAAGAGATCACGTCTCTGCTCTTGTCAACGGCACAGTGTTGGATGTGGGACAGAAATGTAAGAGCTAAATGTCATGTGATGTGCCAGGAACGGAGGCAGCATGTGACGGTGCCTGCACTTTCTTCCAGAGACAACAGGTAGTCATTGAGAGTCAATGCCCAAGAATGCAGGGTGATTTGCTTTTGAGACGTTTTACCCAGCGATCTTTGGAGTGTGGGCTCTCCAGTGCTTCTTAAACTTCTGTGTGCTTAAGAACACTGTGAACGTAGGGGAAGGGAAGGAAAAAAAGAAAAAATAAAAAGAGAGGGAGGGAGGCAAACCATAAGACAAATACAGAGAACAAACTGAGGGTTGCTGGAGGGGAGGTAGGTGGGGGGGATGGGCTAGATGGGGGATGGGCATTAAGGAGGACACTTGTTGGGATGAGCACTGGGGGTATATGTAAGTGATGAATCACTAAATTCTACTCTTGAAACCATTACTACACTGTATGTTAACGTGGATTAAATTTTTTTTTTAAGTGAGCAAAAACAAAAACAAAAAACAGTGTGGAGAGCTGTAAAACACAGGCTGCTCGGCCCCAATCTGGAGACTCTTATTTGGTTGCTCAGGGTAGGCCCGAGACTCTGCATTTCTACCTCCCAGATAATGTCGATGACCTGGTCCAGAGGCCACACGGACTACAGAATGGATTTGGCAGTCACGGCAGGTGTAGATGGAGGAGGGATGGGGTAGACAGTTAGAGACAAAGGGCCGACTGTGAGACTGCCATCACCGCCCAGCGGAGGGGAGATATGAGCCCCCAGGGAGGGCAGTAGAGGTGAGGACAGAGGACGCAAGAGTTGCTAAGGGAGAGGTTTTTAATAGATTGGCTCTAGGGGGTCATGGAAAAATAAACAGACTCTCTGGCTTATGACTTAAGAGCGAGATGGATGGTGAGGCCATCAGCCCATCAGAAAAAGCAAGAGAAGAGGCTCTATGAGGCAGAAGAACATTTAAGTTCAATTATCTTTGCAGTTAGACAATCAGGTGGGAAGAGCCCTGAGTTGAGAACATAGTCTAGTGGCCAGGAGGAGGTTACAGAGGTTGTAGAAGTTTCTAGAAGCTTGTCAGTGTACTGGTGGGAGTTAAAGCAAATATTCACCCAGACATCAGGGTAACCTCGGGTTTGGCTACAGATCCAGAGAGGACTGTGTCAGCCTCAAAGTTCCCTTCTGACCCTTGGACTCCAGGAACAAGATCCAGGGAGATGCCCTCGTCAGCCTGGCATCTTCCTCCCTGGAGACTGAGCGTAACTGAGTGTGTTTGCTCTCGGTCGCTCTGCCCCTCCCCCACTGTTCTGCAGGAGCCATCGTGGCCGTCTATGTCGTCTGCTGGATGCCGTACCACGCCCGCAGGCTCATGTACTGCTACGTCTCCGATGACGGGTGGACTGAGTAGGTGTGGCCGAGGGGCCCCAGCTCGTAGGAAATGGCCACTGGGCTGGGCCTGGGACTTTCTATGCTTCCCACAGGGATTCCCAGTTGCTGGGTCCTCTAGAATTCTGGCCTCCACTCTAGCTGGTCCTGGCCAGTGTGTGCCCTCAAATTCTCGGAGCTGGTGGGAGTAGGGGGTAGAGAACAGGGCATTACCTATTATCTAGCCATCTCAAAGCCATGTGAGTGAGAGATCTCAGTGGTGATCAGGGCTACGGGCATCCTGACCACAGGATGGAGCGGCCCACAGGCTGGGGGCGGCGGGGGGGTGTATGCTATCGCAAGGAGAGGGGTGGGAGCCTCAGGGCCATGAGCCGAGGAGCTAACAAAGGCCCCTTGGGCAGAGACCAGACCACGTATGCCCTTTGTGACACAGCTGGGAAAGGGAGAGACTCCACTGTCTTCCTTGGGGAATTGACCATGTGCCTGGTCCTAAGAGGAAGGCAAACATTCAAGAGAGGCCCACGTAGCCTCCAAGGAAACAGCCGTGTCAGCGGATGCCTCTTCCCGAGCTCTCCTTGCACCCCTCGCATACACATGCACCTGCCAGGCCCTTCCCGCTACAGAGAACCCCTGTGGCGAGGAACATGGCTTCACTTAGTGAAGCCACATCTCGCAGACCACACCCAGCTACGTGAGGCTCCCGGTGTTTCAGTGGGCAAGACAGAGGCCCCCGTCCGTGAGCAGGTGCACTTTTCACTGCGCAGGGGCCTGGGAACAGCATGGGAGGGACTCGGGCGCTGGGTGGAGGGCCTCCGCCAAAGGCAGCAGGTGTGGATGTTTCCTGAACGTTTACTGAATTCACACTGTGCTTCCCGAGGGTGGAAAACGGGCGCTCCTCACCCAGCCCTTTGGGAGGAGAGGCTTAGTCTCCAGGGCAAAGGGGTGGACGCCGTGAGGAAGCACAGGTTGTCTAACCTGGGTTTCTCTTCCAGAACACTCTATAGCTTCTATCACTACTTCTACCTGGTGACAAACACGCTCGTCTACGTCAGTTCAGCGGTGACCCCTGTCCTGTACAACGCTGTGTCCTCCTCCTTCAGAAAGCTTTTTCTGGAAGCCCTAGGCTCCCTGTGTCGGGAACGTCGCGCCATGAAACCGTGGCCCCCGGGAAGCCCCGGGGTCCCGCCCGAATGGACACGGCTACAGGCTCTTAGACATCCCTCCGACACCCCGAGCTTGATGAAAGAGGAGAATGAGCAAAGCAGACAATGACCGAGTGCTGTCGCCTAGCTGTCAGACGAGCAATTTGCTCACGATTAATTCAAGCTCCGCAGTCAGATGCACTCACCGGACCCCCAGCTCCGCCACCTCCCAGCTGTGTGACCGCCGGCCAGTTGCTCACATGCTGAGCCTCGGTCTTCTCATCTGTGCGATGGAGATGAACAGCACTCAGCTCTTAGAGGCGTTCAGAGATTAAAGCGTTTAGCGCAATGCCTGCTGCATAATAAAAAGTCCATTTTTGCTGGCATTGTTGTTGTTGTTACCGTGCACCGCATTCTCCTGTAGTTTATGCTCAAAGGCTGTGGGCTCAGATTCCTAAGAACTTCCACAAATGAGAGTGCTCCCAGAGTTACCTGCCTTGTCACATGACTGCAGCAGCACTTTCCAGTCTCGCCCAGCCAGGAGCAGCTGTTTGCACCAGTACCAGGGCTCCGGAAGCTGTGGGGGGCAGGGAAAACCAGCTCCCTTCTCCTGGCCTCTGCCGAGGTGGGGCAGCCAGGGCGGCCCATCGGAGGACAGATGTGTGACCAGACTGCATGTGGCAGGGTCCTGAAATGCTACTTCTGGGGGCACCTGGTGGGCTCAGTGGGGTAAGCCTCCGACTTCAGCTCAGCTCACGGTCTCACGGCTCATGAGCGCGAGCCCTGCGTCAGACTCTGCACTGACAGCTCAGCGCCTGGAGCCTGCTTCAGATTCTGTGTCTACTTCTGCTCTTCCCCTTCTAGCACTCTCTCTCTCTCTCTCTCAAAAACAAATTAAAAAAAAAAGTGAAATGCAATTTCTGGAATACTAGTAACACTCTCATTACCACTGCTATCTTATACGTGGGAAGCAAAAGCAAAGAGAAGAAAGGTACTTCTCCCACTACCTGGTAATGCGGGGACTGAACCCCAGGCGTGGGACGGGGCCGCTGACACTCACCAGAGTCCCTCGCTGCTTCCCGAGAGCCTGATGAACCAAAGGGGAACAGAAACTAAAGGCTCAACGTTCAAGAACTGAGTGAATCATGATAATCCACTTGGTCCACCCAAATCCTATTTGTTAGGCCACCATTAAACAAGAAGTATAAATCTTATTTAGTGGCATAAACATACCGTGGTTATACTATTCAAAAGAGAACGCGATACAAAACTGCCCTATGATGTTATGTAGAAATCGTTCTGATACATAGAAAGGGTCTGGAATGAAGCACATGGTGAACACGGTGGGTGTGCCAAGGAGGCATGAGTGACCAAAGGACGGGGGTGGTTTTTGTTACTTTCATGCCAGGATCTGAGCATAAAGATGCCTGGCGTGCAGTAGACGCTCGGATGTTCCGTGAAAAGGAGGGTGAAACTGGTTTGTTGTTTTCTAATCTGTTGGTAACATATCGTTTGTACGATATCTAAATAAATCTCAAACTGAAACTAAGGTCCCCTAGTGTCCTGTGGGCGGCACTGCCATTGGCTGCAGGGCCTGGAGCCTGGGGGTGGATCCTACCTCTGTCACTGATTAGCTGTGGGACTTAAGCAAGTTCCTTCACCTGCTCGGACGTCACGTCACATCTGTGAAATAGACATCGTAACCACTCTCCCCTGGGTTTTAAGAATTAAATGGCATCAAAAGTATGGGTAAGAAATGCTTGAAAGCATAGTATCTAAGCACCCAAAAGGCTCAGTTAGTAGTGGCTTTCATCGACACGAAGGAAGCTCTTGGTATCCAAATGCAAATTCCCTTTCTAATTCTGTATTTAAACAGCTTATGCTCTATTTGTGTGGTTGGCTGACTGTTGGCTTGGCTAAGATCAGGAGACCCCAAAAGTGTTCATCAGACTTAGTTCTACAGCCGTGACTCCATCGTGCCAGAATTTTAGGAAGCTTCCGCCAAACCCTGAAAGATGACGGATGCATTGCGCGCCTGTACGATTTCCTAGGACTGCAAGGCGTGTGGCTTAAAACAACAGAAATCTATTCTCTCACGGAGCTACAAATTCAAAATCAAGGTGTCAGCAGGGCCATGCTCCCCAAAGGCCCAAGGAAAGAATCCTGCCTTGCCTCTTCCAGTGTCTGGTGGTCTGCCAGTCATCCCTGCTTTGCAAGCTCATCATTCCAGTCTCTGTGTTGGTGCTCACATTGACAGTCTTCCTCTGTCACTCTTTTCTTAAGACACCGGCCATAGTTGGTTAGGACTCCCTTTGATTCCCGTGTGACTTAGTCTCAACTAATTACATCGGCCCCAAGTCTATTTCCAAATAAGATCACATTCTTAAGCATCAGGGGTTAGGACTTCGATATATTTTGGGGGGGGTGCGATTCAACTGAAAACTTCAACCAAACCCACAAACCCACCCATAGGAGGGTGGATTGCCATCTCTGGGGCAAAATGCTCTTATAGAGTGAGAACCAGAGTGAGAGTGGCCAGAGGTCCTGAGAGAGAAAAATTCGCGCTCATCAGAGTTAAAGAAAGGCAAAGGGAAACTGGGACAGCATATTCAGAGAATGACAAATGTGGTCACGGATTCTTGTTTTTTCAAGGGTTTTAAAACTCTGCACTGGCTTTCCAACTGTTTTGTTAATTAAAATGCTAATTCCTTCTGAGCTGGGAAGTCTGCCTAAGCAAGAAGACTAAAAAAAGAAAGCCATCGACATTGGACGCGCCCTTGGTTCATCGTCTTCCCTGAAAGAGCCGTCTGCAGACTCTGAAGCCAGATCTGGAAGGTTTAATGCAAATTCCGTTATTAAAAGGGTTTCTAAACATTAATGCTGGGATTGCCCAGACTCGGGATGATACATATGTAATATATTCTATTCGGTATATGCTGGCATCCAATGCTACCTCCCACAGGCAACCCAGCACTTCTGCCAAAGAGAGCATTTTGGATCCATACTTTTATCATACACGGAGCCTTAGGAGCCAACAGTGCCCCCTAATGGATGACGTAAGTTTGGGGGACGTAAATTGCTCAAGACAGAAAGCAGCTGCGATGTTAGTGAGACCTATCCTTACACCTGCAAGCACAAATCTAGCTTTGTTCTGTCACTTGATAGTTGTGTGACTTTGGGCAAGTCATTCAACCTCTCTGAGCCATAGTTTTTTCAGCTGTAAGATGACAGCTACTTCAGAGTGTTGTTGATTAAATAATAATTAGTGACCTTAGTTAAATGCCTGGCACATAGCAGGTGCTCAGAAATGTTTGCTACTCACTACTGCTCATTTCATAGCTAACACATTCTCCAGGAACTAAGTGACCTGGCAAAAGAAGCAAGACGCAAGACCAACTCTTCTGGTGTCAAATGCCACACCCTCTCTACTGCCACATTCTGCCAGGAGAACTCAGACATCCATAAGAATGTTGCTTTTGCAGCCTGATTTCTCTTCCTTTATTGCAAGAGTTCTTAAGTTGCGGTAAGTATTCAGGAAAACAGAGCCACAGTTTGAGGGTGACTGCTATTCTTGGCCTTGAAGAAGCACAGATTTCTGTGTTTTCCAGTGCTCTGGGATGGTTATTTATTGTGGCAAAATACCCGTAAAAGGTACCATGAGTGTCATTTAGCACATTCACGGTGTAATGTAACCATCACCTCTGTCTGGTTGCAAAACATTTCCTGGAATTTCTATTCCACAAGAATTCTCTCCTCTTCAGAGGTTAATGACTTTCTATCAAACATGTCACAGTGTCAGTCGACTTTCATTTCTATTGGTCTTCTATTTCCAGAGAGGTGTCCTAGTCTCCACTGATGGTTATGCAATGAGCCCACTATTACCCTATTTGTTTCTTATTTCTAACTGCTCTGGTCTTCTAAGATTTCACAGCAGTGCTGGCTAGAGCCACAAAGTCTTGTGACCATTCTCATCCCTTTGGGTTTAACTTTGAAGTATCTCTTCACCCATTTAATTTTTTAAATTTTGAATCCCTGTCTGATTAGCCTTCGTACCCCAATCTGAGAGCCTCAATCTGCTGCCTTATTAGGCGAATTTAATCCATTTATGTTTATTTTGATCAGGGATACGTTTTTTAATTTAAAAACTTTTAATGTTTATTTTTTGAGAGACACACAGAGTGCAAGCAGGAGGGGCAGACACAGAATCTGAAGCAGGCTCCAGGCTCTGAGCTGTCAGCACAGAATCCAACATAGGGCTCGAACCCACGAACTGTGAGATCATGACGTGAGCCAAAGTTAAAGGCTTACCCGACTGAGCCACCCAGGTGCCCCTGATCAGGGATATGTTTGAATGTCTTTCTGCCATCGACTTTATTTCCCAAGCTTCTGCTAATTTCTCCCCTCCCTAGTCTGTTCTTCCCTTATACCGCATACATCGTCTTCTTCGGTACTGCTTTTCCCTTTAATGTTTAGATGTTGGACATTCTGTTTCATTTCTTCCAGTGATTCCTGGCTTTTAAATGTATATCTAAATGTTCCTTTTCTGGTAACATGTTAACCACTCCTGCCCCATTAAATCAAGAATTTTCAGTCAACGTCACTCCTTATTCTCTCGGTTCCTCCATCCCCAGCCACTCCCACCCCCAGCTCCCATGTTGGAAGCATCTAAAAGAGAAAGGAGTCAGTCAATGGGCATTTCGCAAGCACTACCATTTGCTAGGCATATTCAAGTCTCCAAGAACACAGCAGTGAATGTGTCTGATGAAGGTCCTACTCTCATGGGGAAAGACATAGAAAACACTAAACAAAATGTACTTTATTGGGGAGGACCTCACTGAAGTGACCTTTGAGGGATCCGAGCGATGTGAAGGGCAGAAGCATTCCAGGCACAGGAAGCAACGGGCCTCAGGTGGGCACGTGGCTGGCAGTGGCCAAGATGAGCCAGGAGGGCCAGGTGGCTGACATGCGGTAAGGGGAGCAGCCAAGCGTCCGCACAGACCGCCAGTGTTCCTGTTTGCTGCCATCCTGGAGGCCTCCCCAGCTGTACCGCCCAGCGAGTTCACTCTTGAGCTCGTCTGGCTATTCACCCACCTACCGAGGTCTCCGTTTTCATTTCCAAGATCAGCAATCCATCCTTTTTTGTTCCGGATACCGTATCATCCTACTTTTCTCTGATTTTGATTACGCTTGTCTTATAATTAACCTCTCTATCAATGTTATCACCTGTCACTGTATAATGTTAGCTACTTTCTTATGAATCTTAGTTGTTTGTTCATTTCCGTACTGTTTGCTTTCTTCGTTTACTATAAACTGCCCCGTATAACTGTGAGGGAGAGACAGGACAATGCCGTGGAGACGGGGTGCCAATAGCTGGTCTCCACAAAAGTCTGGACCCCCTCCCATGCCCCCTCCTTGAGGCTCCCCTGCACTCTGCGTCAGCTTAGCAGCAGCCGCCTGCCTAGCCCAGGTGGGCAGCATCTGGGAGTGTTGCAGAAGAGTTGGAAGGAATCGAAGAGCCAAGCTGCCCCAAACTATGATCCCTGTGACAAATGCCACAGGCCCCCTTCTACCGTTCTTAGCCACCGTGAACCACAGAGCACCCCTGACGCCATCTTCCTGGGCATCACGTTTCTCTGCATGGTCTCAGCTGTGCCTTCCTTCATCACCGTTCTTCTCTACACCTCAGTTCCTCTTTCAGGGGTTCCTCCATGGCTTAATACACGTTTACACTTATGGATTTATTATTTCCTTTCCGAAACCATCTTTTCTGTCACATCATGAGATTTTAAGCAGGGAGCCCCTGGGGATCACTGGTCACGCTACTCCCTCTCAAAACAAACAAACAAACAAACAAAAACTGCAATTAACACCCACCAAAGAAACCATGAGTGCATCACAGGTTTTATTTATAAGTCTCAAACAAACAAGAATCTTCGTTTAGTTTCTTCCAAGTTTAAATTAACTAACAAAATGGGAAGCCTGGCACACAAGCTACTATTTACAAAAGACAAACACAACTGAAGAAGGTACGTTTTTATTCCGAGATAGGAATAATGGCATATACAAAGGGGTCGTTTCATAAATCTTGAACTAATCTTTTATACTCACGGGCTGCTTCAATTAGGGAGGGAAAAAAAAGATTAAATTCTTAGGTATCATCTTCTAACATAATTTCTTCTTGGACTGTTACCCATGAGAATGCTCAGAAGGGTCTCCGGTGGGTGTGTAGGAAGATGGATGGATGTGGTGCGTTTCTGAAGATCTTCAAACCCTTCCTTTAGTTAGGGGCCGCTCCAGAAGCACCGTGGCCTGGGGCAAGGCAGACCCTGGCCCAGGATCCAGGAGTCGACTTGTCCATCCTTCTGCTTCCATCCTGTGAGGTGGCCTCGGTGACCTTGGTGAGATGAAGCTTCCCTGCATCTGAACCTTCTCGTCCTCCAAGTGGAAGATGACAGCACCCACCCAGGCTGTTGGAAGGACTAAGCAAGATCAGAACTGCGAAAGCACCTAGTCGGATGCCTGGCCCACGGGTGGCGCTCGAACATGCAGGTAAATGGAAGGGGGAGCATCATGGAACATTCCGGCTGTCTTCTCTGCTGTGTCCTCATCCACTCTGATCGGGGCCAAGTGCTTGTACGAGAAAACAAGCTACTTAAGGAGCCGAAAACTGAGCTTCAATAAATTATAGTCAAAAGTCTAATTCTTAGCAACTATTTCATGTCCCTTTGGTGGTTTTCATTGTTTCAAAGCAAGCAATTTGGTCCTCTTTCCTTTGTAAGGCAAAGTCTGTCTCTTCAGGTTGTCCTCTGCAACCCTAATCTCCTTCCTGAAACCCTTTTGGCTTTAAAGAAAGTTTCTTTTCACTTTTGCCCTTTCTAAGAGGTAGGGCATTGACCCTATACTATTTAATTTTCCTAGAATCGTACTTGCTGCGAAGTGAAACTATCTGCTTTACTTTCTCAGAGTGGATGCCTTTGGGCTAGCTTCTGAAAGAGCAGACTTGTAGGCAATTACATTATTCTTATAAAATGACCTTGGTTTTTTCCTGTCTCTAGCCTTTACAGTTAAAAATGTTCTTCTGGAATATTGCTTTGTAGTAAGTGACAGGGAAACCCACATAAAGTCAGCATCCTATCCATCGCCCAACAAGAAGTTACAGGCACCTCTACAGGAAAATCCAAGGGTGATCCTTTAGAACTAACAGAAAAGTCACGTTTGTCCATGGAGGCACGCGGATGACAGAACAGTAGGCAAAGGTTTGTTCTTCATAAAATGGACTTCGATGGAGCCCGGGGCTGTGTGGCACAGCCCAGAGCCCAGGGGGCGTGGCTTTGCGCCCCTGCTTGCCACCCACTCAGCCTCGCTGCTTGAAGACTCCACGCACATGCAGCCCCGGGCTCCTGGCACATAGCACGAGGGGGCCGCACCACGGTCCCGGGGCCATTTCGGCTCGAGCACCCCGTGGATCTCAGGGTCCCTTTAGCCTCAAGGGCACGGGGTTCCGAAGGCTCTGCTCCTGCAGAAAGTCTGCCCGTGTCTCCTTCAGATGTGCCGCCCGGTCAGAAAAAAGAGCGGCCGGTCTTCCTTGGCGTTGGCCGTCTGGAACTCATCCCGCAGCCGGAACTGCCACTCATCTTCCAGCTCGAGGCGGACCACCGTCTGGCGCAGGGAGTTCCGGTCCTGGCAGATCACGCACAGCGTGGCACCTGCATGGGCAACGCAGAGGCGGTGAAGAGAAGAAAGGAAAGCCACAGTCTGGATTCTATGTGCAAAAAGGAAACACGACGTTGTTTGGGAAGGAAGGACCAGACATCCCGGTGGCTTTCCCGCTGCTCCTGGAAAGCTCCATACGCTCAGCGAGACGCACAGCGAGACGCTTATTTGGCAGGTCTGGCAGGTGAGGCAACAGGGAGGCACAATAAACACAAAGAGGAGGAGGGGGCGGAGAACCGGAAGCAGACAGACGACTTGTCGACTTTTCGGATTGCGAACCTGAGCTTTCTGGTTCCAGCCCTGCGCTGGCGCGCCTCCCGAGCTGACCCCACCCCTTCCTCTCCCATGCAAGCCTCCTGCACACCGGCCAGAGGCAGCAACCACCCCCGCCCCGCCCCCAGATTCTCCCTCCTCTCCCTCGCAGCATCCTCGATAATCCCCCTGGTTGGCTCGTTCATCCTGCAAGTGTGTCTCGCTGCCCACCTTCCCACCCACGTCCGGTCCTCCTGGCGCACGACACGCTTCCCGAGGCAGAGACCATGGGAGAAACCTCTTACTCCTTCTCAGGGCCGCATACAGCACTGGTGCTCAGTAAACACCCACTCGACAAGGTCAGAGTGAAGACACCCAAGGACAACTGACGATCGGTTAGGGTTCCCAGCTGGTTGGAAATGACTTTTTTGAGTCCTATAGAACGAATGTCTGTCACTCTCAGCCATCTAGGATGACAACAGCTATGGGAGCAGAAAGGTCAGAGAGCCTCCAGTACCCCCGAGACGAGGAAGACCTCAGGTACCAGGAGGAAGGGACATCTGAAGGGACCCGGGTGCCGATGTTAAGGATCTGGGCTGACGAGGAACACGGAGGTTCAAAATATTCGCCCAAAAGAAAGAGGATGCGTCCTGTATCTACCCACATAGGTATAAGGGAAATACAGCCACCCTGGGATCGCATCCCAGCCTTCTCGTATTTTCCTAGATAATCAGGGCAGTCATATTCCCTCTCTGAGCCTCAGTTTACCCACCGGCAAATGAGGACTAGGCTCAGAAGTCACCTCCTCTGAGGTGCCAAGTGACAAAAGGCAATCAAATCAAGATCCAGGGTAAAAGCATGGGACGTTACCTTTCAGGAATTGGAACTTTTTCAAAAAGCTAGCTCCCACAAAAGAATCACAGAGGTATAGCAGGAGTCCGCTAAACATGAAGTCAGAGCAGCTGATGTTTAGGGAGTGGGGCCGGGAGCTCACATAACACACAGAAATCTGAAAAAGAAGAAATCCGAGAGAAAACATCATTCTTCATGAAACACCCAACAACATTCTGCTAGGGCTTTGCATCTAACAACTACTAACTGCTTGGTCAAGCTCAAGGCCATTGGGGGTGGGGCAGAGACGAGATTTAGTGTTATTTCCAAATCTAGAGCCTCAAAATCCAGTCCAAGAAATTTATCCAGACGTGCCTATTCGTCAATTTGAGAATCAGAAACGTGTTGGCATCGGCATCGGCTTTCATTCCTAACTTACCATATCGGGGGGGCAAACCATGTAACCTCTGTCAGGCTTTCCCTTATCGGCTACGAAGTGGGGGTAAACACCTGAGGCAAAGGAGCTGAGTGGTTACCATCCCGGGTCCCGGATTCTGATGCCTCTGTTTTAGGAATGTCTTGGATTCGTGGACGGGGCAGGGCCCCCTCTGAAAGTCACCTGAGATCCCAGGTTAAGGTAGCAGTCAACGGAGAGCACGGGGTGGCCGCGGTTCCGCAGGGAGAGCGGGAAGAATCGGTGGCTGTGATGCTGGAGGAACTTCTCGAGCAGGAGTTGCGCGGGCGCCGCGAGGAACGTGTGCTTGCTGTCCGGGGCGCAGATGTACTGGGCTGGCACGATGGCAGCGGGGTTGTCTGACACCTGCACGGGGAAGGCGGGGTCAGCCACTCCCAGCCCTCCCCGGAGCACAGAGGCCCCTCCCCAGGCTTCTTCTGGGGTGAGGGGCCCTGTCACGGAAGACTGAGCGTCACAGGGTAGAGCTGTCGGCTGCGAACACACACTTCACCCAGGAAACTCTCTGTCAAGGAAAACTACGTGTTACCAAGGTGGGAGGTGAGAAACGGATGAATGGGGACCAGGAAGAATCATAGGCATTGGCCATTCCGTGCAGAAGACTGGTCTAGAAGAATCAGGAGAACCAACGGACTTTGGGAACGCTCCCCCAAATCCAGGGATGCAACCCTCCGGGAAGGATCGCCTCCCTGTGGCCCCAGATCCTATCCACCTTCTACCTACTCCCAGCACCATTCTTGAGACCACCTGCCAATCTGTACCCATCACCCCTCAGTCCACAGCCAATGTGTTTGCCCTGCTGCAGTCAGGGAGGCTGTTGGCGTATATAAAACTAATCGAATCCTGTGCTGAGCACCCTTCAGTGGTCTCTCGTTGCTCCTAGAGAAAGCCCAGAATGTTCCCATGGCCGCTAAGACCCTACATGCTTCTCTAGCCCATCTTTGCCACGACCCTGCCCTTTATGCTTCTTCCATGCTGACCTCCTGGCTTCTACCTGCTTAGTTCCTTCCCCCAGATTCTTCCTTGAACCTAGAGATGCAGCCTCTTATCCCTGGAGTCTCTGCTTTAATGTCACTTTCTTGGGGACACTCAGACTCCTGCCCCCAACATTCTCAAGAGTAGGTCTCCCAGTGACACAAGTCACTCTTATGGTGCTGGTCACAAGGACACTAGGTATTTAACATCCACCTCTGCTGCAAGGCTACACTGAGCACCACAGAACTCTGCTCATTGAAACTTAATGAGGAAATGAAAATATGTTTTTCGTTCATTTGGAAGATAGTCACATGTTCTAGCTCTCTTATACCTACCCAACAGACAACTAAACCTAGCGGGAAAGACAATGCTCAAAACAGGAATACAGACAAAATATCCAGAGCTAGAAAATTATACTGAGAGACACAAAGAAAAATCAGTTTTAAAAGTACAATAGTGGGGCGCCTGGGTGGCTTAGGCGGTTAAGCGTCCGACTTTCGCTTAGGTCATGATCTCGCGGTTCGTGGGTTTGAGCCCCGCGTCGGGCTCTGTGCTGACTGCCAGAGCAGAGCCTGGAGCCTATTTCAGAGTCTGTGTCTCCCTCTCTCTCTGACCCTCCCCTGCTCACGCTGTCTCTCTCTCCTAGAAATAAAAAAAAAAATTAAAAAAAATCTGTCCAAAAAAAAAAAAAAAAGTACATTAGTACCTTCGATAGACAACGTGGTCCAGATCAGAATCTTAAAAACTGAACTATAAATCTAATACCGTTTCAGTAAGAAATCTCAATGGTGGGGGAGGGTAGGACTTAATGAAATGATTCCCGAGTTCTCGAAGTACAGACTCTCTTTAAATGACTTGCTACTTTTATGGAGACATGAGAATGGACTTCCCTTTCAGAGAAGGCTTCCCACCCTGCTGGTAGGAAGGGGCAGGTGGGTGGGGGCTTGGGACTGGTGTCTGAATTCAGACCTGGCCCAGCTCAGGATAAGGAACCAAGCCCAAAAGGAGTGATGCCTACAAGCAGAGATGAGGCAGGACAGAGGCTGGAAGTCACTGAGACCGGCTGATGTGGTATCACCAGGGCAAAATTCAAGGTAGATGGAGGTAAAAAGCAGAGAACGGGGCTCCCGCCCATGGATGGGAGAGAACCTTCAGGCAGAGATATGCAGCCCTATATGTCTTCCTGGACAACCAGATCTCGGAGGGTTTGCTAGGACTTTCCCCCTGAAATTCTGCAGCCAGTGCTGACCTAACCAGACCACGCCTCTCCCCACCCAGAGGCTGGCTCGGGCACAGACAACACGCTACCAGGCCAGCCTGCCGGCGCCATTCGGTTATCTGGCCAGGCGCCGTCCAGGGGCCCAGAGACGAGCATGGCACCCCACCCCCAGGAGCTCGGTCCAGCAGAGAAGCCAGAGCAGCAAACCCCGAGCACAGCCCAAGACGTGCGGGCAGGCAAGCGCTCACAGGAAGGCTGGTGGTGGCCATGGTGGCCGGGTGCGAACCAGGTACTGGTTAGGATCAGAGATCAGGAAAGAAACCCGACGGCGTGGTTCCCTTCCTAAGGCTCCCGCTTCAAAACCTTTAGGAACACCACCAACGGTCAAGGTCACAGCCATGGTCGGGCCTCCCCGCCAGCTCCCACACCGCTGCAGCCCAGGCAGCAGACTCGGCGGGCGCACTCACCTTGGACGTGATGTGGCAGGACCTGTGCCCGCCCACGGCAATCTGCTTCTTCATCACACTAAAGCGGTTGAACCGGCAGAGCAGGAGACCTGCGCTATGCACCCGCAGGTTGAAGTCCACGTCGTCACACATGAACCTGCTCAGGAGCAGAGGAGGGAGCAGATAGGACTGGATGCAGCCCACGCCCCCAGGCACGCCCCCGAAACACCCCCCAAAGCCATGTGGAGTGCACACGCAGGTGTTTGGGTTTGGTCCTACCTTGAAGACCTCACTCTACAGCGGCATATAAATATCTTGAGAGAGAGAGGGCGCGAGCGTACTCGCATAAGGCGCAGAGAGAGAGGGAGCGAAAAATGTGGGGCTCAAACTCGCGAACCATGAGATCATGACCTGAGCCAAAATCAAGTGTCAAGACATTCAACCAACTGAGTCACCCAGGCGTCCCTCTGCAACAAAATGTTTTTTATAAATCTGAGGGCTGATTTCAGCTCGGGTCATGATCTCAAAATCTGTGGGACTGAGGCCTCTCTGCTATCAGCACAGGGTCTGCTTGAGATTCTCTCTCCCGTTCTGCCCCTCCCCTGGTTGTGCATGCATGTGTGTGCACGCGCACATGCTCTCTCTATCTCTCTCTCTTTCTCTCAATAAAAATAAATAAATAAACATTTAAAAAGCCCTCTAAAACCTGAGGGCTGAAAGCAGGGCCAGAGCAGTGTCCCCGGCAGGCAGCCTCTGGCTCTACTGGCCCCTCAGGGGAGAGGAGAGGAGAGGCAGCAGCCCCCAGGCCTGAGGCCACCGCTCAGAGTGGGCGCTGGGCCAGGCGTGCCGATGGCCACGGTGGGGTGGGACTCACCGGTTCTGGTTGTACTGCACGTTCTGGGTCAGGTCCACGTTCAGAATGATGAAGTCGTGCACATGGCAGCGGGAGAAAGGCTCGCGCACCTGGGCGCTCCCAGCCCTGCTGGACCACTTCCGCATGCCAATGAGGGCATAGTGGGTGATGTTGGGCGACGCCTCGATGTGCTGCATGATGTGCTTCAAAGACACATTTCTTTCCGCCCAGGAAAACTCCCTGCTCAAAAGAGGGAGACTAATGTCCCCAAGCTGATGTGTGAACAGTGGCGGGGCCCTCCGGGCCGGACGCTTACGGCTGGGCAGCGCTGGCGGAGGTGAAGTCCATCAGCACCACCCCCGAGTGCCAGGCGCCATGCTAAGAAGGTCACATCTCCTATCATGTACCCTCACGGCAACCTCATGGCCTAGACCTATCATCCCCATTTTACACACGAGTAAAAAGGGGCTCTGAATAACCTGCCCAGTGTCACTCTACAGAGCTTAGACTTGAACAGCACTGTCTCCAAGACCTACATTCTCCCCAGTCCCCTAAAACACAGCATTTCCTGTTTGCAGACCTGCGGGTAAAAATGGGAGGCAAAGCAAAACTTTCTGCCATGAATTCCCGTAAGGAAACAGGAAGGAAGCAGGTAGTGTGTAGACAACCCCTAGCCCGACTGCCACTGTCTGAGGACTGTGAAGACGACAGGAACACCTGATGACCAGGGAGAGGGCTGGCGAGGAGCTGGGCCCCAGCACGCAGCTCAACTCTTCTGGACCCCAGTTTGCTTTTTCCTCCCAACCCAGGGGCTTAAATAAACTCTTTAGGGCCCTGGCCAACCCAGACATTCCAGGGTGTTAACTGCTGCTCCAGAATGGAATTCGGGAAGGCAGAATGAAGGCTCAGTTCTCTCCCATCCTGCCATTGGAAGAGCATCGGGGAAAATCCTGCGAGCGAAGCCAACTGCCTCCCATAGACCACAGGCAGCTCTACCATCAGGAACACACTTTCTTTCTAGAACAGGGTCTAGTGGTAATGGTCGCAGGCAGGGACCGCCAACATAAAAGAGGTGCACTGGCCTAAGGCTCTTAAAAAAAAAAGCCAAAAATAATCAGAAGTCGTCAGGCAGCCCTAAGTTGAAACATTCACATGTCAAAAATCGCGAAAGGATTTTGCCAACGATGTTAGGAGTCTGTAGGCTCTCCTGAGCCTTCCCTACACTGTGCCCTCTGCTTCCCACCTCCAGGCACACCCCTCAGAGTTCACAGAGTTCAAGTAACACCCACAATAGCCTCTAGCACAGTATTCGTGCCCCTTTGAAAGATAAGAAAACTAGGACCCACAAAAGATTTTAGTTGTTACCCTAATGGCACGCACCAAATAAAAGTACACTTGGGTGTTAGGAATCAGGCGGGGGGCAGGGGGAGGGTGGGGAAGGTACGGGCGGGAATTTCTCGGGCACTGGAGATGTTCCTTGTCTTCAAATGGGAGTTGGTTAAATGGGTGATCAGTGTGTGGAACTTTCTGGATACGTAACATATTTGACATAGATATCTTATACTGAATGTATACTGTGTGATTTTCAGTATGTGTTATACACCAATTAAAGTTTTAAAAAGTTAAAAACTCAAGGGGCGCCTGGGGGGCTCAGTCAGTTATGCATTCAACTCCTGATTTCATTCGGTTCAGGTCATGATCTCATGGTTTGTGAGTTTGAGACCCCAAATCAGGCTCTGCGCTGAATGTGGAGCCTGCTTGAGATTTCTCTCTGTCCCTCCCCTCCCCCAAAATAAATAAAAAATCAGAAACTTTAAAAAAACTGAAAACTGAAAACTACGCTGGGCTTGAAACATGAGGCCGCGATATACAGGGCCCTGTGCACCACACGCTATGCCTTCTAAGATGTGGTGTCCCTGTGGCCCTCAGAAGGTGGCTGAGACTTTCCCACTGAAAATAACAGCTTTGGGGTCCCTGGGTGGCTCAGTTGGTTGATGCACAACTTAGGCTCAGGTCATGACCTCATGGTTCGTGAGTTCGAGCCCTGTGTCCAGCTCTCTGCTGTCAGCACAGAGCCTGCTTGGATCCTCTGTCCCCCACTTTCTCTGCTCCTCCCCTTGCTCATGCTCTCTCCTAAAAAGATAGATACGTATTTGAAAAAAAAAGGAACAGGCTCATGTTCCTTGCAGGGTCAGGAGAAGCATCTCACCTGCTTCTCTCCCCACCACAGTCCACATCCACCACGTTCCACATCACGCAGGAGTCGTCCGAGATCACGATGAAGGGCCAGATGTCCTGTGGCTTGATCCCGAGCTCCTCCTGCCGGATCCTCTCCAGCTCCAGGTTGTGGTAAGACAGCTCCTTGATCAGGAAGTGAGCGGCGCCTGAAATGGGCAAACCGGGCCCACTCTCGCGTCTCCCCTACACGGACGTCTACCCAGGACACGCCCACTCCCTGGTCTCCCTCCAGGGACATCCACCCAGGACACGCCCACTCCCGGGTCTCCCTACAGGGACATCCACCCAGGACACGCCCACTCCCTGGTCTCCCTACAGGGACATCCACCCAGGACACGCCCACTCCTGGGTCTCCCTACAGGGACATCTACCCAGGACACGCCCACTCCTGGTCTCCCCTACACAGACGTCCACCCAGGACACGCCCACTCCCGGGTCTCCCTACACGGACGTCCACCCAGGACGAAGGCCCCATCTGGAGCTAGAACGACTCATCCAGGCCCCAGCCCACGACCAGCCAGTTCCCAATGGTCCTAATCTCCGTCACCAACCTACACACACATCTGTCTGCCCCTCCTTACTTTCTGATCTTTGAGAATGTGAATTAAATCAGTAACCACACACTGAAGAAGAATATAGTTTTAAAAATGAAAACGCCTGATGAAATGTTTAACACATTCATCTCTAGGATATTCTCCCAAAAGTCTCCAAAATTTCTCTTCGCAGAAATATTACCAGATAGGGCACATTAACAAACGCCTACCGACTCCAGCGCTGTTGAAGATACTCGGGAGCACCAGCATGATGTGGTTGGGCCAGTATTTCTTATAAATGGCCATTTCATACTCCTTGACGACCAGCACATGCAAATGGCTGGCACCATCCATGGCATGGTACAGGTTAAAGAGTCCGTGTTCGTGACGGCCAGTTGTTGGCGTGAATGTTGGACTTTTTATATGTTCGTGGCTCTAGAAAGCAAAGGAATGATGAGTGGAGGAATTTCTAAATATGGTCACAATTGCTCCCCTCCCTTTGAAACGGGACTTTGCAGCATCTTCCATCAGGAGATGGAGCCTATTTCTACACTCACTGAATGCAGCTTAGCCTCGGGACGTGCTTTTACCGATAAAACGAAGTGAACACGATGGTGTGCCAGTTCTCAGCCTGGTCTCCTGAGGACGGACACATTCTGCCCTCTCTCAGAGCTCCTGGGGATGAGCTGGGGCTGGTCTGCTGGGGCAGGAGAGACCACAGGGGGCAGGGATGGGCATCCCACTGAGGCCACCCTCACCCGGCCAGCCCCCAGCTGACCTGGTACCTAACCACAGATATAGGAGTGAGCATAACCAAGCCAGGCTACATAACCACAGGGCGGGACGGAGGCCATGCCCCTAGTCCTAAGAATCAGAAGCTGAGGACGTGCTTGTTCGGGAATGGTCTGTTATACAACCCGAACCAACTCGGCATGTATCAGTTACCCAAATGTATCATCCTCCCACGTGAGCATCGAACACGTGTTGAGTATATACTATTCCAGATGATTTAAATCCCATGCAGCCTAGCTCCTAATACACTCGGGTTGTGAATCTCTTATATAAATAACTAGGTTTTCCTCCACTCTTCTCTCAACAAAAAAGTTCTTCTGGCCGAGCGAGGTCTTCCACTCCCTCTGAATTCCCCGGAGCACCTCCCACAAAGCTGGGATGCACGTGGTGCCCATAACCAGTTCTGGGTGGAACTGGCTGGAAAAGAGAGGGAAGGGCAGAACAGAGAAAGCTTCACCACTGCAACAGCCCGCCCCAGCCTACGGGGGAGGGGACACCCTGTAATAAAGGCCCCCATGGTTCTTGGCAACTGTTTTCAGTGCTTGGTGAAAGACTGCCAGGTCTGAAAGCTATTCAACCCTATGGTACTGGCCCTCTGGAGAAGGAAAGGCAGCGTCCCACACAAGGTTCATGTTGGCTGGGGCTGGAGGGAGGCGGCAAGCCGACGCTGGACCTGTCAAACCGAGCGTCCCCACGAGGAGGGCCTCTAAGCATGCGGGTCACAGAGACGATGAGTTATTTAGAACAACCTCATCCAAAGAGGAAATTTATCTTTTGTGCGTGGCGTAACGCACCATCTGGGATTCGCTTCCAAACAACAGAGGAAGGCAGAAGAGAAGGCTAGCCGTGAGAGAGTAGTCATTAGAGCTGGGTAAGGGGCCCTGACGGAGCCATTATCCTACCACCACAGCCTGTTTAAAATAGTCCACAACGGGGCGCCTGGGTGGCTCAGTCGGAGGAGCGTCTGGCTCTTGATTTCGGCTCAGGTCATGATCTCACAGTTCATGGGTTCAAGCCCCACACTGGGCTCTGCACTGTCTGCACAGAGCCTGCTTGGGATTCTCTGTCTCCCTCTCTCTCTGCCCCTCCCCTGCTCATTCCCACCCTCAAAATAAATAAACTAACTTCTAAAATGTTCCACAACAGCTCATTCAAGACAAGACGGGGAAGGGAGTCCCGGCGCCTCTGTCAGTCATTCCAATAACACTCATGAGGAGCTTCTGCAAGAGCGAATGCTGCCTCCGGGTACAGAATGAGGACACTGGGGCTCAGCGACATTCCGTGACAACTCAGATGACACAAGCAGAAAATGGCAGATCAGGGCTGGAACTCGACGGGGTGACCCTAGCGCCCAGGCCTGCACCACGTTCAATCACACTCCAGTCCCCACCTGCCCATGACTCATCAGGCAGCCACAGCCTCCCGCTCAAGTCACCTGCAGCCACTCTGGGCCCCCCTGCACTCAGAGCCCATACCTTGTCTGTGACGAGAGGCAGCCGCATGCTCTCCAGCTGGCCTCCGGGTTGGCTGAAGACGAAGTGGTGCTCCTTGGACTTGGGGATGATGAAGTGCAGCTGGACCTCCTCTCCTAGCATGGAGTAAGAGAAGGCAAAGGCGTGCAGGGTGGACTCATAGAGCTGAGGTGTGGGGGGAGAGGACAGAGCTTGTCATGAGTCCAGCCTTACCTCCCAGAAGAACCCAGGCCCGCCGTGGCCGTGACAACACATAGGTCATTGCCACCTGCCCCACAGCTCGGAAAACCCACGGGCTGGCCGCGGTCCGACACGCAGACGCCCAGGTCTTGCTGCAGGGCCGCCTCACCCCAGGCCACGCCCACTCGCTGCAGACTCCTCCCACCCCTCATTCTGATCCCGCCCTACCCAGTGACGTCACATCAGGCCCCGCCCCCTTCCAGACCCAGACCAACTAATACGTTCACACCGCACGTCTCGCTGTTTAATTCTGGTAGAGGTCTTTTCCCATCACAGGCATTGTGCGTACTTATTAAACTATCAAACATTGCGTGCACTTGCACACTTCTGTCACACTCACCGTCTGGGCCCCCTTCCACCCCTCTGGGGGATGTAATTAACAATCCCGTGAAGCAGGGACCGTTACCGCCCATTATGGATGTGGAAACGGAAACTCAGCTCTTGGGCTCACTCCTCCCCTCAGGGTGTAGCCTCACGTCCCCTCACCCCGTCCCCTCACCCCGTGTCTGCCCGCACCCTCCACGTGGCTCTGCACAAGGCTCCTCCAGGCGTCAGCTCAGGCATCCCGACGGACGCTCCCTGAGCCCCTCCCCAGACCAGCTAGTATGCGCGGGGGCACTTCTGTGAATCCCCAAGACCTGGGGCGGGGGGGACACAGGCCAGGGCACTCGGGCTGTTAACCCCCACTGTGGCTTCTCTAGAGCCACAAAACCCTCTGGGGACAGAGATGAGACAGAAATAGATTTTGAGCTGGGGAGGGAGCATAGGGAGGTGTAACTATTTCATAAAACAGATCAGGGAGCCCCGAGAGGAGGGAGGGGAGGGAAGAGACCCCAGGGTGAACAGAGGCGCAGGGGGAGGGCGTGTACCCCCATGGGCCCCAGACCTGAGCACCCCAACACGCGGAACCAGGGTTTCCCGCGCTCGGCTCTGTGAACCCACTGCAGATGCCGGCAGTGCTGACCATGACTAAACCCAGGGTCTCTCCGGTTCTTTAATGTCAAAATCAAGAAAATGCTCTTACGCTCTCTGCTTTGACAGAAAAACTTCATCTCCAAGGGGAAAACATGAGGACAGTTTATCTGGAGCAAACAGGATTATTGTTTTTAATAATAACTGCTCATATATATTTTCTAATGTCGTCTACGGTAAAATCGCATAGTTGTTTTGTTTTGTTTTTTAAATCATTCTGAAAGAAGACGGATGCTACTTCAGCGACGGCTGAGCTCCATGCAGGGCAGATGGGGGAAAATTAAAGCCGCTGTCCACTGTGCCCCTCTGCAGAAAGGGACAGACACGGCAAGCTGAGGCTCAGGCCACTGAAGGCCCTTCTGGAAGCAGCCAAGGGTGTGAGCTCCCCGCACACCAGCTCCAGCCGCTGCTCTGTCCCCTTTCCCTGTTTAGGCCTGAACTGAAAACCAACACTATACATAAAACCTCACCTGCTTTCTGCTTCCACACAACCAGCCTCGCGGCCCCTCTGTGAACTTCCACGTGGCCACTAAGAGACTATGTGGAATGCAGCTTGGCCCACTACAGGCCGCTCCATGGGGTCCTCCCTGGAGAAGCCCCCATCCCGCTCTCCCCACAGCACCTGGTGCCGTCGGTGGTGTCTTCCTGCCCCCCCCAACCCCAGCCTCCTCTCCTGGGTCCACCCACCCCTTGCACTTTATGGTCCAGCGCTGCTCCAGAGAAATCCCTTCTGATTCCCCCAGAGACACCCCTGCCTCCCCCTATTACACATGCTTCTGTCTGCCCCAGCCCCTTGTCACATGCTTCTGTCTGCCCCAGCCCTTTGACAAATTCTTACTGATTCTTCAAAACCCTCTCCTCTGCTCCCTGCTCAAGACAGTATGTTCATTTATAAAACAGGGATGATGTTATTTCCTTGTGGGGTTTTAGTGAGAATAAAAAACCAGACAGGACAGCTCCCTTTCCAGGACACTTGGAATGAACTGCAGGCGTGACTTGAACAGGGCAACCTGCGGGTGACCAGCCAGAACCTGAGAAAGGCAGGGCCCAGGGGCAACAGCCTTAATCCATTTACCCATGTCCAGGGTAAATTCATCGTCTATCACGTAAAAAGGTTAGAGGAAGGGGCACCTGGCTGGCTTAAGTCAGTTGAGTGTCTGACTCCTGATTTCGGCCTAGGTCATGATCTCACAGTCCGGGGTTGAGCCCCACATTGGACTCCACGCTGGGCATGGAGCCTGCTTAAGATTCTCTTTCTCTCCCTCTGCCCCTCCCCTATTCATTCTCTCTCTCTCTCTCTCTCTCTCTCTCTCTCTCTCAAAGGAAAAGAAAGGTTAGAGGAAGTACGGACATAGCAAAAGTGCCTAGCACATTGGGTGGCTTGTAGTGAGTGCTCGGTAAGTGCACAGTCCTACCTCCTTCTCCAAGTAATTTCTATGCGTCAACATTACCGCTTTTCCCGCCAGCTTTACGTTGCCCTGAAGTTCTGTGCATGCGCGTCTCTCCATCCCTAGACTGCGAGTCTTGAACACGGGGACGAAGCTTATTCATCTCCGTGACTGGTGCCTAAGCACTCGGTGTCTGTGGCACTGGACTAACTTTGGAAATTGCCAGGCCATAAAGAAAACCAAGACCTGTGCAGTCAGTTAACGTTGCCACTGGTAAACGCGTAATCCTTGGAGAATCACGGTTTCTGTGGTGTCGGCAATGACTTCACAGGTTATTGAGGGGAACTGAAGATACAAGTAGGCGCACGGGCTTCCAGAACTTTCTGCGCCCCCATCCCCCACCGGAATGAAAAGACAAAGAGACTAGAGGACCACAGGTGGTAGGGACGTGTGGCAGGGCCGCCAGCAGCGCTTCCAGAGACGCAGGGCCTCTGCGCCCGCAGCCTACCTGGTAGCGGGGGTGGAAGCCCATGTACTGGTGGCATTGCTCGCAGTGGTGGTACGTGTTGTAGGCCGCGTACTTGGACAGCCTCATCCGCGCTGTCTGACGCCGCACGTAGAGCTCCTCCGGCTTCCGGGACGTCCCCCTGTCTGCAGCAAACCCCAGCATTACAGAGCCGCGGGGGTCAGAACAAGTATTCTCTCCACTGCCTGCCCGGAGTGAAGGGGACTGAAAGGCCGTAATGGGATTTTGTGCGACGCCACCTGCCTGGGCCCCGAGGTGACTCGGCTGGTCAGAAACAACAGAGATTCAGCGGGAGAAACCAAAGACCAATGTTCACAAGGGGTCTTACTGATGGACCCACAAGTATCTCATAAGCACATATTTAAGGAGTCGCCACATGACAAGGCAAATGGATTGCCAACTTCATATGCAGACCTGCGCGCGGAGGAATTCCCTCTGTTTTTTCAAAAGGACTTCGCAAGTTGAAGACTTTAACACTAAACCTTGATTAGAGACTGGTCTATGTGAAGGATCGTTCGGTGAGATGGTTCTAGGAAGATACAGTTACTGGTTTCACGTGGAGACTGGTGAGGATCCTCCTAACCTTTCCACCCACCACACTCTTCTAGTCGGTGCTTAACTATCATTCTGGCCACTAATATCCGATGTTTGCGGAAGGCGACCCTGAAGGCCTACAAGGTCATCATACTGTGAAAGTCGGTGGTCCTCGGAGGAGGAGGGAGAAAACAAGACACCGAGGGCAGAGAGGGAAATGGGTGCATTTCACGATGACAACACAAATTCATAAATAAACATCCGTGTCTTTTATTCTCTCTTAACCAGAACCTTGAGGACATTTGGATGGTGACAACCCACCAGGACTATACACATCACGGTCAGCACGCGCTGAGCTACGAGCCTGCTCCTCCTTACCCGGTGGTGCAGTGACCTCAGTTCCCTACCAGGCACTCCCGACTCAGCACCACACGACTGAGCTCACCACCAACACAGTTCAGCCCGGCCCTTCGAGAGGCTCGACTCCGGACTCTGGAAGAAGGTAGAACAAGGGATCTGGAAGTCTCACCTTCGCTCTTCATGCTCTGAAGGTGGGAACATATCAGACTGGCGTCTTCATATTTCGGGTCATGAACAATGTAGTCAAAAGGCAACTTCTTAAACAGCTCCAGGTCTGGCCAGGGGTCACCGAGCTGCAGGTAATGCCAGTCGGATTCCTCTCTGAGGTCTGTAAGATTGTTGGAAACACAAACAGGTGACAAACTAGGAAGTGAGAATGACTGACTTTTTTTTTTTTTTAGTTTTTAAAAATGCTTTTGTATTTTATTTTTGAGAGAGACAGAGTGTGAGCAGGGGAGGGGCAGAGAGAGAGAAAGACAGAATCCGAAGCAGGCTCCAGGCTCTGAGCTGTTAGCACAGGGCCCGACGTAGGGCTCGAATGCATGAACCATGAGATCGTGACCTGAGGCGAAGTTGGATGCTTAACCAACTGAGCCACCCAGATGCCCTGAGAATGACTGATTTTTATTTATTTTTTTAAATGTTTTATTTATTTCTAGGAGAGAGAGAGAGAGACAGCGTGAGCAGGTGAGGGTCAGAGAGAGAGGGAGTCACAGACTGAAACAGGCTCCAGGCTCTGAGCTGGCAGTCAGCACAGAGCCCGACGCGGGGCTCGAACCCACAAACCGCGAGATCATGACCCGAGCGAAAGTCGGACGCTTAACCAACTACACCACCCGGGCGCCCCAAGAGAATGACTGATTTTTAAATGTGTCCAAGGGCGATGCTTGTGGTAGAGCTGTCACTGAGTCTACGGGCTACTGGGGGGTGCTACTGTATCTCGAAAGCTTCTGGAACATAGTTCACTCTCAGGATTGTTCTAAGGAGGCAAGAGGTGGCTCTGTGTCTACGTCTTAACCAGAAAACCAGCCTATGCTGTGGTTCCCAGGGGATGGGTTTGTTTTCCCGGCTCCTACACTGTCTTCAGCCCCTTCCAATATCCTACTGCTTGCTCTGCGCTTCCCCCCGGCACCATCCCCCGCATATGCAGGCTCCCAATGCCAATGGAGCCTAACACAGCTCTCGTTCTTGTCTTAGAGCTAAAGGCCACTCAGCCAATATGGCCACCTGCTGTCACAGCACCTCTGGAAAGTCTCTTCTAAGTGTTCCTCCCATCTGAGTGCCAACACCACTCATGGCCCAAACTCCATCTTTACACTAGCCCATATCATCTTACATCATAGCTGGTGTCGTCTATTTTTTTTTTAATGTTTTATTTATTTCTAGGAGAGAGAGAGAGAGACAGCGTGAGCAGGGGAGGGTCAGAGAGAGAGGGAATCACAGACTGAAACAGGCTCCAGGCTCCGAGCTGGCAGTCAGCACAGAGCCCGACGCGGGGCTCGAACCCACGAACCGCAAGATCATGACCTAAGCGAAAGTCGGACACTTAACTGACTAAGCCACCCAGGCACCCCGCTGGTGTCATCTATGATGCTCACACTAAATGCTCGCTGGCTCAAAAAGCAAAAACTATGTAGTTGGTCCAACTCAAATTATGTAACATATTGGTTTTATATCTAGGATACGTACATATGGGCAGAGTACCTGTCTAGAAGAAAGAGAAGAAAGGGAAGGAGGGAGAAGAAAGGAAGAAGAGAGGCATGTTTATTGCATATTTAGTAGGTGCTCAAGGCTTCATATGTAGAGCATCATTCAATCTTCACAATGCCCTGTAAAACAGAAATTATCCGTGTTTTGCCAGAGAAAACCAAGGCAATAAGAGAGCATCTGAGAAAATGGGCTCTGAAGTTTTTAACAAAGCTGGGTTCAAATCCTGTCGTCATCATTGAGATAGCCAAGTGAGGACACAGAGACTCAATATGAGTACTGATTTTCATCTGAAATAAAGTTCCAAACGTGTGTGTGTGTGTGTGTGTGTGTGTGTGTGTGTGACGGGGATAGTGTGAAAGCTCAGAGGTGGATGAAGAGCCTCTCTCCTTTTCCTTCAAAGGAAAGGCCAAGGGCTGGATGGGCTGCCTTGGTTTCAAATTGTCTTCAAGTCAAAACTCAAACATGGTCAAGAGCATCTAAAGAAGTGATGTGTTTGCAAATGGCAGGACTTTCTTCTAAGGCTGAATAATATTCCACTGTGTGTATACACCACACTTTTTGTTACCCCTTCCCCTGCTGATGGCCATTTATCCATCAATGGACAACATACGTTTGCTTGTGTATCTTGCTTACTGTGACTAACACTGCAATGAACATGGTAACTGTGAATATGTTAACTAGCTTGACTGTAGTGGTGATTTCACAACGTACACGTGTATCAAATCATCAGGTTGTACACTTCACACGTAAACAATAAAAATCAGTTTAAAAAGTACCACTCAGCTGCAGCGCAACTTACTGGTTGCCTTTCTCCTGATGCAAATTTTAATTCCCAAAGCAACGGACTTCTTCAGCAGACCAAGTTTACGAGCCACTGAAGGTAAGTATGTAGAGGCAATGGAGCATAACACAGCTGCTCAGAGAGAGTCTTACCTTAACCAGGGGAAATTCTGTTCCGTGAGTAAGGAGAAAAGGCTTTCCCCCCACATATCACATACTTGGATTTTGCCTTACGATAGCGACCTATGTACTCAGCTGTGTGAGTGGGGATCTCCCCAGAGGGATAAATTTCGATTACTTTCGAAGGCAGCAACCAAATGCAGTTCAGTTCCAGCTCTGCCATCTCCCAGCCGGGCTCCTGAACATGGTACTTATCAGGAAATAAGCGATTATTCTCATGGTGACGTGCAGACAATTAAATGTGGCAATTCCTGTAAAGTGTCCACACACTGCTTGGCCCTTGGAAGATACTTCGTAAACAGCGGTTATTTTTGGTGGAGTAATTCTATCCCCATGGAGGCCTCCCAGGCACTATTCTGATGTTGAGCAAGATGACCACAGACAAGGGAGAGAGAAGAGCACCCCAAGGCCCCGGGAGTGAGTGTGGTCACTGATCTGAGAATTCCATCTGGAGGGCAAAAGACACAAAGTCGCTTGAGAAACCGATGAAAGACGATTCCAACCCCAAGTGTCACCAACACGCGACTCACTGATATTGATCTCTTCTTCATCGTAAACATCCACTTCCGTCAGCCGGATGAGCATTCTGGACAAAATGCTGAGGAACTGCAGGTAGGCACCCGTCTTCCCAACCTGTGAAGACATTAAAATTAGAGCCCGCAGTCAGCATGCCCTGTCTACGTGCAGGCACTGGCCGGGGCACTGGACCCACCTCATGCCACCCATCTCTTTCAGAGACGTCACCAATTAAAGCGAGAGCCCGGGGGATGCAAAGCCATTTGGGGGAAAACATGACCTCAAGAAGCACGGCAGGCCACAGAGGAACTTCGTGAGCAGCAGGCCCGCCTGCTTATAAAACATGGCAATGAGCCTCTAGTTTTAATCAGCCACATTTTGTTTAATGTTTTTTATTTTACTTTGAGAGAGAGACAGAGAGCAAGTGGGGGGGGTGGGTGGGCAGAGAGAGACAGGGAGACACAGAATCTGAAGCAGGCTCCAGGCTCAGAGCTGTCAGCACAGAGCCCATGCAGGGCTCAAACCCACAGACTGTGAGATCATGACCTGAGCCGAAGACGAACACTTAACCGACTGAGCCACCAGGCGCCCCATAATCGGCCACATTTTCTAAGCTGTTAGAAATAGAACTTCAGGGACACCTGGGTGTCTCAGTCGGTTAAGCATCCGACTTCAGCTCAGGTCGTGATCTCATGGCTTGTGAGTTAGAGCCCGCTTTGGATTCTGTGACTCCCTCTCTCTCTACCCCTCCCCTGCTTGTGCTCTGCCTTTCTCTGTCTCTCAAAAATAAATAAACGTTAAAAAACATTAAAAAATATGTCTATAGTAAGAGAATAAAGTCTTTTTTTTAATGTTTTTTAAATTTATTTCTAGGAGAGAGAGACAGCGTGAGCAGGAGAGGGTCAGAGAGAGAGGGAGTCACAGACTGAAACAGGCTCCAGGCTCTGAGCTGGCAGTCAGCACAGAGCCCGATGCGGGGCTCAAACCCACGAACCGCGAGATCATGACCTAAGCGAAAGTCGGGACGCTTAACCGACTAAGCCACACAGGCGCCCTGAGAATAAAGTCTTAAGATATAAAAGGTTGGTATCTCATTTCTCCTCTCCTAAGACCAGGTGAAGAAATAAAATTATTCTTCTCTTCTTCCTGCTCTTCCTTCTTGTATCCTAAAGTCCTTGTTCCCTCAGCCCAGAAGCAGGCTAGCTCGTTATGAATCTTAGTTCATTTTGGTCCCAGTTGGTGAAATGGGCCCTGTGAGCCAACCTCCCATCCTGTTATTCTGGGAATGTGCTTTCCGAGTTCTAGGCTCAATGCCTGGTGTGTAGCTTGCGCTCAACAAATGTTGATGAACAGAAATGACGTAAGGAAATATGAAATACGACTGGGGGAATCTTCAGAGAAAATATTTGTGATATGTGTGACAGAGGATTAAAATCTGTAATCTCTAAAGAACTCCTGCAAAGCAAAAGGAAAATGTCAGATGCCTGAAGGAAAGTAAACGGGAGAAACAGTGCAGAAAATCCCTGTGAAAGCCAAAGCAGTGACAAAAAATATAAAAGAACATATTCAACCTTAATAAAACTATAATATACTATGTTTCATCTATCAAATAGGCAAAAGTTTTGAAGATTGAAATATCCAATAACATGACAGTGTGGAGAAGCTAGGACCCCTTTTTCAAGTTTATAAAAAGTTAACAGGGGCGCCTGGGTGGCTCAGTCGGTTAAGTGTCCGACTTTGGCTCAGGTCATGATCTCACGGTTCAGGAGTTCAAGTCCCATGTCGGGCTCTGTACTGACAGCTCAGAGCCTGGAGCCTGCTTCGGATTCTGTTTCTCCCTCTCTCTCTGCCTCTCCCCTGCTTGCGCTCTCTCTCTCTTCCCTCAAAATAAATAAACATTAAAAAAAATTTTTTTTAAAGCTAACATATGCTCCTGTAGAAATTCTAGAACCACACAGCGACAATGAAAGCAAATGTTCACAAATCCTGGTCTCTCTCCAGGTAACAATCCAGGGGCAGTGTTGCCAAGGATTTTTTTGGTATTTTCACACACAGAATCATATGCATACACACGGATGTTTTCTTTTTCTAACTGATATTACACTATGCACGTATCATTCTGTAACTTCATTTTTTTAATTTAAATATCTTAAATCTCAGTCCCAGTAGACAGGCCTCTATCTCCAACTTCCCATGGCTGAGTTAACTGCATGACACAATTGTGCCCAAATTTACTCAATGGAATTTAACTCACTTCCAGTTGGTAAATGATTCTAAAATGAACGTTCTTACATGAATTTTTGGGGGATTTGTATTTCTTGGACCGGATTCATCGTAAGGAAATTAATACACTGGGTCGGAAGGTAGCACATCCTGCATTGTGACAGTGGCAGTACTGATGGGGACAGAAACGTAAAGGAATAACTAGTAGACATGCTTTCTACAGTCAGGCCGTGCCTGGGAGCCATGATTCTCCCGCTCAAGGCTCACATTTCTGACATCGTTCTCAGTGAGGACACCGAGACACACCGAAGGCCGGATCCTGCACAGGGTGTCGGGTGAGCCTGGAGGCTGAACTAGACCGCAGGCCAGAGCCCGCCCTGCACCCCAGCACGGTTCTGACCAAGACCCTTCTGAGACCTGACAGCGTCTTCCTCACCCACTCCGACACTTGGCAGATGTCTGCCATTGTTAGACAAGTGAAACAGCCTTTCGTTGTTAGGAAACCACAGTGAGGTGAGAGTTGGGATAAGGACAGGCCACCAAAATCTTCCAGCGCAGAACCTAGTGTGGGTGTGTGTGTGTGTGTGTGTGTGTGTGTGTGTGTGTTTCTAACTGGCACAGACTGGCCATGGGCCCCAGTGAAATAAGATGGGAAAAGCAGAGTCACAGCCGGAAGGAGAAGCGCCCTGCCCCCATGTCACGCAGGCAAGACCCTGAGGTCAGAGGGTGGAAGTCCGCCAGCCGTGGGGGTGCGGGGGGCAGGGCTCGGCCTCCATCCAGCGGCCCCCGACAGGGTCAGCTGTGCCGCCGGCGGCCCCACCCCCGCCCCGTGCTGAGACCCCGAGAACCCCCACGGGGCCCAGGCCCCACAGGGCGGCACCCACCTGAGGGGGCCCGCTGAGCAGCAGCCTCCGCGGGTGGAAGCTGTCCACGCGGCCCTCGGCGCGGTTGCCGTAGTCCATGTGGCTGGGCCGGGGCACCGTCCACTGCCGGTAGTACAGGGACTGCTCCGTGGACGTCATCGTCTTGCTGAGCTGCGGGCGGAAGGCGCTGGCCCACATGACCGAGCGGGAGGGCAGCAGCGAGGCGGCCTTGGGCAGGCCGCTGCTGTCGGTGGCCGTGACCATGTCGTACGCCAGCTTGGGCAGGAAGACGATGGGCGGCTGGCGGCAGGCCTTGGTCAGGGAGCACTGGGGGGCCTGCAGGGCGAGCTCACCGGCGGCGGGTGCCGCGGACGAGGATGGCAGCTGGGGGGACGCCGGGGGGACCAACCCCTGGGCGCCCCGCTGGCTGGGCCTCGGGCCGGAGTCGGGCTGGGCGGCCCGCCCGGGGCTGTGCCTGCTGACGACCGTTGGCGGCGGCCCCCGGCTGGCGTGGGGCCTCTGTCTCTCCCTGGCGGCCCTGCCCTCGTCTGACGAGCCGCAGGGCTGCGGTGACTGGGGCTGCTCCCCCTGCGAGGGGGGCCCGGGCTGAGCCGAGGACTCGCCGCACGGTGCCGAGCCTGGGGACGGATGCGCTGGTCAGTCGTGTCCCTCGAGAAGGAGCCCACCCTTCCTGCGTCAGCAGCGCAAACCACCTGCACTTGACAATCACTGGGGATTCTCCTCACCGAAACCCCGCCTCTGGGTAAACATCGACTCATTTGTCCCGTGACAACGCCAAGACTTGCTGAAGGGACAGAGCGGGTGTCACTTCAGCCTGCACCCACCCCAGCGCCCTCAGAAGCCTCTCCTTTGCAGCCCCCTGACCTGATCTGTTGCACAACACCCTGCCTTCAGGGCTCAAGCTACACTCATGCCCCGGGCACATGTCCCCCGGGGATGCCTCGCCCTCCTAGACCCTCACGGAGCTCACAACTCACCCCTGCACCAGGGCATTGGTGGCTTCTAGTTTGCACTGGCAGCAACACTCGGTGGGCTTTCCCCAAACACTGGCCTGACTTAGCTCGTAGAAGGATTTGGGGCGGGGGGGTGGTGCATGCAGCCCGCACAGCAGCCACTCAAACAGGGTCTGTCCTCTGCCCCTCCCCCACACGGAGCACATGGAGACCTTGGGGAGCGTGGTCAGCTGGGCACACGTCATCCCAGCCAGGCGCGCCCGGGCCCGCGGGCCAGCTCACAGTAGACGGAACCCTGCATGGCTGTGTCAACTGTCCTTCCCCAGGAGACGGCGTGGAGAGCAGACAGACTAAGGGAGGCCTGCACCCTACTCACCACACCACACGGGCAACCTCCCCTCCGGATCGGAGCCCCCCAGCAAGGGCCTACCACTCAACCCCGCAGCGCGCACCTGGGGCCCTTACGGGCTCTCACCGAGGGAGGCCACGGGCACCGGCCAGTCCCCCTCCGCGGAAGGCCTGACTCCTGCTGAAATACCTCGTCGCCCTCAGACAAAGCACTTAGCGCGACTGGCTCAGGGTCGACGGATGAGCCGAAGACCAGATATGGGGAGGCTATGAGGGGCCTGGGCTCCTGGCCTGGGCAAAGGGGACAGATGGGCCCCAAGCACCCACTTCCCTAGTGAGGCCGGCCTCGGAGGACCCGGAGGACGGACACCCACACGGACCTTCCTCTCCATCCACCCCAGACCTCAGATGCTCTGTCCCCACTTGAATCCAGGGGCACTGCCAGTCTGAGACACCCCGCCACTCAGGTCCCCACCCGGACTCGTGGGGCTGTGGCCAAGGCTCACCGCCCTGGGCCTCCAGTCCTTCATCTCTGAAACGTATGGGTTATACCTAACGGCCACGAGAAGCATCTCGTCAGAGACTCCTACGCCCTCAGGACCCTCTGAGGAGGCCTGATTAGGGAAGTGATCTGGCCTGACTGAAGAACTCCAGGAGGCTGGAGGCCAGCTCCCAGCCTGGACCCTCTTCTCCTGAGGACACTGCGTGGACCAGTGTGCCCCCAGAACCTTCTAGAAAGCCGTCAGGCCAGGACTGGGGAAGAACAAAGCACTACTCCTCTCAATTCTGGATAGCACAGATTCATTCACTCACCCATTCGCCAGCTCCACCCCGGGGTCCCGGCTCCCTATGCTGTTAGGTGGACACTGGAGGTTGCCGCACTTGGCTTTGCTGAGTGACCCGAGCCGAGAAGTAGGTCTGCTTTGTGCCACAGAGCTGCAGACCCACACGGACAAGGCCTCGTTCGGACCCCCTCTGGGCACGACTGTGGGGAGACCCCCACGCATGGGCTGTGTGAGGAGGGGCAGGAGACAGGAAGGTGCTCCGACCCCCACAGCTACGCCCTGGCCGCGGCCAGGCGCCCACCCGCCCACTCTCTGGGGCCCAAGCACCACACGCACTTGCACAGCCTGAGCCTCCTCCGTCCGGAATATCTTCCCTTTCCAAAGAGACCCAAAGGCCAGCTGCCCTTGAATCCTGCGATGAGTGTGCCAAAATCAGCCCCCAGCGGACACAAAGTCTCCTCTTCCTGTATAACCGTCACACTTCACGTGTGACCACGTGTGCACCGACGATAAGGTGGCCTCTGTGGTCACACAAGAGAGCAGCTCTGTTTCCAATCTTCCAATGCCCTGACCCAGATGCAAGGTCGGTTCTCGGTAACAGTTGCGGCAGGAAGACCGGCAATAGTGTGTTGCCGTGTGCCAGTCCCGACGCTCCCGGACACGAGTGTCCCTCAGGCAGAGACTGGGCATCCGACCCCCCTTCCCCGCTGTCTGGGTCTGGGGCTCAGGGATCATCTGCTGCCGTTTGCTGCTTCTCCTCAGGCTCAACCAGCCCTCCTCGCCTCACCCCTCTCCTCCCCAAGGGCGCGGGGGGTCCCCCAAGCCAACAGCTGCCTGCGGTGCGGCCAGGGGACGCCGCCCGGCACCGGCCACTGAGGGGGGCGGCGTCCGTGATCTCCCGGGAACGCCGAGGTCCTGCCCAAACCCCTCGCGTCTCAGAGCCCAATCCAGAAACAACTACTCCCTGAGGAAGCCCGGTTCTTCCAAGACTCCCCTCTCTTTCCAGTTCTAGGAGAAAATACAGGATCCCTTTCCGTTCCCCAAAATCTCCAAAGCAACGTCCCAGCGCGCACGCTTTCCCACCTGGGGACTTACCGGAGGCTTTGGAGGAGAGGGAGGAAGCCGCCGAGTCGTGGGAGCTGGACCTCTCCCGCTTCACCGGGCTCCTCTCCTCCGCGGCGGGGCCTGTTCGAGACACACGCTCACTGAAAGCGCCCCTGATCCCCATCTCGTGTGCTCGCCCAGCACTTCCCAGTTTGCAAAGTGTGCCCCACCAGCATCCACCCGTCCATCCACCCCCGCAGCGAACATCTTCCAGGCGCCCACCTCTGCGGGAGCCCCGAGGAGGCAGATGGGGAGGGGCACAGGGCAGACCACTTGGGCGCTCACGGCTCATGCCATGAGCTGCCGCTGTGAGGGAGCATAAGGGGTACAGAGACTTGGGGGCGGGGGGCCAGGCTCCCGCCCGGCATGGGGAAGCAGGAGCGAGCGGGCGACATCCTGGAAAGGGGGACCCAGCCTGAGCCCTGAGGGGCCAGCAGGGGTTTCTAGGTGAAGCCCAGAGGCGGCGGGGGGTGGGGGGGAACCTCAAAGCCACAGGGAGAGCCTCTGTGTGGCCCAGACGTGACGAGAGCAGAGCACAGCCAGGGACCCCCTGCGAGTGACCGACAGCACGGGGCACAGCGTGGCGGGGGCCGGGAGCGGAGACTAGAGAGGTAGGCTGTCCAGCACCCAGAGTGTGGATTCACCCCCTGGGCAACAGGCAGTTTAAAGTCAGGGTCATGGTCGCGTCTGTGAACGGAAGCCACGAGTCTGCACGGCAGGCCTCCTACTGTCCGTCCCACAGGCGAGCTGTCCAAGGCCACGACGTGTCCCACATCACCGAGCTGGCAGACGGAGCATGAAGAGACCCCTGGCCCCCCGGCCCTGCTTTGAGCTCACCCCGCTACGCCGCCCACCCCACAAACACTTGGCGGGTTTGTATCAACAACAGCTTTGTCTTGTTTCTTGCTGGGCTGCTCTATACCATGGGGCTGCATTTTCAGGTCTTGAAAGGAAACAGGGCCCTTCTCATACATCTTGGGAATGGATACATCCTGCTGATCCACACAGAGACCAGCGAGTGGATCTAATCCCAGGAGGCCACCAACGAGTCCAACAGAGCATGAACTTGAGTCCTACGCAACCTCAATTTTCCTTCCTATTCTCTAAGAACTCCAGAGCTACGAAGAAGCCATCGGGACTTCCTTTTCTCACACCACCCAAAAGGAGGAGGGGGAGAGAGAGCACAATCTGCAGTCAACGAGGGATCTGTCACTCTCTTCGAAGATGTATCTAGACAGCTCTCATCAGAGCCACCAAGGCCCAGCCGGGCTCCAGGGCCATGGCCATCTAGACAGTGCGGGCCACGCGCCCCAGGGCGGCAGGTGGGGCAGACCCGCCCCTTCTCCGCGCACCTTCCGTCCCCGGCTCCTCATCCTCGTTGTCTGTGCTGCTCAGCTTCTCGGCATCACTCTCCAAGGGCTCGCTCCGGGCCGCCTTCTCCAAGGGAGCCTCGCGGCTCACAAAGTAAGCAGCCAGGCCGAGCTCCTGCTCCAACGCTGTTCTCACCAAGCAGGCGGAGTTTATCAGACGCAGGTCACAGTACCTCAGAGACCTGGAGGGAAACAGACGGGGTCTACTGAGTGTCTTCTAGAAAGGAGGCTGTGCTCCGGGCGCTGGGAGAAATGGCGATTGGGACCAGCACCCTGCCCCTTCTTTAGGACCCCAGGACCTGTATAAGGAAGAGAGCAGACAGCATTACGGTGAGCCCTTGGCCACCTCGTCTGTTTAACGTTAAATCTCTTGGGGTACCCGCTGCGTATTCGGCCCTGTCCTGCGCGTCATCAAAAGAGCGCTTTCAGGCCAGAAGAAAAAGCAGGCTTGAGCCCTGGCTCTGCCACTTCCTGTGGCCAGAACCTTCCACAAGCCGGGCAACTTGTTGCAGGCTCAGACGTTTTTCATCTGAAAGGGGAGAATGCACAGTGATAGCCATCTAAGTGCACTGTTCGAGGGCTCTGCCCTAAGTGGACATTTAATTATTCCATCAACACTTAAAACGTGCCCAGGACGCAGTTAGATGCCAGGGGTCGGATGGCAATTAAATCACTGCCATATTAGAAATAACGGGTCTGTCTGGAAAGACAGACAGCAGCAAGCAACGCAAGAGGCAGGGGAGCGGGCCCAGGGGACAGGCCAACGCAGGGCTTGGGTTACTTGGCGGAAATAGCAAAGCGCCTGGAGAGAGAGAGGCAGATGTGGGTTCCCATCAGGCTCTACAAACTCAGCAAATGACTTTCCATTGGCTCTTCTACAAAGCAGGACAGTGATGCTGTTGTTGTGAGGAGTAAACGCCGTGTTGAAAGTCTAGCACAGGGCGTAATATGAAGAAGGCACTCGGTAAACTCTTGTTCAAATTTAAGATCGCTTAGGACACAGCCTTAGTCCTCGGGGAGCTGAGGAACGGAAGAACTAACCCCTGTGAAAAGCAACAACCAAGGTCAAACGTTTTGGAGCCCCCTTGACCTGGCCCGTGAGGACGCTGCATGCAGTGGCCCTTGGGTAAGTGGGGTGGCCCAGTGGAAGGGACGCAGGCTTTGGAGCTGGGCAGCCTGGAGTCCACCCAGGCTTCATCTCTGGAAGTCCCGTTCCTTCACCGGGGCCACTGAACAGTACCTTCTCCCAGGGTTATAGGGAGAGTAACACGAAATATGGCCCGTGAGAACCTAGCACAGAGCCAGCACAGGACAGGAGCTCAAGAAATGACCGCTTGGACTGTTCTATTCCGCCAGGAAAGACGTGCAAAGGCCCCACAGCACGGCTGCCTGCTGTCCTCCAGGGGAGTTAAGTAAATCATGAGAAGCCGACCTGGAGGCCCAGTGACTTTGTGTCCTGAGTGTCCACCTTCTGCATGACAGTCTGGAGACCCCAGGGGACACTGCGGGGGCTGGCAGCTGGCTTCTCCAAGGCCGTGGTCTCCGATGAAACAGAGACCATGAGACAGTCAGCGCTGTGTGATGGTCGCCTCCCCGCTTCCCAGAACACCTCCCAGCCCAGGAGGGCCCAGCTGTCATGGCCTAGACCCCAGGAGGAAAGTGGCCTTGCTCCCCGCCCCCCCCAGATGATCCGAGGCTTTCCTAAGCGGCCCAGCCAGCCCTAACACACACGGTGACTTCGTGGGCAGAAACACGGGGAGGCGCCAAACCCTCACCCCAGCTGTCAGACCACCGCCCCCGGGGCCCAGAAGCAGCCCTCCCACTCTACCACGAGCCCGGACGGTGCTGAAGAATTAGGAAAAGCCGCCCCAACCTCGGACGCATTTCACTGTCATCCCAAACACAAATCTATGATGACTCTGGACGTGAAGACTCCACCTGCCGCTGGACAGGGGAGGCCTGGCCCACCAGCCCCCGGGAGCTGTGTGCACAGGCCGCTGGCTCCTGAAAGACCCCCCAGGGCACAGCCCCCGCCCCTCACCTTGGCAAGGACTCCCCGTGAGGGTCCATCCCACTGAAGATCAGGATGCAAGGCAGGCCCTCCAACTCCAGGTAGGTCTGGGGTCGCCACTCGGCATCTTCGATCTTCTGCCACAGCTGCGGAAGGTAAAAAGCCAGGAAGTGGTGAGACTCCTTCCTTCCCGACGAGCCCAGCTCCGACGGGACCGTGATGTCCTCCTCCTGGCTGAGAGCATTTCGTGAGAAGGACAGTTCCTCGTACTACAGACAAGCGTGTCGTCTGCCCCAGCCATGTTCCGGCCCCGCTGCCCGGCACGTATTCGCCATCCACGAAACACCTGCTCACTGATCCGCTGGAAAAAAGTGCACATCCCCAGTTGCGTCTAACGTTTTTACTGTGTTTTTCTAACCGTGCTGCCTTGCTTGGCCATTCACTCACTTCCTACTCAACTGTGCTCTCGATATTCTTTCTAGCCCTCTTGCATGTGCTATCCTCTCTCGGTGGGTTCAGTGAGAAGCTGTGGGCCAGGCGTTTAAGAAAGCAAGATGAGGGGCGCCTGGGTGGCTCAGTCAGTTAAGTGTCCAACTTTGGCTCAGGTCATGATCTCTTTGTTCATGTGTTCTAGCCCTGCTTTAGGCTCTGTGCTGACAGCTCAGAGCCTGGAGGCTGCTTCAGATTCTGTGTCTCCCTCTCTCTCTGCTCATCCCCAGCTTGCACTCTGTCTCTCTCTTTCTCTAAAAATAAATAAACAGTAAAAAACAGAAAAATAAAAAGCAAGACCAAGGGCACCTGGGCAGCTCAGTCGGTTAAGCATTCAGCTCTTGATTTCGGCTCAGGTGGTGATCTCACAGTTCGTGGGTTTGAGCCCTGCTGACAGCGCAGAGCCTATCTGGGATTCTCTGTCTCCCTCTCTCTCTGCTCCTTCCCTCCTTCTACTCTATCATTCTCAAAATAAATAGATAAACATTAAAAATAAATATATAGGGGCGCCTGGGTGGCTCAGTCAGTTAAGCATCTAACTTTGTCTCAGGTCATGATCTTCCCGTTCATGGGTTCAAGCCCCACATTGGACTCTATGCTGATAGGTCAGAGCCTGCCCCATATTCTGTGTCTCCATCTCTCTCTCTGCCCCTCCCCTGCCCGTGCTCTGTCTCTGTCTCTCAGAAATAAATGTTTAAAAAAAGTGTGCTAAAAGATAAAAATAAATGAATAGCAAGACACTGTGTTTTAGGAGAGCAACATTTATAAGTACTTTGGTACCGCTGGATGAGAGGTACAGGTGGGGACACGAGAGGTGGCCAGAGGGGTAGACGGCAACACTGGGGTGTCTGTCGCTGCTCCGTGGCCCCCTCGCCCCCGGGGTCACCGCACGCACACGTGCACGCGCCCTTACTCTGCTGGCCGCTCTCGGCCCTCCGGTCCCCAAACACAGCACCCACCTTGAGTTGCTTCACGAAGTGCTTCCCAACGGTGATTCCCGAGCTGGGGTTGCCCAGGATGATCTCAAAGTGCTCATCCAGGGCCAGGCGTGCCCGCACGTGGGCCAGCCGCTCGTAGGCCACGGCCGCCAGCGGTGAGCAGGGCACCCGCAGCAGGACCATGAGCCCGTGGCCGCAGGGGCACTGTTTGGGGGAGTTGATGAGGTTCTGGGTGATCTCCAGCGTCTCCACCGACGTGTAGTTCTTCATCTGCGAGAGGCCGCTCACAGCCATCATGGCGGCCGCGTAGTGCTGCACCAGGACAAAGGTCCGGATCACCGCGCTGTGCAGGCGGGGGAACCTGCAACCGACAGACGGACGGGCCGTGACCAGGCTGCTGCCGGCCTCCCGGGTGCCCGCGGCGCTCCGCGAGGAGGAAGACAGCGGCCGCCCGGCAAACAGGTGGCCCAACGCGTCCACAGCAGAGCCCGGATTACAAACACGCTGTGGTTCCTTTCCAAGCTGCATGTATCAAACCGGAAATAAAAACGCTACTTAGAGGTCAAATCAAAAACCCCTTTGTCATTTCAAGCTGGGAAACAAAAGCATAGGCTGGTGGTTGTTATTGAAAAGACTAGTAAATGTGAAAACACAGCAATGGAAACGACCTAAAATGAAACGGGGGTGGAGGGAACCAATGGTCATAGGATCGGAGAGCTCTGACTTCAAGCACCTTAATGTATGTGTTTTGGGATTATCCTAAAAGGGAGGAGGCATGTAGGAAAAAAATATTTGAGGAAATGACTAAATTTTTCTCATACTTGATGAAAATTCAATTAGCTTAAATACAAGAAACATGAAGAAAATTATGCCACGGCAGATCTTAAATTGCTTTAGATCAGTAACAAATTAAAAAATGTATAAAGCAGCCTTGTGGGGAGATGGGGAGCGGGGAGGGGAGGGCACATTACAGAGAGAAACAAAGGTGAGGATGGCAACAGATTTCATTTCAAAACAATGCAAGTCAGAAGACAGTATAGTGTTGGGGCACCTCGGTGGCTCAGTTGGTTAAGCATCCGACTTTGGCTCAGGTCATGATCTCACGGTTCACGGGTTCGAGCTCCGCATCGGGCTCTGTGCTGACAGCCGTCTCAGAGCCTGGAGCCTATTTCAGATTCTGTATCTCCCTTTCTCTCTCAGAAATAAACAAAACATTAAAAAAAGAAGAAGAAGAGGACAGTATAGTGTCATCTTTAATGTATTGAAAGAAAAAAAACAACTAAATTTTATACCCAGGGAAAATATCTTTCAAAAATGAGTCAAAATACACATCCCCAAAGGCAAGGGAATCAAGAGCAAAAATGAACTATTGGGACCTCATCAGATAAAAACCTCCTGCACGGCAAAGGAAACAATCAGCAAAACTAACAGGCAACCGACAGAATGGGAAAACATAGTTGCAAATGACATATCAGATAAAGAGCTAGTATCCAAAATCTATGAGGAACTCACCAAACTCCACACCCAAAAACCAAATAACCCACTGAAGAAATGGGCAGAAGACATGAACAGATGCTTCTCCAAAGAGGACATCCAGATGGCCGACACATGGCCGACACATGAAACGATGCTCAGCAACCCTCCTCATCAGGGAAATATAAATCAAAGCCACACTGAGACACCACCTCACACCAGTCAGAGTGGCTAAAATGAACAAATCAGGAGACTCTAGATGCTGGTGAGGATGTGGAGAAACGGGCACCCTCCTACACTGTTGGTGGGAATGTAAACGGGTGCAGCCCCTCTGGAAAACAGTGTGGAGGTTCCTCAAAAAATTAACATTAGAACTCCCCTATGACCCAGCAACAGCACTGCTAGGAATTTACCCAAGGGACACAGGAGTGCTGATGCATAGGGGCACATGCACCCCAATGTTCATAGCAGCATTTTCAACAATAGTCAAATCATGGAAAGAGCCTAAGTGTCCATCAACTGATGAATGGATCAAGAAGATGTGGTTTATCTATACAATGGAATACTATATGGCAATGAGAAAGAATGAAATCTGACCACTTATAGCAATGCAGATGAAACTCGAGGGTGTTATGCTGAGCGAAATAAATCACGCAGAGAAAAACAGATACCATATGTTTCCACTTATAAGTGGATCAGGAGAAACTTATCAGAGGACCATGGGGAAGGAGAAGGGGAAAAAAAAGTTGGGGAGAGGGAGGGAGGCAAACCATAAGAGACTCTTGAATACTGAGAACAAACTGAGGGCTGATGGGGGTGGGGGAGAAGGAAAGGGGGAGATGGGCATGGAGGAGGGCACTTGTGGGGGTGGGCACTGGGTGTTATATGGAAACCAACTTGACAATAAACTATGAAAGGAAAAAAAACACAAACAAAAAAAACCAAAATGAGTCAAAATAAAGACACACAAAACATAAAGAATTCATCAACAGTGGTCCTTCCCTATAAGAAATGTTGGAAACAAAAAGTCCTTCAGACAGAAGGAAAACAAAACCAGATGAATCCATATAAAGGAATTAAGTGCAGCGGAAATAGTTAACTATGTGCATAAGTATATTAAAATTTTTATTAAAATTTTTTTAAAAAAATTTTTTTAAAAAATTATTATTATTTAAGTATCTCTAAAAGATAATTGACTCAAGCAAAAATAACTTATTGTGAAGTCATAACATATACAAGTAAAATGTAAAAGAACAGAAGTACAATGTCTGGGAGGTGAGAAACAGAAATATATTATTATAAGAATCTTATATGTTAAGTGGCATAATATCACTTGAAAGTAGACTGTCATAGGTTAAAAACATATACTATAAAGTCTAAAGCAACTACTTAAATAACATAACAAAGAGTTATAGCTAATAAGCAAGGAGGTGGAGAGAATAAAATCATTTAAAAACTGCTCAATTTGCCCAAAAGAATGCAGAAAAAGGGAGACCAGAGAAGAGATGGGACAAGTAGAAAAATTGCAAGATGGTAGATTTAAACATAACCACAAAAATAACTACATTAAATGTAAATGGTCCAAACACTTCAATTAAAAGTCAGAGACTATCAGATGCAATTAAAAAAAAAGACCCAACTATAAGCTGTCTATATGAAAATAACTAAATACAAAGACACAAGTAGATTAAAGGTAAAAAGATAGAAAATTATAAACTATGCTAATCCTAATTTAAAAAAAAAAAGCTGGAGGGGCACCTGGGTGGCTCAGTTGGTTAAGTGTCTAACTCTTGTTTTCGGCTTAGGTCATGATCTCACAGGTTGTGAGTTTGAGCCCTGCATCAGGTTCTGCTTGGAATTCTCGCTCGCTCGCTCTCTGTCTCTCACTCTGCCGCTCCCCGACTTGCACACACACACGCGCGCTCATTCTCAAAATAAACTTAAAAAAAAAAAAGAAAGCTGGAGTAGCAGTATTAGTATCAGAAAAAGTATATTTTAGAACAAAGAATAATACTGAGTGTTCTGTAACGATAAAGGTGTCAATTCATTAAGAGACACTTCATCAAGGATCATATACAAATGACAAATGCATGAAAAGATGCTCAACATCATTAGTCATTGAAGAAACGCATTCTAAAATGAACTGTTGACACATATTGTATAACTTCATTTAGATAAAACACTAGAAAATGCAAACAGTCTATAGTGAGAAAGGAATAGGAAGAAATAATGACCAAGGGCAAGAGGACACCCCTGTTCACTATCTTAATTGTGGTGATGGTCCTGCCAGTGTTTACATATGTCCAACATCTCAATTAAAAGTCTGAACACCTTGAGGAGCCTGGATGGCTCAGTCAGTTAAGCATCTGACGTCAGCTCAGGTCACGATCTTGCGGTTCGTGGGTTCAAGCCCTGCATCGGGCTCTGTGCTGACAGCTCAGAGCCTGGAGCCTGCTTCAGATTCTGTGTCTCCCTCTCTTTCTGCCTCTCTCTCTCTCTCTCAAAAATAAGCATTAAAAATTTTAAGAAGAAACAAGTTAATAAAAGTCTGAACACTTTAAATCTGCACTTTACTGTATGTCAGTTATTCCTCACTAAAGCTATTATTTTAAAAAAAAAAAAAAAGAAGAAAAAGAACCACTGTGTGGGAGGCAAGAACCAGCCCAGCGGTAAGCAGCAGGTACAGGTAGAATGTGCTTGCCCCTAAACCCTTGTGGTTGGCCCTATGGGAAGGAAGCCCCAGAAAAAACACATTGGAACAAAAATGGAGTTGTCATGCCTAAATCTCAAGTCCCAGTAAGTGTGTGTCAGGTTTGTGGTTTCCCAAAAGATTCCCAGCCATGTGCTAGGGTCTGATTCGCATATGGCGAATCAACAGTCTGGCCGTGCACGTGGCGGCGAGAGGCAGTAACCGCTGTGTTCTTACCTGTTACGCCTTCTGTCCAAGTTGCCTGTTTCAAAAGAGTTTTCCAGACAGGTGATTCCTAGGAGAGGCAGCATGGTGTGGTGGAAAGAACATCGAACCTGCCTATATCATCCAGGTTGCCACAAACGGGATGTGTGACCCTGGGCAAAGCACTTCCTCTCTCTGGGCCCCCGTTCCCACAATGACAACATGGGGTGGCTGGGTGAAATGGTTCCTAGGAGTCGCTAGGATTCTCCACAATTCAACGTTCCAGAGTTTGATAGTCTCTTCTCAGTGAATGAATTCTAGTCTCTGTGCTACGTTTTAGTTTAGCGGGGGGGGGGGGGGGGGGGGGGGGGGGCGGGGAGGAAGAGGCTGGTGGTGCAGGTGATGGTGACAGGGACAGTCGTGAGGGTGGCGATGGTGCTGATGGTAATGGCAGTGATGGGGATGGTGCTGATCGTTATGGTGACAGAGATAGTGGCGTTGATGGTGCCGCTGGCGGTGGTGGTAATGGTGACAGTGATGGCGATGGCGGTGACAATGGCAGTGACGGTTGACATGAGCATGTAATATGCACCAGGCAGTGCTCTCAACGTATGATATGTATTAATCCACAGAATGCTCGTGACATCCCCACGCGGTAGGTACTAGTATCCCCACGGCGGATTGAGAAACTTCTCTAACGTCGCTCAGCAAACCACTGTTCCTGAGTCTGCACATGCTCGTGTTTCATGAGAACCCTCACAAGAAGCCACCGGAAGAGTAGATTTGTTCCCAGGTGAGGGTGCGGAAGTTTGGGCAAGTTCAGCGGCCTCCCGAAGGTTAAATCAAATAAAGTATAAGCCAGAACGCGTGGCCCTGGGGCCGCAAGCCGTGACACCTTGCTCCACGTGCATGCGGTTAGTGCTTCTACTGCTTTGGAGTCGAGTGGCAACGACGGGGTCCAGCTTCCCTACAAAACCCCCCACGTGACCTGGGGCAGGTGACCCGACCTAAGGGTGTGTCTTCCCCGCCACGTGGGGATAACAGGATCCGTCTCACTGTGCCGCCGTGAGGATCATACGAGGCAATACACGGAGCATGTTGGGCCCAGTTACCGGCCACTAAGCAGCCGGCAGAGTGGCTGCAGGAGGTGAGCAGGGCGGAGAGGTGGGGGCTGGGCTCCTCACTCAGCAAGTGGATGATCGCCCAGCTGCCCGTGAGTGAGGTGGAGAAGCGACCCGATGAGGTCCATCAGCATCGCTGCGCTGCAAGGGCTTTCTTTTCTCAAAGGGCATTCTGGGAAACCCTAATCCCCTGACCCCTGGGAGGTGCCACATGCTCTAGTCACAGTGCGCGTGACAACTGAAGGCTCGGGGAATTCTCGGGGAAAGGAAAACCTCCAATGTAAGGGTTCTCAAACACAGCTGGCCATGGAACCCCTTTGGGTGTAACAGCTGTTAGTATCCAGCCAGAGCAGCACCGCTGGGAACACAGCCAGAGAAGCAAACGTCTGATTCAATCCCCTTGGCGGCGAGGGAGAACGAGGTGCTGTGACAGCACGTGGTGGGGCCCGGCTCAACGCCCACAGCTGGAGGCAGAAATCACTGCGTTCTGCACTGGCCAGGCTGTCAAACTTGGCCTTCAAAACATATAAACCGTGTGGACGTCGGCAATCATTTCACCTCCCTGGGCCTCGGTTTCCCCATAGGAGACACGGGGGCATTAAAATCCACCTCACGGGTCTGCCGTGACACGGGCTGAAAGGGCCGGCTGTAGAGACAGGCTGCTTCTGGGTTCACAAAAGCAGTTCCAGCCCTTGCCAGACGTGTGGCCCAAGGAGGTCACGGGGTCCCCTCTGAGCCTCTGTTTACTTACCAAAGGGAGATAATAATAGCAACTGGCGAGAGGTGGTGAGGACTAAATAAGATAATGGGCGTAAGGTTCTTAGAGCAGCAAAGAGCACACAGTCAGCCCTCAAAAGATGATGCACAAAGGACATGAGAGATGAAGCCAGCGAGGCTGCTCACCGTCTTTCCCTTTAAACCTTTGGTGTTTCACCTCCCACTTTCTTGGGCTCCCTGAGCCTCACACACACCACTTCACATTCCAACATATTTCTGCCCATTCTCATCTCTAAAACGTTCTGGAACAATCACTGGCCCAACATGCAGGGAAAGGAATACGCCAGGGTCCCCTTCATGGAGGGACGAAGTCAGCCAGGAAAGCAGGAAGGCGGCTCGCTTCCCGGAATTCTCTGGCTGCACGTGCTTCAACTTGCACTTGACTCCTGAGCATTTTTCAGCAACTTTCAACAGAGACGTGTACCTTTTTCCTAACGCTGTAACCATGGCCTCAAAGGAGCTGTCGTATCTGAGCAAAGGGAGGCTGTGTCCCGAAAGGGTGGACTCGATGAACTCTGACAGCCCGAAGTACTTCTTGTTCTCAGGATACAAGTCCACCCCCTAAAACAGAAAAGAACGCCAGTCACTTGGACGCCGCATTTGGGAGGATGCAGAGATTCACATGCCGTAGGTGACCGGCACCAGCATCTTGATCTAAACAGGGCCGACTCTTGTACTTTGCACAACGCTTTATACTTGTCTTTTCTCTGTAGACCCAGAGGACTTAAAGGACGGTGCCTCCAGTATCAGTCAAGGCTTTTCCATTCATTCGGCGCCAGTGCCTTTGCCAAGAAGAAAACCAGCCTTGATTTTTAAACCCACAACTTTGTTAAAACTGTTTCTAACTATTTGAAGCTAGTTTTAGGAAGAGGCATGAGGTGGCTATTGAAATCAGCAAGGAAAAAAAAATACATTTACCCGATCAATTTCACTCCCACTGACTTAGCATTCCTCCTAAACTATCATTAGAGCTTCTCCAAAGTCAGAGCATACCAGAGCTGGAGAGGTCGATAAAACCACAAAGACACCAACTTCGCCCCCAGATGGCAGCCCGGTTAAGTGTGAGGCCACAGAGCCGGGCGGACTGGGTCCTTTCTGACCCCACCACTCTCTGGCTGCGTAGTCTTTGGGGAAGTGGCTCAACCTTCCTCTGTCTCTTTCTCTCCATTTTTAAATGAGAAATCGTCAAGCCCCTGGCACTTACAGGAGTTCAGATGACAGAGCACTCAGAGCAGTGCCTCCCCAGCTCACAAACGAGCTCCATAAATACTTGCTAACTACCACCACGGACTCGGAATCCATGGACGGAAGCCAAGCATCAGTATCTTTATAAGTTTCTCCAATGAGTCCGGGACTTTCCAAAGAAGTCTAGAACTTAAGGTGTACTTGCTACTCGTACCATGTACTAGAATCCAACCACCCAGAACTCTCAGATGGTTAGTTGTGGCCCTCTACTTTGATGAGAAAACGCAGGGGATACACTAAAACCTCACCAGGTTTCATGGATGTGTGTTCCGTTTGCGGAAGGAGATTTTGAACCTTGCAGTTTAAGGATGTGGGGACAGGAAAAACGGGAACATTTCCGAGGCTTTTAGACGACATGTCACACGTCCTAAGATGGGGAAGGTAACTAATGTATGTGGGGAAAGTTCCTAAAGACCAGGAGGGGTTTAAAATCTAACTCAGGGTCAAATCAAAGATCCAGGAAACTAGGACCCACGTGGTCCCCAACTACATTCATTAATCAAGAGTTTTATGGAACCAAATTTCTCCCACCTCAACTGGTGTCACTGTGACCCCAGGCCCCGCAGCCCAGCGGCACTCACGCTGCTGTAGGAAGCCGGCCAGTAGATCTCATTGTAGGGGCTGATGAGGGTGTGTTGTGTCTGCAGCGCATAAGGGAAGGAAGTCACGTGCAGCGTCACGATGTTGGGGGCCTCCTTCACCTCTCTGCAGTTCAGCAGCCTGTCCACCAATCCCACAGCCGGGTCACTTTGGGAATAGAGATTATGAACAGCGCTGCTGAGGGAGGAAAGTGGGGAGAAGTTAAGAGTGAGTGGGACTAAGACACTGTAATTTCACAAGGATCGAGCAGCCGAATATGTGTATAACTAGCCCCACGCCCCCCAAATTTGCAAGTAATCAAAGCTGATGGGGGCTCCTGGGTGGCTCAGTCGGTTGAGCGTCCGACTTCGGCTCAGGTCATGATCTCACGGTTTGTGAGTTCGAGCCCCGCGTCCGGCTCTGTGCTGACAGCTAGTTCAGAGTCTGAAGCCTATTTCAGATTCTGTGTCTCCCTCTCTCTCTGACCCTCCCCTGCTCACACCATCTCTTTCTCTCTCAGAAATAAATTTAAAAAGCATTAAAAAAAAAAAAAAAAGCTCATGGCTCTGACCCCACAGAGGGATCTGACCATCTGTCAGGGATCCCCTGATACTCGTTACTAACTACTGTGGCTGGGGGAACGGTATTTAGGGAAGACTGCTTGCAGGATACACAATCCTTCTACTCCACAGGAGCAGTGAGTCCCGCCCAGGAGTGCTCCTCTGTGGCCCCATCTGATTGTGTACTTGACTCGTTAAATTCTTCCCCTGAAATTCCTACTACCTGAAGCAGTCCTGAGAGGATATAAAATGGTGCGCTCTATATTAAATGTAAAGAACAGGATCAGGAAGGGGAATCATTTTGGACAAAGAGCCTAGGAGACCAGCACAGCTTGGCTGTTCCCTGTGGGCCATGGCCTCAGCCTTCTCTTCCAGCCACTCAGCAGAACAGAAAAAAACCTAGTAACCTTTTGCAGGGAGCCAACTCGGAGAAACCTACGCCCAAATGGATATTCATGATACAGCTCTTTATACAACGTACGAATACCTCTGAGGCCATGCGGGGACCTGATACTGCGTGCCCTCCAGATGGGTGATCTTTGAGCTTCCGGCCAGCCCTAAGCTTCTGACGCTGTGCTAAGTCAGAGCCTCCCTCTGCGATCAGACCCAGGGTCTCCCTTCCATCCTCACGCAGTCAGTGGCAATGTCTAAATGCATGGTCTTCAGCCCAGTCTAGGGAGCCGACTGAGCCCGCCAGCCTCCCACCCTGACGCCATCTAAAATGCATCTAGATTGACATGCATTCGAATTGAGTACATAAAATCACCCCCAAAAGGGAGCTATTCCAGTTTGGATCCTCCACTCCCTCCCCGCACCAGAGGGGGCGCCTCGTCGCTGAGTGGGGCGCAGAAAAAGCACCAGGCTGCGAGTCAGGGACCTAGTTCTAGGCCAGCTCTGCCACTGACACGCTCCTGAGCCCACCCAGCAACACCGAGCCTGGTTCTGTGGGTACCCTTCCGAGCCTCCACTAGGCGCTCCCTGAGACACCCTCCAGCTCTCAGATTCTGGAGCGCATCCACGACATCGGCTTACAAACGCCCAAACTCCAACATCGCTCATCTTGTCAAGGCTTGTACCCACAGTCCCAAGTGTCGCCCATATACTAACACGATAAAACATCAACCACGCCATACGCCAAAGCCACACGCTCACCTCACGAGGTCCCAGTGGGCGTGGTCGTGGATCAGGACAAAAAGCGTGTGCGGGTTCTGAAAGGAGTTTTGCAGAAAGGACTTAAATCTGGTCTGGGCTTCGGCATCAAGCTTCAACACGTACTGTTCAACCCTCTGCTTGGTCATGTGCTCCTTTTCCAAGCCGAGCTCCAGCAAAACCCCTGTAACGTGGTAAAAACACGGTAAAACAGGACAAGAAACACCCCTGTCCCAAGCTTTTTGTTCATCCAGCGGGCACGTGCCTAGGCCCCGAGGCTATGGATATGGGAGAGAGGTGGGCGAGCGGGGACGGCCGGCGGTATGCACACCACTGTCACACGTGTGTCCATGGGAGCCGGGCGCAGAGGCGGGCCTGTTGCATGGGGGGTTGTGCACACAGCATCCCACCCAGGGGCACAGCCCAGCTGGCTTCAGGAAGCGGGGGATCCCAGGCCTGGTGTGACTGAAGGGAAGGGTGAGGTCCTATCCTCCGCCAACCCCAGCAAAATCGTCCCCCAGCCTGAATGCCAATGAGCTTCAGGTTGTGTAACTTAAAGCTAGAACGTTTGAGTTAAGACACGAACTCTTTGTGTCTTTCACACTTTACCCCCTTGAAAACACAAGGAAAATACATTAAGTTGAAGCAGGATATCAACACGTAGGTTGCTGACCTGACCAGGACAGACTGGAAATTCAAGTCCTGGTTCTAGCTTTAATGGATTACAAAATCTCGGGCAATTCGCTATCCCTGAGGGTCTGTTTCATGCTCTACGAAATGGGGGTAATAACACTTGCCCTCCCTACTTGCGGGGCAAAGCCTGGTATTTCAAATCCAAATCTGAATTTAAGAGGATGAAAGCTTCTCCGCGTAGATGTCACAACGTGTCCCTGAGTGCCCCGTACCTGAATGCCAGACATGGAACAGAGTCTGCTGATAGGTCACTTCTGAGGGTGGAATGCAAATCAGAAAGTCCACCTTCTCGAAGGATCCCAAGTCCAAATTCTGGGTACTGGAATCCGCAATTGAACACACGTGGGAGAGGAGCTTCTGAGCCACGGCCAGCTGGAAGGGCCGGATGTGGTGGGGCTCCAGACCGTAACCTAGAACCAGAGCCCCCGTAAAGGTGAGGTGCCCTCTAGAGCAGAGCGCCGCTACCCCAGAGCTCCGCCAGGGAACCCATCAGAGGGCCCCTGTCTAGCGCAGAGTGACTGAAGCGGGAAACACCAACATTTATCCAGTGCCTGCTCTGGGCCATGTACCGTTTAACCCTTTCTGTAATTGAGTAACAAAGGACGAACGGCACCCAGGGAACACAGAGGCAGTGACCTACTACACCGAAGGGGACAAAGACAGCATCCCAGGGAAGGTGACCCTGAGAATGGACTTTGGAAGAGGCTGCAGGTTCTCTGGAAGGGAAGGAGACCCTCACGGTTCCTCAGGACCTTGGGATGAATGAGCTATTTCAGCAACGCCTTGGTAAGGTGGACATCAACACGGAGCAATGCACTATCTCAGGACAAGTGGACATGTCTGGGTAAGATGAGACTATCGGCATTAAAGACTAAAATTAAAATTACGTATTACTCCACTCAGACCCTAAGAGGTCCTGCCTTCTGGATGTATCTCTGACATCACTAGCTCAGAGCCCCCGGCGTCCCCTGGCCGCTGGCTTCCTGGCATCACTCACTCATGCATGCCGGTGCGTCCAGGGAGGCTGCTTTGCTGACAGCGGAGGCAGTAAGCGACGACGAAATATGGCCTTGATTTTCCTGATGAAATTTGTCCAGCAAAATGTCAATGTCCCCCTCTGTCCAAAACAGAGAGAACAATAGAAATGGGTTTTCCATCCCAGTGAAATTCGGCAAACATCCACGCAACACCTAGTAGGTACGAGGCAGTGTCCCGTGGGCCTAGGGTGATGGAAATAAAGGAGACAGGGCCCATCCAGTCAGGGAGCCCACGGCTCAGTGAGGAAGGCAAAGAGGTGAGAGAAAATGGCCCGGTGACGTGGTAGGTGCTGGGACGGAAGGGAGACCGGATGCTAAAGGACAGGAGGAAGGGGTTTGAGCCCCTCCTAGAGCAGAAAGAGGCAGGGGAAGTTTCCAGCAAGGAGCTGGGCAGAGAAGGGGGGGCAGAACTCACAGCAAGAACACGCAGACTGAGGGACGGCTCCGGGAAGAAGCCTCAAGCTATTTGGAGGGGGGCCCGGGGAGCAGCAGTGCGCAGGGCCAGGGAGTACAGAGGCAGAGACATAAGACCCTTGCGTGGCCCCGAAACCAGAAACCACAAAGCCCGCCGCCTCGGAGAGCCCGCAGCCAGTGCACGAGCACGGCCAGCCAGAAGCCACCGCAGAAGGGTCGTAAATGCTCATACAGAGAACGGAGGCGTCCCCTGCGCACCCAAACCCAGGCCTGCCCCCCCACATCTAGGGAACACGCACCTTTGCGTCTTTGTTCCCGCCCCTCCCACTCGTGAGTTTACACCCGTCTCCCCACGGGCTTACCTGGACAGAGGGTGCTGAAAAACGCCCCCAACAAGTCCACTTTCCCGGTGACCAGCTCGTAGCTGACTTCCTTCTGGTACTCCGCTGGGGTGAGAAGGCTCTCGGAAAGAATTCGGGCTTGGTATTTTCCTGGAAGACACGCAACTCTCCGTGAGCCCCTGGACCACAGTCGGCCTCCTCTCGCCCCCTCGTTCCCTGAAGCCCGTCACCATGCGGGGTCAAGAGTGGGTGTTCATGTCGGCTAAATGAATAAATGGCATCCTGGCCCAGGTTAATAGGATGGTAAGAGGGGAAACCCAGAACACTGGCCTTGGAGCCTCTCTTCCCACTTACTAGCCGAGTAACCTGAGCTACTTAACGCTTCCGGCCCCGTTTCGCCACCTGAAACAGGCCTAAGAGCACTCTCCGCTTCACAGGACTGTCCGAGGGCTGCAAACAGGCACCATTTATAACACTGCTTACTCCCAATCCCCGACACACAACAGGCCCCCAGGTTTACTTCCGAGAGTGCTACTCCAATCACGTAAATAGTTTATTAAAAAAAAAAAACACAGAGTTTAGGATCAGGACTGCTCAAGGATAACAGGCAGTGCACAGGAACGATATATACTTTTAAAGTAAATAAAAAGATATGAAAACTTCAGGCTTAAAACAAGTAACACCCGTGGTGTCGTTTTTTTTAAACAGTTAAAAAAACGGGAGTGTGGTGACGGGACAAAAATTATTCTGAAATTGACAAACCGACCCACGAAGATCTATGAACACAGCACAACAGCGCAGCCCCACACCATCCACACCGAAAACCCCACAGTCACCCAGAGCCAGGCCGCTCCACTGCGCCTCCCCCGGCCCCGCCCCGGCCCCCTGCACTGGGCACCAGACAAATCCAGCCCCTCCCTGGGTCTGTTCTCCACACACAAACAGGTGCTTCTAGAACAAAAGCCAGGTAACAGCCCTTCTCTGGTTAAAACCGTCCAAACAGTCTCTCAGTTCACACAGGGGAAAATTCCAAAGCTCTGATGAGGCTGTCAGGGCCCCACACAAGGCCCTAGCCCCAGCCTCCTGCTTGCCTGGGAGACGCCAGGCATGGCACGCCGCCACATGGTCGGGGGCCCCCCGCGGCTGTCCCCGAGGCAGCCGCGTGCGTCTGCTTCCTCATTTCTCTGAGGCCCCTGCTCTTAACGTCGCCTCTTTACATAGGCTCTCCTGCCCCCTCTTGATAACTAGCTCCCCACGTGGGATCCCCCTTCCCTGGGCCCTTCTACCTGTGACACTCTGCACTGGCTTCGACGTCTGTGCCCCACATACCAGGACGTGTGCGCCTGTACCTGCTAGTATAGCTCCCGGGAAGCTGGGACCCTCTTACCATCACTCCTGTATCTCTGGTCCCTAGAACTGTGGCTGCACACAGTAGGGCTTCCATAAGTTTTTTTTAAATTTTTTTAATGTTTTATTTATTTCTGAGAGAGAGAGACAGCGTGAGCAGGGGAGAGGCAGAGAGAGAGGGAGACACAGAATCCGAAGCAGGCTCCAGGCTCTGAGCTGTCAGCACAGAGCCCGACGTGGGGCTCAAACCCACGAACCGTGAGATCATGACCTGAGCCGAAGTCGGATGCTTAACCAGCTGAGCCACCCAGGTGCCCCCCATAAACATTTTTATAATGTATTCGTTTGTGGACTCGTTAACCCACATAAAACAGTAGGACCACTGGGTTTTTTTGTCCTCCATGAGCTCACTGAAGGAACTGAGGGCCAGAGTCATTAAGTGACCAGTCATCTCAGCACCAGGTGCACAGACCCAGGCTTTCCACCGGGTCTATCCACACCCCAGGGCTTCCCGGCCTCTCTAGGGCTTGGCAAGGGGGGTGCTCACCGCCCTCTAGGAGGAGGAATGGATTTGGATGCAGAGGCCAGCCAGGGCCCGAGCAGCACCCACCAGGGGGGGCTCCGAGCACTAACCACCCACTGCTGCAAAGGCCGGGCCGCCAGAGGCAAAAAAGCGCGGAGCTGCAAAGGAAGAGGGCCGGGAAACGGCCGCGGCCGCTGATTTCGGGCACGGGGCTCACCGGTGACGGCGACGCAGGAGTCGATGGCCGGGCTGTGGCAGGCGCGGACGATCACCACGTAGTTGGTCTTGGCGAGCTTGCCCTCGACGAGCAGCCGGAACATCTCGGAGAGGCCCTCGGCCAGGGAGTAGGTGCACTCGATGATGTGCACGCTGTCGTTGCAGGAGCTGGCGGCCAGGCCGGCGAGCCACGGCAGCTGGGCCGAGGTGACGGGCGCCAGGGCGCCGGGCGCGGGCGGGCAGGGCTGCGGCGGCGCCTGCTGGTACTGCCGGATCTCGGTCAGGTGCGATTCGCGCCACGAGCGCAGGAAGATCTGCTCCAGGTCCTCCATCAAGGGCACCTGGTCGGCTGCTGGCAAGGACAGGGCGGCGGGAGAGGCCTCAGCGCCGGCCGCCGCCCACAAGGCAGGGGGCGGTCCTGGGGAGCCTCGTGCAAGCGGACGCAGAAGTAACGCAACCCGCATCATGATGCCCAACCGTCTCAGGGACCGCTGGGGGGCGAGGGAGGGCGCCCGAGCAGCCAGGAGCTCCCCATCCTAACAGAGCCGCCACTCTCTTTCTGGTCCTCGGCCTGGGTTTCATGTGCGGGTTTTAAATAGCGGCAGGGACCGGGAGCCTACGACTTGAGTTTTCTCTCCTTTCCCCACCTTCTCGCTGCAACCCCGCTGCGCCCTGTCCGCGGCGGCGCCTAGCGCAGTCCCTGGGCACACACGGCCCTCCCTGGGAGGCACTACCGCTTACTCAGCAGTGTCTCCACTGTCGATCTTTTAATGCTGCAGAATAGCCACCTAAGTGCTTCTGCCATACACGACTTTACACGTAGAACCTAGCTTCCTAGCGTCTCGGCACTGGGCTTCCGGACCCACTGGTACCCATCGCCAGACTGTTTCCAGGTGGTCTACATGTGTCCACCTACTGTGACTTTAGAGTCACCTGATGACACAGGTTTTACTGCATCTTTAGCTCCACAGGATACCAACGCCTGCGTTACTGATTTGAGAAATACGTTACTGATCTGATGCCTAGCGAGACTGAAGACGGTCAGCATTTCTTTCCTGTGGGTGTTTTCTGGTTCATTTGTCCAAATCTTATATCTGGGTGAGCTGGAGGGAAGAGCACCACACTTCGATTCAGAAGACGTGCTTCCTTCCGGTTCCACCCGACACCAGCTCGGATCTAGAGCTATCCTACTTAACGATACGGATTCCTGATCTGAAAAATGGGGATGACACCACCCACTCACCGGGCTATGTCAAGATCTGATTAGATTAGCCATTAGGCCTCCCATCTTTAAGATCTTTCCCCTTAAGCCCACGTCCCCTTCTGGAATCACCATCGCAAAGCCAAGCTCCTGGGAGTTGTCTACGCTCACTGCGCCTGCGTCCTCTCTCCAACCCTCTGCAGCATGGCTTCTGTCCCCTACGCTCCTCGTACACACCCATCATCATGGGTGCCAGTCACTCCCACACGCCCAGACCCAATGGCCAATCATCAGTCTTCACTCCGCTCTTGGTCTCACTGACTCAGGTGACTGGTCCCTCTCCTGAGATGCTTTCACAGGATTCTGCTTCCATGTTTATCTGTTCCTTCACCGCATGCCAGCCGAGGGACAGTTTTACACCACAGGTGCCGCTGGACACACAGATGTGAATGAAATCAACATTCCTGACCCTACATCCTAACCGGGGAGATGCACCGAAAGTGGGCAAATACACGGCATGGTGGTGCCGGTGCACTAAAGGCAAGATAAAGAGGAGACAGACCCCCAGGGGTCTCAGGAGGGGGCACTGTCTTAGACACGGCGATGATAAGGCTCTCCTTGAGGTGACAGAGGAAGTAAAACTCGGAGGACAAGAAGCAGTAGTTGTGCAAATGTCCTGGGCAGGAGCGTTTCTCGGGAAAGGGACAGCAAGCGCAGGGTAGAAGCGTCTGCCCCGGGGAACAGCAGGGCGGGAGCAGAGGTATTGGGCGGCCTGGTCACTTGGACCCTGGAGCCGGGATGGGTCGAGTGTGTGACAGGGCACCCCGGTGGTCTCCAGCAGAGAACAGATGTGATTAGTCACAATCGCAACAGCTGTGCAGAACAGGGGTGGAAGGGAGGTGTGATGGAGAGGGTGTGGATTTGGGACGAAGCAGGGCTTACCAGTGGGTGGGATGTCGATGGTGAGAAAGAATGAGAGACCCACACCCACATTTTCCTAGATTCCTGGCCCACCCAGGGAACATTCTCCAGGTTCCCTGACCCCCACGCCTCCCTGGCTGCTCTGCCCGCCCCCTCCTCCAGATCTCTGACCACGGGGGTGCCTCAGGGCTCAAACGGGATGCCTGGGGGCTCTCATCCAGTCTCCCAGCTTCGGTTCAGATCATCCCTGGGCCAGCATTCCCCAAATGTACACCCTCGCTGCACCTCCTCCCTGGGACTCCAGTCTCATCTGGCCCCATCCTGGACTTGACCCCGTGGCTGCCTCGTGTGGCATCTTGAACTAGAAACTGTCAAGACGGAATTTGTGCTCGCCCTCTGGCTCCACCATCCAGCTGGGGGCTCAGGCCAAACTCCAGGCTGCACCCCCCACCTCCCTTCCAGCCCACCACCCTTCCCTTCAGAGTAAAGCCAGCGTCTCTCTCCCGTGAGCCTGAGTGGCCAAAGCCACCCCCACCTGCACTGGGACAACGCAGCCCCTGCACCATCCGGTCCCACACAGCAGCCGACATGCATCGTCTTGAAGTCAAGGTCAGATCACCTCCACCCCTTGCCTAACACTATCCCAGAGGTGCTGCGGATTGAATTACGGCCTCCCCAAATTCACACGGGGACGCCCTCACCCTCAGTGTGACTGCGCTAACGTTAAGGGAGGTCGGTAAAGCCCAGATCCAGGGGGATGGTCATGGTCGTATCAGAAGAGACGAGCCACCGGCCCTCACGCCCCCTCCTCACCCCACCTCCCAACCTCCTCCCAAGGCTGCTCCTTCCACTCAGGTCTCCACCTGAACAGCGTCTCCCCACAGAGGTCTTTCTCGGGACGCGCAAAGGACCCCACAGCCCCCTCTCCCTGCCCACACGCTCCGCCTGCTCACCGTTCCTCCCCCGCTAGAACATGCTCTCCCTGAGCCCTCTGTGCACCTGGAACGGCAGGCGAATGGTCCTGAATCATCTCTCTGTGGACCCCCACCTCCTCGAAGCCCCTCCCAGGCGCTGGGGTGGTGACAGGACAGCACCGTCAGCAGCTTCCCGGCACGTCCTCCCCGCCAGCCAGCGTGGGGCCCGCGCGGTGGGAGGGGGGCTCACCCAGCTGGACGAGGTAGTAGACGGTCAGCAGGAGCTGCATCTCCTCGGAGATGGGCTGTATGGCGGAGGCCCCGTAGTGCTCGTACGCTCGGGAGATGGACTGAGAGTTCTGATAGCAGGTGGAGAGGAGGGGGCTCACGACGACGTCATTCAGGTTCCCACAGAGGTACGGGAAGTTCCCGTGGCCTGCGCAAGAAGAAGCCACGGCTGCTCGGTGACTCGCGTGGGGCACACGCGGCCCCACACGTGGGCACGTCCAAAGGCCAGGGAGCCCAGGCGGGCAGGCGAGGTGCCCCAGGCTACCTCCTGCGTCGCCTTTCGGGGCGATCACAGATTTCCCGCCCTCGCTGAGCTAGTGCACCTGCTCCGAATACCGACCGGGCCTCCAGCATTTGCCTGTTCATTGTGTCTGATCCCTTGTGACTCACAGGTGAGCACTCGAAGGCCCGGAGAGACGTGCCCGAGGCCGAACAGGCATCCCGCCGCTGCCCCCCAGCACTGACTACAGAATGTCCGCCGGCCAGCCCCCACCTCCCCGACTTGTCCACGGTGGGTTCTGCGTCACCTCCCCCCAGGACTCTCTGGCCAGCTGAGTTAAGAAAATAAATCACTGCGCAGACTGGAGGTGCGTGATACTGACAGAACCCGACCAATGCTCTAGCCCACGCTGGGAGATCAATTCCCAGAAGCCTCAGTGGCAGAAAAGCCTGGCCGGACTGACTCTCCCCTCTGAGCTGGGCGTCAGCTATGTGGCCCCGGGCAGGAAGGAGGACTTCTCTAAGTCTCAGTCTCCACATCTGTAAAATGGGTTGAAGACGTACAGCCCCCACGGGGCTGCCGAGATAACTAGATGTGCTAAACACACGCACACTCTCCTGTGCTCAGACGGTCTGTACTTGTTTACCAAACACACACTTACTAAATACCTGCTGTATGCTGTGTGCTGGCATCATGCTTGGCCCTGGGGGAAATCTGATGACTGAGGCAGTTCACGTCCTCAAGCAACTGCTTCTCAAACCTCAGGCTGAAAGGCAGCCTGAAACAAACATAGATTTCTGGGCCCTCCTGCATAGCTTCTGATTAGGGAATGGGTGATTCTGAGTCCAGGCTGGGCCTGGAAATTCGCCTTTAACAGGTCCTGGATGATGCCAGACCTGCTGGACCAACGACCACAGTCGGGGCGCCCCTGTTTCCGAACATTACGGTTTAAACTGCACTGGGGCCCAGGTGGAAGAAACCAAGGCAGCCTCGTGGAGAAGGCACACGGGTTTGGGTCTTAGAGCACAGGTGGGGTCTGGGCATGAGGTGGGGGGGGGGGGGTGGAACCAGCACAGCAGGCGCGTTCCAGAGAGGGCGGGGCTGAAACAGAGCACCTGGGCCAGAAGGTGCCATGAACTTGAGGAATAAGGAGACGGTCTACACCTGAGGTCGTCAGGGCGGGTCTGCCGGACCCTCGCCCCGGCTCCTCTGAGGCTCCTGGCTTGGGTGAGGTGCTCATGCTGGTGCGGTGCTGCCTGCTCTGTTTTCCCACCCGTGTTCTCACAGTGTCTCACAGGCACGTAATGACTGTGCACAGGATACATGTGACGCTGTTGCACCTTGACCTTCATCTCAATCAGCCAAGAGGGCCCAATGGGACTAGTGGCCGTGCCTCATGCCCAATTCAAAACTCAGATCAGCACCCTCTTCCTAAATGCCCTGTCCACTTCATTTTAGGAAAAAGAAAGGCGTGCCTCTCGATTTCTTAATTACCAGTAAGATACCTCTCTCACTTTCTTACCACCCTCTTTCCTTGAGTCCTACAAACACAATACCAGACCGAGCATTAACTTCTCTAAGAAGGATCTGGATGTGCGTGCCTGTGTGTGTCAACACAGGCCAGCACGCCGTACCGGCGACCATCATCGCCATCACCCAGGTCCCACCAGTCACATTTCAACCCCTCCTGCCGCCCTAGAAAGGGACTCCTTTAAGTGAAGCAAACATCTGCCTGCACGCAGCACCCATTCACCTGCTGTCACAAAACAGAGCAAATCCAGCTTCGTGTTTCCACATGGTGACCACGGCCATCTGTGCCCAAAGTCAGATTTCACAGTCTGGATGTACGAGAGGCACAGAATGACACAGGACAACCCATCAGACTGGGGGGCCTTGGAATAAGGGGAAAACGAGTGAAGGAGCAAGCAAGCGAATGAACAGATGGACGTCATGGAATAGAACCATGCCGCTTGGGCGTGTGGGAAACCGTGAAAGGCTCTAGAACTCTAGGCCTCTGATCAGGCGCGACACCAGTGAGCGGTCTGCTCGTCCCTCCGTTGCTGTGGACAGGGCCTGAGAGTTTTCTCAGAGGGACGCCCTTGGAGTCAGCCAGTTGCCTGAACCGTGCTCATCCCTCCAGGCCCCCACCCCCGCCACCGGTCCCACTGCCGCACTTGCCTTTAAATATCACCGGCTTGGCCTTGCATATTTTGAGCAAGTTGTCAGGAACGGACACTGGTTCTCCGGAGGCCACAACGGGAAAGGTGACAGAAGGCGGTCCCACCGAGCCGACCTGGGGCGTGCAGGACATGCCTGCGCCCTCTAGGGACAGGCCAAGAGTGTTAGGAAGACACCCCAAACAAGCCACCCACCGCCCAGCAGAGCTGACATCAGGCTGGCCTCCGAATCCGCTACAACCTGACCCTCACCCCCTCTTGTGGGAGCACCAAGCCTTGGAATCACAGATTCTGAGGTCAAAGCATCTTTAAAGTCGCTTGATCCAACCTTCCCCACCAAACAACCCAGTCTCCTCTTCAATCTCCAAGCCACGTGACAGGCAAGCCCCCTTAAGTTCCTTTAGGGTCAGGAGCTAGCTCATATGGGAACCCTGGGCTTTGTTGAGCAGCCCCAACATGGGAGAAAGAGACCCCCCACTTTATACCCAAGCCTGCCCCCCCAGAACACCCTCACTGATTCACACAAAAGCACACACACGTGCACACACGCCTGCACCCCACCAGCAACACCACCGCGGGTACCTGCGTCTTGGATTTTGGGGGAATATCACTTACCATACTTAGCTCTGCTCCCACCACTCTGGGCGTAGCCACCATCTGTAGCTGACGGAGATTCTGGGGACCATCCTTTGTGGCGTTTTTTAGGGGGCCCAGAGTTTGATAAAATACCTAGAGAACATGCAGACTACGGATTAGGCTGCCACTAAGGACGAGCTTCAATACATTCCCCTACTTTGGAGAAGACGCATTTGTTATTTTTTTTAAAAATCAGAGCTTTACAATGGTCATTAGCTGTTTAGGGAAGCGTCTGACCACGAAATATCCCATCCATTTCAGTGAACATTTCATTCCAAACCATGTAAGAGCCGAAGCCTGATCTCTGAGCCTTAGCACACCCTCATCTTTAAAAATGGGATCATGGGGGGAGGGGGGGTACACCTGGGTGGCTCAGTCGGTTAAGCGTCTGACTTCGTCTCAGGTCATGATCTCACGGTTCATGGGTTCGAGCCCCGCATCGGGCTCAGCCAGCTCCAAGCCTGGAGCCTGTTTCAGATTCTGTGTCTCCCTCTCTCCCTGACCCTCTCCTGCTCATGCTCTTTCTCTCTCTCAGAAATAAATTAAAAAATTTAAAAATAAAATGGGATCATAGGGGCATCTGAGTGGCTCAGTTGGTTAAGCACCCAACTTCTGCTGAAGTCATGATCTCACGGTTTGTGGGTTCAAGCCCCGCATTGGGCTCTGTGCTGACAGCTCAGAGCCTGGAGCCTGGTTCAGATTCTGTGTCTCCCTCTCTTTCTCTACTGCTCTGTCTCTCAAAAATAAACATTAAATAAATAAATAAATAAAAGCAAAATAAAATGGGATCATAGCGCCTGCTGTGAGAGGTGGTCTGATGAAGGCTGAAGAGAATGCAGCTAAAGCACAGAGTTGGGGCCCCCTGGATTCGCCCCAAGATCAGATCCTCCTTCCCCTCCTCCCAAACCGCCCGATCAATGACTATGTGCTTCTGCAGATAAGCCAGTGCCCTTCAATCCACCACCACAGTTTCACCACTTGGGGGCAGTACCGCTCCACCTGTGTTCCTCTCCCACCCCAGCCTTGACCACTTACCTTCAGACCAAAGAAAACAATGGGCACAGAAGCTGGTACCTGCTGCTGTTAATGAGTCATCCCTGCCCACTTAGAGAACAGCATGTGCAGCATGTGCGTGACTCACGCTCTCTCCCCGGGTTATTCAAAACATCAAGCGTTGGTTACCGTATTTTTTTGAGCAATCCGACCTAGGATCTCCCCTACATTTAGAAGTACATGTTCAGCTGTGGCTGCCCATTAAACTCACCAGGAAACCTTTAAAACTCTCTGCACCTGGACACAACCCCATCCCAGGTAAAGCAGAACCGAGCATCTGGGCGGGGGGAGCCCAGGCACAGCGGTGGTGACTCTAACTCAACCCGGGTTGAAAAGCACCGTTGAGGGCAAGGTTTCTGTAAGTGTGTCCTGAGAAGGAGCTGGACAGAAGCAGGAGCGTGTGAAAACCATCCGCTCCCGGGCCCAGCCTTGACCTACAGACCCAGATTTCTGGAAACAAGAATGAGAAAATGCCACTATTCACAGGTGCCCTGGGTATGCTTATGCGCCCTGCAGTTTTCTGCTCCAGGGCCTCTTAAAAGTGGTAAAATTCTGCTTCCCTCCTCCTTAGACTGATCAAAAATGAAGAAAGGGAACAAAAAGTTAAAACAGAAAATATGGGGTTTACACACAGCTTTCAAGCAGGCGGGCTCCTTCGACCCCCAGCAACAGCCGAGGCCGCTACTATTATCGCTGTTCTGTTTATCTTCCATCGTCTTCTACTGCCGACCATCTGTCCTCAGGGGCCAGCAGGTAGCCCCCACAGGGACCCAGACGCCTCTAAAAGCTCCACCCACTCTGGTGGACTCGGCTTATCGACTCTCCCAAAGTGACCACTGTGGACCCGTCTTCACGGTGTCTCCCGGAATCGGGTGGAGGCACCACCTGGCATCTTGGGTGAGCGACTTCTTATTAGGATGTCTCCTCACTCCAGGACTTGAAGCACCCGGACCCCCTGTGCGGGACCAAGAAAGGCCCCTGGCCACTTGCTAACACCCCCCGCGAGGGGGCAGGGCTTTCCCACTCAGGACCGCTGAGCAACAACCCTGGAGCCCAAAGTCAACTCATCTTGTAGTTTCAGGAGGAGCTGCCTACAATCGACTCCCTCTCTCCCCAGAGCGGGCGGGAAGGCTCAGGACCTCCGACATTCCGGCTGTGCTGTCGGAATGACCGCATTCAGTCCGTGAAGGTGTCACTGGCAGCGGGTGCCGGGATGGGAAGGACACTGGCCCTGCTCTCGGGACCTTCAGTACCTGACGGCCACGGACGGCCGTGGCATGGACTCCAGGGAGGGCGCCCTGCCGCAGGAAGGGGGGACAGCTGAGCTGAGCCCCGAAAGGCAGGTTTAGCGGCGGTCAGGACACTGTGCGTGAGCAGGGCGCGGGGACAGGAAGGGGAGGGCGCTCCCGGAGCATGGGGATCTCGAGCAGTGGGGAATGAAGGAGGCTCCTCAGGTGGGTTGGGGCCAGATTCCAGAAGGGCTTGCATGCTGCTAGGGAACTAGGGACATTCTGCTTCCCACACTGCCCCTTGAGCCCTGCGGAGCGGGGCCGCCATGAACCTGCGGCTTGGACACGGCCAGGGCACGCACAGGCCTCACGCAGGCTGGCCAAGGGCCACGGGGCAGGGCTGCCGTCACCGTCCCTGAGGCCCGGTCCTCGGCCACGTGGCCACCCTAAAGTCAGCACCTTGTGCCAAGAAACAGTGGTCACAGCCCGGAGCGGCTGGAGGAGGGATAGAGGCTTGACCTCGGATTCCCTGCTGGTCAGAACAGGGAGTCTCAGGTCCAGTTCAGACACAGAACGCGGGACCAGACGGTTACCGCCCAAATCCGCTCAGCTGTGCGCACAGAGGAGGGGGAGGGAGGTAAGCCCGGCTTACTCAACGGCTCCCAAGAGCACGGAGGGGTGAGCACTGAGCTCGGAGTCAGACTCTGTGGCCTCCACTCTAGCAGAAGGTCTGGGAACCCCTTTATTCATCTCTTCGTCCTCTTCTGCGCTTCCTCCCTCACCACCTCTCGTGTGCTCTAAGTTGCAGCTCCATTGTCACCTCCTCCAGGAAGCCCTCCCTGAAAAGGCCAGCTCAGTGACGGTGAGGAGGGTAGCACCGTGCTGTCGCTTAGGGAGACGGTGAGGAGGGTAGCACCGTGCTGTCGTTTAGGGAGCTGCCAGATGTGCCCTGAAGTTCCACACAGCACCTCACCGGACCCTCTCAGTGGCCCTGAGAACAGAGGGCCGATGAGGGAACGGTGTAGCCAGAAGGCTTGTCCAAGACACCCCCCTCCCCGACCAATAAGAGAGTTGAGTTCCAATTTTGGGGCCTCTGTTGTGCCCATGATGCCACATTGCCCCCTGCTTCTCCAGGATGCCACAGCCTTCCTGATGCGCAGCCCACAAGAGGACTGGTCACCTGCCTCCCAGGGGGCTCCCACTGCCTCCGGCCATACACGCATCACCCAAGTCCACCAACACCACGGCCACACCCGGCACCACACACACGCATCACCCAAGTCCACCAACACCACGGCCGCACCCGGCACCACCCGCACGCATCACCCAAGTCCACCAACGCCGCGGCCGCACCCGGCACCACACCACGCATCACCCAAGTCCACCAACGCCGCGGCCGCACCCGGCACCACACCACGCATCACCCAAGTCCACCAACGCCGCGGCCGCACCCGGCACCACACGCACGCATCACCCAAGTCCACCAACGCCGCGGACGCACCCAGCACCATCACCCAAGTCCACCAACGCTGCAGACGCACCCAGCACCGGGGCCTGGGCACAGCCCCACAGACTCGGGAGGTGCCTGCGGGCCTGGCCTGACCCTCCCTCCAGGCCACACCCACTCCGTGCGGCTCCGTGGCCCCCACAGCCCCCAGCACAGCTGGGCAGAGAGAGAGAGCAAGACCCCGGGGACAGGCAAGGCTACCTAACGCCGAGGGCCGTGGCAGGACCGACGGGTCGTTCTTCACCAGCTGCTGGTGCTTCGGGGAATCTTTGCCATTGAAAACAGCAGGCCCCACGGCTGCCGTGAGTGAGGGGTGCTCAGAGGCTGGTCCCGAGGCTGGTCCTGGGGGCAGAGAGAGAGAAGGGGAGGGAAGTGTGGAGTCAGTTCCCCGCTAGCAGGAAAGTGCTTCTCCTCCATTTTTACAAACTAGCTTTTTGCCGAGGAGTGGTGCTGCCTGCTGAGAACGCACACCGTGCACGCACACACACGCACACACACGCACGGACACGCACTCCTGCTCCGGTGAGCTCGGCCCGGGTGAAAGAAGGACCAGGGAGGGAGACAGGGTGGCCCGCGGGGCCCCTGCATCCCAGAAGCGCACCTGAGGCTGACGCGCCTCCCTTCTCCCGCACCCTCACCCTCCAGGCTCCGGCTTGTACCAAACAAGCCCAGGGAAGCTGTCGGGCGTGCAGTCACCCAGGTCCGGGCTGTTCACGGGGCCTGGGGCGCCCCAGGTCTGAGGACAATGCCGGGGGACATTATGGGCTCTGCTCCTCGGAGGCTCACTGCACTGCCTACGTGCCCACATCAGCCAGAATGGTCTGGAAGGCACTCCAGGGGCAGGGACAGCACAAAACCATTCCTGTGGGGGCCGTGGCGTAGTGAGGGGGTTAAGGACACAGTTCGGAAGCCCACCGGCCTGGGTCCGAAACCCCTGCTCTGCTGCTCCTGAGCCAGTGACCTTACTTGCTGTTCTTGACCTCCCTATGCTTGAACCTTCTCTGCTACAAAAGGGGAGAGTAACCAGGCCAGCGTGAGAAAGACGGGATTCCACAGAAGCGTGTGGAACAGCGCCTGGCAGGTGCTGAGCACTGAGTACTTGCTCTCGGAGCCATACTTAATTCTTACACTCACCCTGCAAATTAGAAAAGACGTTCTCCAACTTTACAGATGAGGAAACAGGGATTCAAAGAGCTGAAATGAGTTGCCCTGAAGGGCCCAGCCAGAAGGAACAGGGCTGGGACTTACACCTGGGTACCCCGATGGCAAAAGCCATGGGCTCCCCAGTTGCCATGGTAGCAGAGGTGCTGGGGGCCCGGGCGCGGTGAGGACAAGGCCCGACGGCATGCAGAACGGCATGCAGAAAGGGAGGGCACAGGGCCCAACCCTGGGGCGGCCTCTTTGCGGGGGAAGAGCACGGACTCCCCTCCCAAGGCCCCTCCGCCGACCTTCTGGGCCAGAGAACGAACACAGCCAAACCTCCGGAAGCCTGGAGAAGGCTGCCGTGGCACCAGCGATCGTGCTCAAAGGTGCGTTCAGGATGGTGAAGTGCCAAGAGCACGAACCGGAAGTCCCTGCTGTCAGATCCAGACTTCACCTCCGACTGCCCTGGAGACCCCAGGCACGCTGAGCCTCGATTTCCCCCGAAGTACCCTGGGGAAACTCCGGCCTGCTTGCAGGGGGTGCAAGCCCAGGGTGGCAGGATCCTGAGCACACGGTAGATGGCGCTCGCTCGTCTCACCCGCCCCTTCCGGGAACTCCATTCCAGCACTGAGTTGGCGCCTGTCTGCACGAAGCTCTCCACTGCCAACCGGGGGTGCTGAGGGACCCCATTCACCACACCACCAATAAGGGGATCATATTACGTAGCAGACAGGAATGGAGGACATCGTTCCAAATTAAAAACACAGCATTCGGGGGCGCCTGGGTGTCTCAGTCAGTTAAGCGTCCAGACTCAGGTCATGATCTCACAGTTGGTGAGTTCAAGGCCCACATGGGGCCCTCTGCTGTCAGCACGGAGCCTGCTTCGGATCCTCTGTCCCCCTCTCTCTGCTCCTCCCCTGTTCCTTCTCAAAAATAAAAAAAATTTTTTTTTTTAAACTAACATAGCATTCTGTGCTAGAAACGACTACAAATCCAAGATAAAATGTAAAGGCTTTGCAGACAAAGACGATGTACAAAGTGTGCCTCTTATTTACCTTGATGAAGGTTTGACTATAGGGACGCCTGGGCGGCTCAGCCGGTTACTCATCCGACTCTTGATCTCGGCTCAGGTCATGATCTCACAGTTCGTGAGATCGAGCCCCACGTCAGGCTCTGCGCTGACAGCGTGGAGCCTGCTTGGGATTCTCCCTCTCCGTCCCTCCCCCCCCACCCCTCACATAAACAAACTTTACAAAAAGAGAAAAGAAGATCGCTTGGCTGCATCCTCAAGCTGCCCGGCCCGTGGGTTTAGCACCTTTGTGCTTCTCCGTCACCTCACCTGCCTGCTGTGCTCCCAGGGGGACGCTCGGGGTGGCTCCAGGCACCGGCTCGCCGGAGAAGGTGGCCAGCGGCCCGGCGCTCTCAGTCGGCGGGAAGAGTGAGCTGCAACATGCGCTGGCGGAGGTCTGCCGGCTTCTGAACTCTAAGGGGGCAAGATGCGCACGTGAAACCCGGCTCCCCGCCCATCACGCCAGGCCTCCCTAGACTGGGCCTGTCCCCCAACAGAGCCAGGCACCTAGTAACCAGAAAGGTGCCAGCACCATGCTAGCTTCGCCTCGGCATAGCCAGGGGAGGAGGGGTGCAAGAGCCCCCACAGCTCCGTCCCAAGGGCAGTGGGATCCATCCAAAGGGCAGCTCTTATTACCAGGAGCGGGAGCAATTCTGAGCATTTGGGACAAAGAGAAAAGCAGAGGGAGACATCGCTGCTCTTCAAGCCCAAGGAGGGAACAGATGATTACTCAGAGGCAGAGGAACAGCCGATACCCCCTGACCCCCGTCCTGAAAGTCACCCTCTGTTGGGAAGATCCACTCTGTTGCATCCAGCCCGTGAGGCGCTTGGTCATAGCACACGATTAAAGACTCTTACCGGGTCCCACAGCGGAAGCACCACTTGGTACCACCACTTCCTGGAAGTGGGAGCTCGAGACGTGTTTACTGAGTGAAGGAAAGGAGTGGGGGTGGGGGAGGAATGCCCAGAGCCAGCCCTTCCTGAAGTCCCTTCCTGCTGTTCACAGAAGCTGGCCGGGAAAGGCCAGGTGACCAGAAACGAACCGACGCAGACAAGGGAGGCACACAAGGTTCTTGCTGAGACCCCTCGGAGGACGTGTCCCTGCACAGCTGGCTGAGTAGGGGCCTCTCAGGGACCATCCAAGGCTAGGCCTCTGAAAGTCCATCCGCCCTGCCCCTTCTCTCCGTAGGTGACTTAGCCAAAGGTGATACGGGAGACAGGAAGGAGGAAGGAAATCCAGGACTTCTATGAAGCTGGCCGTCACAGGGTTCGGGGCGGAGAGAGGGCGGGCATTATTCAGGCCATTATTGCTCTACGTCAGGGCTTCTCAGCCTTGGCACCACCGCTAGTTTAGGCTTGATCGTTCTGGGCAGGCTGGCAGGGGGCAGGGCAGGGAGGGCTGTCCTGTGCGCTGAGGGATGTTTAGCAGCATCCCTGGCCGCTGCCCACCAGATGGCAGTCGCGCTCTCTGGTCATGATGATCAGAAATGTCTCCCACTGTTGCCAAATGTCCGATGGAGGACGTGATCACCCCTGGCTGAGAACCTCTGCCGCAAGAAGGCAGCATGCTGTGGTCCCCTGCCAACTTTGAAATGTCCCACACAATTAGGCTGGCACAACAAACGCTTACCCCTAATGCAAAGCAGCACTTTGATTTCACGGGGCCGACTTTTGCTGGCGATCGTGCCTGTGGAGAGTGGTCGCTCCTCAAAGTCAGGCTGACAGGCACCCGCGCCCGCGTGGGGGACCCCCGTTCGCCCACCCAACCCCGCTCAAAGCTGAATTGCTCACCTGAGCCTCTCCAACAAATGAGAGGTCCCTTGGTGAGAGTCCCCTGTGCGTTGCGGACCAGGTAATACTTCAAGTGTTTCTGCTTCTTGGGCTGAGTGGTCAACTTGAGATTTATGTGATTAGAGAATTCCGTGAAGTAGCAGAAGCCTTTCTTTCCACAGCCAACGCAGTTCCCAGAGAAGCCTGGGGGAGGAAAGCCACCATGAAGGTCTCCAACTCACCTCCAACATCTCTGTTCAGCGATGCGGACTCTGTGGAAACTCTAAATACTCCCTCCCATCCTGTGCCACGAACCCGAAAATTCCACGGGGCAAAGTTCCCTAGCACCTTATGTTGGTCCAAGGGTCAAGATGACCTTGACTCGAACAGAAGAAGGACCAAGAAGACTTAGTCATGGAGAATCCCTGCAACCTTGGAAGACTGAACCTCCCCCGGGGGTGGGGGGCAGGGTAGATTTTAAAGCCTATACACACTGCAAACATTACAAGATGAGACTGTCCCACCCAACCGTCTACATGGATCAAGCGCCTGCAGGAAGTGGTACGCACCACGGAGTGCTGGCCAGGCACAGAATCTCCAAGCCATCAGACCACTGACACTAGACGCACTGAGGACCTCCCAGGAGCCCAAACTTCCTCCCGGATCCCATGAGTTGCGCAAGAAACAAAGAGAGCTCCAAGGGGCAGGGCCGGAATGGTCTGGCAGCCAGTGGAATGAATACCCACTGCACGAGTCACCGTGTTGGCATCCTGCTGCCGAGGCCGGAATGGGCCTTTCTGGGAATGGACAGAGCTTCCCACCAGCTGTGAGGCTCCAGAAAAGGTCGCCCAATGACAAAATGACCTCTTATGGACAGTTAAAATCCAGCGAATGGGCACAAAAATACCCTCACAAACTATAAAGTCCTTTAAAACTATACTCAGTACACTTGCTGGTTAACATAGGCGAACTGTGAGGACTGGCCTTTTCCATTTCAGAGCTGTTCAGGTCTACACCCACCACTTCAAGACCTTCCTGAAGATCTTGCTTCGCCCACTGGTGTGTCTGGTTTCTATAGTACAAGGTCCTTTGGAAGGGGAAGACCCTGAAGCAGAGACTAATCTATTTTATCATATTCCCTGGCTGACAAGTTTACGAAGGTCACTTTGACTTAGCCCATGAACCACGTGGCTCCGCGCGTAAGCCCTGCTCTCAAATAGGGTATTCCTGAGGCCTCGGGCTGATGTTCAAAACAACAGGTTACCGAAGGTTCAAAACATCTCCGCAGAGAAATAAGGCGCTCACTGGGTTTTCTGATCTATTTTAAGCGTATTTAATACTCCTTAAAAGGCCTCAGAGGGGCGCCTGGGTGGCTTAGTCGGTTAAGTGTCCAACTTTCGCTTAGGTCATAATCTCGCGGTTCGTGGGTTCGAGCCCCACGTCAGGCTCTGTGCTGACTGCCAGCTCGGAGCCTGGAGCCTGTTTCAGATTCTGTGCCTCCCTCTCTCTCTGACTCCCCCTGCTCACGCTGTTTCTCTCTCTCTCTCCTAGAAATAAATAAAAAATATTAAAAAAAAATAAAAATAAAAAATAAAAGGCCTCAGAAATAAGGACAGATCTCTTGGTCTAGCCACTGGACAGGGACAGGTTAGTATAAACTTTCAAAATCCTATTCTCTCCACACCAGGGCAACCAGATAAGGCACCAAAGAAATGCCAAGTGTGGTGCTCTATACTTGTTTGGTTTTTTTTTATTTCTAGGAGAGAGAGAGAGAGAGACAGCGTGAGCAGGGGAGGGTCAGAGAGAGAGGGAGACACAGACTCTGAAATAGGCTCCAGGCTCTGAGCTGGCAGTCAGCACAGAGCCCGACGCGGGGCTCGAACCCACGAACCGCGAGATCATGACCTAAGCGAAAGTCGGACGCTTAACCGACTAAGCCACCCAGGCACCCCATATACTTGTTTTTAAAGGGACAGGAAAGGAACAAACATGCACAGAGAGCCAGCATGTGCTTGCCATTTATTGTCGTCCAGACAGGTCACCCAGCTTAGTGGACAGAACCCCCAGCCAATGGGGACAAAAATCCTTCTTTGGGAAGGGACTGAGAACCAGAGAGGTCACGTAATAGTCCCAAGTGGATGCACACAGTGTGGCGCTCCAGTCCAGCACGAGAATGGAGTGAAGACTCACAGGCATGGCATTCAAGGCCACCCTAAATGCTACCCAACCCCCAGCTGCAGCCTTCGCTCTTGTTCCTCGCCCCGCTACGCCCGGACCCCCGTTGGATCCGCCCTCCCGCACCTCCCTCGCGCCTCCAGACTCACACCCTTCCTCCCCGAAGCCCCATCTGCAAGTTGCGTGTGTCCCTCCCACTCAATGCCCAGCTCAAACGTCCACTTCTTCAAAGACCCAAAGAGCTTTAGCTCACTGTTCTCAAACCCCTCCAGATCTTTATATGGCCCAGAGAACCACTGTCACCTCTTTTTTAGTGTTTAGTTATTGAAACTCGCATCTTTCTCCCCATAATTATCCCCACGCTCCAAAGGACCAGCGTCACAGAGTGACTGCACGTAGGTATGCGTTGTGTCTGTACCCGTGAGGTGTAGGTGTGCAGACCAGTGTCCGGCACGTTGTTGACAGTAACTATCAGAAGGGACGGCGGGACAGAGGACACAGGCTAACTATCAACGTGAACGCGTTAGGATTTCTGCATATACTTTGAAATAATAATCTAACGCTTTTATTTATTCCTCTGTCTCCAACCTGGATCTTTTAAGGTAAATACAGTTCAACTGCCGTTTCAGAATAGTGGACGGAATTGGAGGGTATTATGCTGAGTGACATTAGTCAGAGAAAGACAAAGATCGTCTGATTTCACTCACATGTGCTATTTAAGATACAAAACAGATGAACATAAGGGAAGGGAAGGAAAAATAAGATAAAAAGAGAGAGAGGCAAACCATAAGAGACTCTTAAATACAGAGAACAGACTGAGGGTTGCTGGAGGGGCTGTGGGGGGAGATGGGCTAAATAGCCAAAGGGCTTTAGGGAGGACACTTGTTGGGATGAGCACTGGGTGTTATATGTAGGGGATGAATCACTGGATTCTACGAAGGGGAAGGGAGGGGAGGGGAGGGGAGGGAGAAAGAAACGGGGTAGGGGGAAGAATAAGACCCTGAGAAACCTTCCAAGCTCTCTGGAAGGGATTCTGACCCCCACGTGCTGAAAAGATGGATGAACGAGAAATAGAACCATTGCAAGACAAAGCGATGCTAAGAGCACTTGGCCGGGGCCAGCACTGCCATCCAGAAACAGTTACACGGACCACAGGCCTTTGCTCCACGACAAACGTGGGTGGTGAGACCAGCGCTCCATTTCGGAAGCAGCGATGGATGCACAGGCGTCTGAATCTGGTGGTTCAGAAGGTGGAAGCCCTGGGTCGGCCTGGTAAGTACTTGGGGAGCCAGCTGCCAGCAAGAATGGGCTGTTCTTCTAAGAGGTGCCCTGGAGAGCCACCCACCCGGTCCCAGGAGGCAAGGACGATGGTTTAAGCCACCCCCGCTGGACATATGAGGCAATTCTAATTTTCCCAGAAGTTGTCTGCAAGGCAGTGAAAAGTTTCACAAGGAAGAATAAAATGAGCCGTCCTCTTTGGACATGTGCCTCGGGACCAGGGAGATCATCAGGACCAGGATCAGAGGGTACTCTCTCTAGAAGGCGGGCCTGGAAAGCCGGTCCCGAATCCTCAAACTCTCCAGCACAAATACCCAGAGTGCAGAGAACCGGCTCCTTCGAGGTTACTACCCCACAGGAACTATCCCATAAAAACGAGTCTCTCTTGACCACAGGGGGGCGACACTGTCAATTCTCTGGCCGGGCTGAGCCCCGTTCAGCAGCCCAGGGAGGGGGTCGCGCATGCAGGCGCATGCACATCCCCAAATTGGTGCCCGCACATGCTCTGCCTTCCACGGGAAGACCTCCTGGCAAGGCAGGCCTTCAACTGGGCCTTGAAGAGTCACCACGCAGGCACCTGCCCTTCTGTTCCTTGAAAATGAACAGCGACTCGGAATAAATAAGAACAGCATCGTCCTTGGGTATTGTAACAAATTAGCGAAAAAACCCAGAACCGAGCATTATGTCCGTGCCTGTGAAATACAAGCTGTGAAAATCATCTCAAAGCCCCACCTGGACGGTGCACGGAGAAGACGGGCAAAGCAGAACGGATGGCCGTTTGGGGGGGGGGGGGGCAACTTCCTCCTTTTCCGCTTTGTGTTTGATCGCTGTTATTTCTGCCGCGGTCCTGGCGGTGGAGGTAAATACGGCCCAACGACAAACGAGGAGAAAACATGTCCCTGGCCCCCAGCCTCGGTGTTTTAGCCACATTCCGACTGAAGTACCGAAGGGATCTACTTGGTGTCTCTGAAGGCGGGCCTTCGGGGGACTCTGAGGGGCACCTCCCTCTGCGATCTCCAGTGTGTGTCTGGGAAGAGGGCCATGGGCCAGCGTGCACACCAGGCAGCGACTGAGAGGGACACCTAACGAGCCGTGTCAGGTGTCAGGTGAGACAGAACGGGACAGTGGTGAGGGGCGAGAGAAGGTGGACCAACCCAATGGTGCATTCTTGCAACATAACCAGAATCCGGCAAGAGGCTCACAGCTACCTCCCCTGCCCCTAACTGTCCCTTTGGAAGAAAGGGACATTCTTTCTTATTATGCAATAATATTGTGCAATATTATGGAATTATTGTTAAATTTTGTAGATACGATGACGGTATAAGAATCCTAACAAAAAGCCCTTATAGTTTAGAGATACGCACTGAAATGTTTACAGATGAAACGACACATCTGGGATTGGCTTCGAAGTAGTACAGAAGTTTCCAGAAGGAGGCGTCATGAGTGAAACAAGATGGACCGTGTGTTAGTAACTGTTACAGGCACAAGACAGATGCATGATACTATTATTTGGAAAATAACTTCCTGGGCACGGCGGCCTTTCCCAAGCGGGGCCCAAGCAACACCCCCTCCCAGCCTCCGCTCCTTCATTCAAGCACCGTGTCCCTTCATGCACACGGTTCTCCCTCTTCGTTGAGGGCACCCCATTCCCTGGAGTATGAGCGTCAAGGCCAGAGCACCTGGGCTCAAATTCAGGACCTGCCATTTACTAGCTGGGTGACCCTGAGAAGTCAGTTAACCTCTCTGTGCCTTTGTTGCCTGATAAAAAAAATGCTAGATAATAACATACCCACCTCGCTGGCTTATGTTAACCTATTTCGAAAAGCTTCTGGAACACGATAAGTGCTTAGTACAGTGGCTGCCATTAGCGTTTAGCTGCTGTTCTCTGGTTTGTGAAATGCCACTGGATTATGAGGGCCCAGCTCACACACCACACCCGTTCCCGTCCCTGGGCTCGGGGCGCCCTTCTGTACTCCCCGGCGCTTGAACCCTTGGCTGTCATGTCTGCACAGAGATGTGTTAGAAGCTCTATTTCTGCAGATCTCAGAGCTGAGCTCTCCCGCCAGCTGGCAAGCCCCCCGGGTTGGACTTGACTCTGGGGCCCCCCGCTGAACTGAAGGTCCACCTTCAACATGGTTATACATTCCATAAACACTGGATGAACACAGGACTCATTCACACACACCCCCCAAAAAATGACATTCTAGCTGTAACTTTTCTTCTCTCTTAGCGATCAGCCAATTTAGATGAATTCCTGTTGTCAAAAACTGGAAATGCACATGTAGATTTTAATCTTTCAGCTTCTCAGACAAAATCCCTCTGCTGATTCAAAGTCACTAAGACAAGATTCCTTTCGTTATAAATCGGAGTAGGGGGGATTATAAATTAAGAGCTAAAGCCATTGCTCCCCCAAGATACTGCACAGCTTCCGTTTTATAGGTCACTAAACCGCGCGGAGCCCAGGCCCCCGGAGGGCTGCAGGCCCACCTTGTCCCTTGCAGCCATCAGGCTTAATGGCAGGAAACCTACACACTGTTAAGTGTGCAAGCTGAGAGCATAAAGTTATTTTAAAAGAAGAAAGCCGCAGTGATTACCGACAGGCCCTCGACACCCACCTCCGCGGGCTTTTTGGCGAGCAATTAACAAAGCCCCCACTTCCTCTGCACTTACCACCTGAGGGGCCAGGGCTGTTAGGGGCCGGTGGTGAATGGACTCAAAGATCCTTGTCTCCACATTTCAGGACACAGAACCTCCTTGATTTACTGCCCTCGCAATTCCTTTACAGTCACAAAGTGCTGGAATTCAGCCCGAGCCCCGGCGGCCACCAGATCAAACGCTGACCAAGTCACCGGCACAGTCTTACCAGCCTGTTTCATCCTGAGTGGCCTCGACGAGCAAATTAAATCCGAGACGGAAGGACTCCAGAGCCCCTTTGGTAGAGTGAGTCTCCCGGGACTGCTCTTGTTTGCAAGAACGAGTTATAATAAGCCCCGCCTGCCTAGGGAGAGAGAGTCGGCCAGGGCCTTCTGTCTCTCTCTCTCTCTCTCTCTCTCTGGTCACTGTCCCAGAGCCGTGTCTGTCTGTTCAGCCCACATCCACCTGTCTTGGTTCAGCATTTACCCCCAGCCACTGTCTCCTCGTGGCCGGAACTACTTCTTTGTCTTCTGCGGGTCAATCCTGGCTCTCCCCTTCTCCCCGGCTCGGGTCCTCGGCATAATGCCTCAGGCATAAAACGTGCTCAATAAATACCCAGTGACGTGCATTTACCTACTCAGCTTTGGTGGGTGTGGGTATCAAGCACGAAATTTAAGAAACCGCGAAGACTGGGGGCACCTGGGTGGCTTAGTCGGTTAAGCGTCCGACTTTCGCCTAGGTCATGATCTCGCGGTTCGTAGGTTCGAGCCCCGCGTCGGGCTCTGTGCTGACTGCCAGCTCAGAGCCTGGAGCCTGTTTCAGAGTCTGTACCTCCCTCTCTCTCTGACCCTCCCCTGCTCATGCTGTCTCTCAATCTCTCTCCTAGAAATAAATCAAACATTAAAAAAAAAAAAAAGAAAGAAACAGCAAAGACTGTTTCTGATAAGACGTCTGGACCCGATCATTAGCAGCCCCCTCTGCCTGCCTGGTTCTCCCCGGGAGATGCCGGGCCAGGTGAAGGGGCCAGAGCAACCCTCCCTCGCTTTCTGGAGAGGGCCGTGAAGGCTCTGCAAGCAGGGGCACACGCCCGGCCCTGGTCTCCCACCGCCTCAGGTCCAACGGCCTCCGAAAGCATCTGGCACCAAGTCCGCACCCCATTCTTGACGCGGGCAGGCGCTCAGCTCATCGGTACGTGACGAACGTATGTACCAAAAAGTTAGTACTAAATGATGGGCTTTCTGGAGGGTGCCAGTCACATCCCAGAATAAATCTCATTTAGATTCCATTTCACACGGAAAGAGCCACCGAAACACATAAGCCGGGGCGGGGGGGGGGGGCGGGGAGGACATGCTGATGAAAAGCCCCCGAAGGTGGCCTGTCCCCCACCCCCAAAGGCCTCCCTTGTCCCTGTCCTGCACGCAGACGGGGCCACCGGGAAGGGCAAAGAAAGGACTTACCCAGGAGAGCGTTGTGCCCGTTATCGTCCGGCAGGAACCTCTTGTCCACGGCGCACACCAGGAGGTGGTCCGGCAGGCTGGGGGACTTGGCCCCCACGAGGAGGAAGCCAGCAGGGACGTCGATGGGCTCGCTGGAGATGGAGACAAGACGCAGGTCCTTCCCCGCCTGGCAGAACCCTAGGAGGAAGGGACGCGGCTCACGCACGCTGCCCGGGGGCTTCCCCAGGCCCAGGCTCCACGTGGGCAGACGGAGGACGAGGCTCCAGGTCATGTCGGGAAGAAACCTCCCCTCTGCGAGGGTGGGGGCGCCTGGGGGGCTCAGTGGGCTGAGCGTCCGACTTCGGCTCAGGTCATGATCTCACCGTTCGTGGGTTCGAGCCCCGCGTCGGGCTCTGTGCTGACAGCTCGGAGCCTGGAGCTGCTGCGGATGCTGTGACTCCCTCTCTCTCTGACCCTCCCCTGCTCACGCTGTCTCTGTCTCTCTCTCTCAGAAATAAAGCAGTTAAAAAAAAAAAAAAAAGACATTGATGTACAAGTGAAACTCACCAGGAAAAAGAGTAGGCAGGTGAGGGTCCATTAAAATGTATACGAGATAAATCCATATGAAATTGGGAATAATTTGATACTCTTTACACCCTGGGGTTTTTGCACATATGAGGAAAAGGCAAATGTCAGGAACAGGGGACAAGGGTCTGCTAACGCCGGCCATCTCTGGGGACGGACGCAAGGACACTGACCAGCAAGGAGGCTTTCACTCCATACCCTTTGGAATGCTTTGTATCTTAGAGCTTTTAAGTAGGTTTCCCATTCAAAACATAAGTGTCCAGGGGCACCCAGGTGGCTCAGTCAGTTAAGTGTCTGACACTTGATTTCGGCTCAGGTCATGATTCATGATTTAACGGATCATGAGTTTGAGCCCTGCATCAGGCTCTATACTGAGAGCACAGAGCCTGCTTGGGATTCTCTCTCCCTCTCCCTCTCCCTCTCCCTCTCTCGCTCTCACTCTCTATGCCTCCTCTGCTCACACTTTCTCTTTCTCAAAACAAATTCATAAAAGCCTTTTTAAAATTAAAAAAAAAAAAAGATGTCCCAAGGCATCTGGAAATGGAGAGAAGCAGCTGAGATTTATTTGGCCAGGGCCCTTCCCAGGGTCTTCGGGGATGAGGGCACATCCCCCTGTCCCGGTGGGGGGACTATGGGAGCCCTGAGGGCCGGGGAGGCCAGAAGGCACAGAGCCAGTGCCCACGTGTGCCAGGCACTGGGCCGGGGTACACTCTGCGAAGCTCTCATCTGATCACCTGTGGGGAAGTATTCCGGCCCCCAGTTTGAAGATAGGGGAATCGAGGCTCCGAGAGGTCACGCACCTGCAGGCCCTCTACCTCCGTGGCCCGGGCCCATCCTTCTGAAGAGCTGGAGGAGGGGCATCTGACTTCGGCTGGGGTCACGATATCACGGTCTGTGAGTTCAAGCCCCGCATCCGGCTCTGTGCCGACAGCTCGGAGCCTGGAGCCTGCTTCAGATTCTGTGTCTCCCTCTCCCTGCCCCTCCCCCCTCCTCTCTGTGTCTCTCTCTGTCTCTCTCTTTCTCTCAAAAATGAATATGCAATAAAAACTTTTTTAAAAATGAACAGATGGAGGAGGGTGGGCTATGGACACTGTTACTTGGAAATTCTTTGCAAATCGCCGTCGTGACCACTGGAGAGCTCACTGTTCTGTTTCATCAGGTGATCTTTTAACATCTGGACACAAGAAGTCCCACCTCAGGAAGAGGCACTGCTGGCGCCCCCTCCCTGGAGGCCACCATCCTGCACACAGTCATGTCCACACCTGGGACTCCCACCCACACTGCCAGCAGCTCCCCCCCTTTTCTCCCATGCTGAGCCTCGCCCATGCTGTTCCTCCATCTGGAATGTCCCAGCTTCCGCAGATCCTTTCACAGGCCCCTGCTGATCCTCCAAACCCAGGCAATGGGCCACCTCCTCCAGGAAGCCTTCCCTGCACTCTCTACCTGTGTGGGCAACCTTTCGTGTGCTCCCCCAGGCACCCCTGCTGGCCCGCCCCACCCTACTAGCACTTTCCACGTCGTGTGCGTGTCTGCTTATCTCACCAGCTCCAATAAACGGGGGGCTCTCGCAACTTTCACCTCCACACTTCCAGAGTTGGGAGGGGCAACAATTAATTAATTAACCGAGTAAATGACTCACCTGGGCATGGTGACGGATGAACACATACCACCCAGAGAGGCCGTCGGGCTAGAGAGCGGGAGAGCCGGGGGTTCACCCCAGGTTCCTCGGGGGGCAGGGCGCGAGCCCTGACGACCGGCCGAACCTGCCGCCCACCTGGCACCTCTGGGCCTCAGTTCCCCAACGGCGCCACGGGACTGGGCTGCCGGGTCTACAGGCTTCCGAGAGACAGATCTGCCTCCTCCAGCAGGAAGGCACCAGCCAGGAGAGAGCTCATCCCTACGAACTGATCCAAGCTAAAGGCGCAGCACAAACCTGCTCGGATTGGGAGAGGCTTTCTAGCTTTCCAACAAGCAGGCAGAAAAATGCGGGTCGAGGCTGTCGCAAGAGCACTGAGGGGCTGAGAGCCTGACGGCCCCGGGGAGGGGCAGCCAAGGCTGCCAGTGCAGGGAGGGCAGGGACCGGGGCGCAGGGGGCCCCGCGGCGCACGGCCGCACACCCTGCGGGCTCACCGTCTGTGGTGCAGCAGCCTTCGGGCGGGGGGTGCATCTGGTAGGGGTTCGGGGGACAGCTGGGCTCCAGCGCCCCGTCCCCTTCTTCTTCCTCGTCCTCATGGTCCACTCGGCCTCCACCTGGAAATGGCAAAGGGGAGTGAGGGGGCGGGGGAAGCAGGCGGCCAGCAAGCCCTGGCCACTGAACACTCAGCCAGTCCTGACAGACACAGCGCGAGGTCGGGCACCATCCCCCCTCGTTGCTGGAGGGGAGAGCTGAGGTCACAGGGCTTTCCCAAGGTCACAGACTCAGGCTCCAAGCCTGGCCTCGGGACTTCAAATCCAGGTTCACATCTCTTCCCCATCCACGAGAGCCGCCCATGTCTGCGCACACACAGGGGTCAAAATGCAGATAACTGGTCGAGAAGCGTGGCACGCGAAGCCGGCACCTAGCAGGCGCTTCAAAACTATTTCTGTGGGAGGTAACACAGGTTGAGATAGAGACCATTTCACAGATAGGCACACTGAGGCCTAGAAAGACCCAGTGATTGGCCACAGCTCTTCAGGGACCTGCCAGCCGGCATGTTTCCGGCTGCATCTGATGCCTGCACTGATGTCCTAGCCACTGACTGTGCCAGAAAACATAGCGTGAACCGCCTCTATGAAATATGAACAAGGGAAGAATGGACGCACAGACATTACTGCAAATACATACCCAAATCTGTCACATACACACAAGGCACCATTCTGGAACAGGGCTGGGCAGGTTATGACTTTAGGAAAGTTTGGATTTTTTTGTTGTTGTTTTTTAGTGAAATAGCATTTTAGGAGCCACGGCAGGCATGGAATTGGCCCAGAGAGCTAGGAATCGACCATGGAAATCTCACTGCCCCCTGCGTGCGAGCCCTTCCCCAGCAATAAAACGGTGTATTTCAGCTCCTAGGGAGTGGGGCCCCTGCCCTTCTTCATCTCTGTAATCCAGGCCCCCCGCTAACTGCTCATGCAGAGAAGGAAGTGTCCAGGAAACAGCTGACCAGCGACGTGAATGTGCACAGTGGTACCGCCTTCACCCAGCTCAGTGAGAAAAGGGGGGGTTCGTTGTCATGAATTTCCAAGCCTGTGCAAGAATAGTCCTAACTTAACAGAAATTCGGGGCTAAACATCTTTCTCAACTTGTCTAGGCTTAACTGTCATTTATAAAAAAAATTAAAAAAAAAATTTTTTTTATGTTTTATTTATTTCTAGGAGAGAGAGAGACAGCGTGAGCAGGGGAGGGTCAGAGAGAGAGGGAGGCACAGACTGAAACAGGCTCCAGGCTCTGAGCTGGCAGTCAGCACAGAGCCCGACGCGGGGCTTGAACCNAACAGGCTCCAGGCTCTGAGCTGGCAGTCAGCACAGAGCCCGACGCGGGGCTTGAACCCACGAACCGCGAGATCATGACCTAAGCGAAAGCCGGACATTTAACCGACTAAGCCACCCAGGTGACCCTAATTCCATGAAGAGATTTGCATGCTGTTTATTAAATATTAAATATTTATTTATTTTGGGGAGAGAGAAAGAGAGAGCAAGGGAGGAGCAGAATGAGAGGGGCAGTGTGGAACCTGACACAGGGTTCGAACCCATGAACCCTGAGATCCTGACCTGAGCTGAAATCGAGGGCTCGACGCTCAACCAACTGAGCCACCCAAGAGCCCCCAGATCCTGCATCTTTAAAAGAAGGTGGTCGCATAAGGGCACTTGGAGCTGTTGTAGACTTTGTGGGGGAAACACGACCCTCAGAGTCGCACAGAATATTCCTGATGCGATTTAATCAGCACAGGGTACTGGGAACATATCTTCACGGTGGCCACCAGTTTAAAAGGCGCCCGTGGGACGAGAGGGAGCAGAAACGGAACACCAGCCTGAGCCCGTGACCTTGGGGAGGTCAGAGCAGGAAGTGAAGATTTCCTGGGGTCTCTGTCCTTCTGGGCCTGAGTACACAGAGGTGGCGGGAAGACCGTAAAAAGATTACCAGGAAGAGCACGAGGGGGGTGGGGATAAACTCCAGAGCCTCCTTCAGATGCTTCCTTCCTGCCATTAAATGCAGGCCTGCAGTGGTTTTAGCAGAAGGGACAGGGTCCCGCCCAGACCCCAGGCGCCAGCAATGTAGCAGCCGCCCCCGTGGGGGGGGGGGGGGGCGCGACACTGTCCTGTAGCCACCGGAATGGGGCAGCCACAGAAGGCTCTCCTGCACAATCACGGCTACTCTTTGAGCCAGTACCCCAGGGGCTCTCAGAGGGGACCCCAGAGACACCAGCCATGTGCGTGCAAAGGGGTGAGAAAGTCGGAGCCATGGGAGCGCTCGGGCACCCAGGAATGTCTGCCCGCACATGATTCTGCTAAGCCAAAAAAAAGCAGGAATTCAGACTCTCAGAAAGAATGAAAGCAGAGGATCTTTAAGCCTGGGAGAGTCAAAGAGCGAGCTCAGAATCCAGCAGATAAGAAAGCTGCCGGCAAAGGTCAAAGGTCCACAGCAGACAGCCCGGGGCCTTTGATGGGATCAGCCAGCAGGAGGGCGAGGGGCCAGGAGGACCTTAGCCGGGAGCCGACCAGACCAGGCTGCTGGCCAAGGTCTCGGGGCGGGAGGAGGGCGGGAGGAGGGCGTTCACACGGCCTCGGACAAACCAACCGGACGGCGAGCTGAGGACCTTAACACTAAAAACACACAATCCAGAAAGGCTCTTGCCCTCCCCCCCCCCACACACAAGACGATTCACTGTAACGTTCACGCTGCATTTCATCTTCTTCCCACGGGAAGACACCGTAGGACGTCTCGGCGGGTGGGGTTCCAAGAATTAACTGCATCTTGTTTAATTCATTAATACTTCCCTCAAAATGCTGGAGTGGTATCTGTTCCGTTCAGTCTCCCTCGAAAGCCAGTAAATAACATGTAATAAAAGGGGTTTCCCTCTAAGCCAGGGACCAAAGTCATAAAGGCCCCGGGGGGAATCACCCTCGCAAATACAGAAAATGTTAACAGGTCGAGGGGCGGTTGGGAGACCAGCACCCTGGCCATAAGCACCATCCTTAATGTAACTGTCTGAGGAAGGACAGCAACAGGAGACTGGGGGGGAGACAGACACACAGACAAGGCCAGGGGTGGCCAGCCCAAGCCGTCTGCACCAGGTTTTATGACGCAGAACCAGGGGCAGGGCTGCGTGCTCCGTTTATAGTGATATCCAGCAAACTGAAGAGCGTCTCCCCCTTCCCCCCCCCGCCCCCCCCACTATAGGAGGATTTCTTGGACAAACAGGAAAATCAACAGGAAAAGCTAGAGGGCCTGCCCTGTTTTCACTCAACACGAGGGCTGGACAAGGGAGCCCCCCTACAGCCCACAGGGTCCCCCAGCACTCAGCGCGGGAGGCATGAGAAGCATGAGCCTCAGAGCTGTCCCTGGAAAGGGCCCCACGCCCACAGGCACCCTAAGGAGTCAGAGTGTCTGGGACGTGGCCTCCCAGGCAGTCCCCAGGCAGTCTGGGCATCAAGCCACCCGGGGAACCTTCCAGGGCTTGCTCCTGTCTCGCCCCAGGGGAGCGTACCCCGTCCACTTAACCACCTGTTCGCCCCCTTCTCATCGCAGAGCTGCCAAAGTTGAGGATTCGATTCTGAGGCTCGGGCGCCCCTTCAACACTGCAACCAAACCCAGGGCTCATCTTCCCGAGAAGCGCGGGGTTTCATCACGTCAGCAGGCGGAGGTGAGAGCACGTTGTAGATCCGAAGTGCCCTGCACACTAAGATGTCGCTGTTACCATCGTGAACTTATCATTAGCAGCGAAGCGGGTCAATGCGGAAAGCAGGGAAGGATGGCTGTTGGCCGTGTAGGTTTCACGGAAGTCGCTGAGCTGGCCAGAAACACAGCCGGGAGCCTCCCATTAGTGCTCATCTCCCCACGGGCCACAGCGACGCGTCCCCTACCCGAAGGCGTGCACACCGTCCACACCAGACAACTCTTGGTTTCCCTAATTCGTGCTTTTCAGCGCAGTCCGGTGTCTCCCAGACCCTCGTCCGGCTGTTTAGGGTCCTTACTGCTGCTATTTGCAAGGTGAATGTTGTAAGACGTTTCAAAGATTGACACAGGGATGCCTCCCTGCTAGAATAAGCATCAGGCGCCACACAAGCACCCCGTGCCTCATTCTCCCTTATGTGTCCCCCTCCTGGCCAGCTATCCCCACACCCTGTCGACACACACACGCACACGGAGACTGACCCACCCGTCGTGACCCCTCCAGTACAGGACCTGGCAGACTGCACGCTTTCTTGATTAATTTTTGTTTTAAACAACAATCCTTTTTCCCTTCAGTATCTAGGTTAAGTCTTCAAGCGGAAGGCATAAACTGACCAAAAGGACTTCCATAACAGTAATGGCCTCACCCAAAGGATTGCCGCTGGGGTAGCTTCTGACATGAAAATACATGGCTATTAAAGATACAAACTAGGGGCACCTGGGTGGCTCAGTGGGTTAAACCAGCATCCGCCTACGGCTCAAGTCAAGATCTCTCGGTTAGTGAGTTCGAGCCCCGCCTCAGGCTCTGTGCTGACAGCTCAGAGCCCGGAGCCTGCTTCCAATTCTGTGTCTCCCTCTCTCTCTGACCCTCCCCTACTTGTGCTCTGTCTCTCTCTGTCCCTCAAAAATAAATAAATGTAAAAAAAAACCTCAATAAAAAAAATACAAACTAAAGATTGAAAACATAACGATTTTATTCTGGATAAATAAGTGAATCCTAAAGCTGTCCCCATGCTTGAGTGTAACGTATGCATTTATTTCCAGCACACGTTCAATTCATCAGGGTTTGTTCCTGGCTTTCGAAAGTTTCTAGAGGGCTCTGTATCTGAGATCCCAAAATCCACCCAAACTATTTTGCAAAGATACGGCCGTGAATCCCGAGGCAGAGGGGAAAAAAAGATCACGGGGGGCCAAAGCATGTTAAAGTTCTCTCTTTAGCAAGTGACAACGCTAAACTTTCTGAGGAGAGGCTGCGTAACAACCAATCCGGAACGGTCCACCCGGCCTCTGCCTTCCTCCCGTTAGCCGGTGAACAATTTGATCCCTTAGAACTTTATGGCTGAAACTTCAGCACTGTCGGTTTTTTCCAGCCAAGTCCAAGTGCATGTACAACTTTCCCTTTCTGATAATGCTTTTCTGCCAGACTCGACATGCGGCACACACAGAGGAAAGCATTTCCGGTTCTGCCGGCACCACGAGCCGCCCACGACCCAGGCAAGCCGCGATGGCATCTCCTACCTTCTAGCGTGGACAGCTGCTGCTCTGCTTCTAGATACAACTGGGAGAAGACCGGCCTGGGCACCAGGCTGCTGGACCGCAGGGAGGCCTCGATGGAGTTGTGCAGGACTTCCTCGAAGCGCGTGGTCTTCAGCTGGCCAGCGTAAGCGTTTCCCATCTTCAGAAAGGACGGCGGGGGCTGCTGTTTAAAACGGCATCTCAGTGTCACTGAAAACGGCTGACCCCGCGCACACGAAGCCCAAAGGCAGGAGGCGACCCCGCTGCAAGGCGCCGTGGGTCTCCCGCTCCACAGAGAGGAGCCAGCGGCTCTCCGCGGAGGCTCCTGCCGGGCAGTTACAGGAAGTTATACCCGCAACAGCTTTCTCTAATTTAGCACTCACATAGCAGAGTCTGACACCTCTTGGGATATTTGGCTAGAAATTGGCTCTCGGTCATCCCTGGCTTCACAGACCCCCCCCCCCAAGCTTTTCCCGGAGATGTGATCCCGTACCGTCCCCCCCCAAGAGAGCTCAGACAAATGATGGTTTATCTTCCTCGACGTACAGAAGAATAGCCCTGAGCCACTCTACGCAGGGGACAGAGGCTGGAGAGTCCGTGACCCGTGGCAACTAGTCTCCAGACTCAAGGATTGCGAGACCTCCCCTCACCTTCTCAGAAGGCAGGCTGGCAGCCTGCCCAACAGTGCCTTTTCTGCTAAAAAGCCCATTGTTAACCTTTCTTCCTTTCAAGTGTTTGTGTAGCTTATTATACTTCCACGACAATAATGTAGACGTATATCTGGAAAATCTGGAAATGACAGCAGAAGGTAGAAAAACAAAAGGAAAATCAGGGCTACTCCCATCCCCCAAGGTGACCACTGTGGTTATCGGGCTTTTTGCGGGGGGTGGGGGGGGCGTCGGTTTGCAGCCGAAGATAGAATTCACACTCTATACCACTCACCTGCTTAAAGTGTACAACTCAGTGGCTTTTAATCTAGTCCATGTTGTGCAAACATCACACGATCACCTGTAGAATGTTTTCATCACCCCAGAAAGAAACCTCGTAACCTTTAGCTGTCACTCCTTAATCCCCCGACCGCCCAGCGCCCCGGCAGCCACTAATTTACTTTCCAACTTTGTGGATTTGCAGACTCTGCGAGTTTCACATTAATGGAACCCAACAGTCTTTGGGGACTGGCTTCTTCCAGTCGGAACAATGCTTTCCCGCGTGTTCTCGTGACTGTCAACACCTCATTCCCACTGTGTTAGGATGATATGCTCTGTCCAGACTTCACTTTCTCCACAACTTAGGGGTAAGAGGGAGATGGGAGACTGCATTCAGCTAATCATCCGATAACGAAATTTTTGATGCTGCATTTTTCACTCGACATAAACATTTTATTCAGTCCTCTCACAAATGCTCTGACCTTAATGGTCATGGCTACATCATATTCCGTTCCACGTAGGTACAGACACTTGCTCAGACACCTCTCTGGGGTCACACGTGGTAAGCCTCTGTGTTTATTTCGTGCTTCCCAAGAGCGGCATTTAAATTTATGTTCCTTCCTCATGCTTGCCATTCAGTTTCTACTTTATTAAATTCAGCTTTCTGTTTCCTCTTGGCTTAACCTGTTGTACTTTTTCAAAACTTCTTAAAAGGATTACTTTATTCTCATTCTTATTTTTCCACCTCCTTTAATAATGAAACTATTTCGGGCTATGATATCTTCCTCTGGACACCTCTCTTGCTATGGCTTTGCAGGTTTCATATAAAGTGTTTTCCTTCTCATTTATTTTGTTTTTTAAAAAAAAATTTTTTTAATGTTTTTTTGTTTATTTCTGAGAGAGAGACAGCGTGAACAGGGGAGGGTCAGGGAGAGGGAGACACAGAATCTGAAACAGGCTCCAGGCTCTGAGCTGTGAGCACAGAGCCCGACGCGGGGCCCAAACCACGAACTGCAAGATCATGACCTGAGCTGAAGTCGGACGCTTAACCACTGAGCCACCCAGGCACCCCTCTTCTCATTTCTTTTTAGACGGCTTACAATCTCCCTTTTGATTCCCTCCTTGATCAGATAATTATCTATGTTAATTTCTAAATAGTCGTGATTTGGGGGAGGATGCTAGCCTTATATTATTTATTTGTCATTTTTATAGGGTTGTAATCATGACTGTGGCCTTTAAAAATGTTATAGCTTTCTTTTCTTTTTTTTAATGTTTATTTTTTAGAGAGAGTGAGTGGGGGAGAGGCAGAGAGAAAGGGAAACAGAATCTGAAGCAGGCTCCACACTATCAGCACAGAGCCCAATGCAGGGCTCGAACTCACGAACCGCGAGATCATGACCTGAGTTGAAGTCTAAACCAACTGAGCCATCCAGGCGCCGCTACAGGTTTCTTTCTGATAGATACCTGATGGATTTTTATAAATAGCCTACAACTATGAGAAGAGAGACGTATACCCTCTCTTGAAGGGAGGAAAGGGGGTAGATCACTCCGTTCTTTTTTATCCTTAACGTATTTCTTATCTACTATACTGTGGATTTCCAAAGTAGCACCTGACGTAAAAAAGAGCACAAGATGCCAACGTGATCACAGGGCAGTAGCTCCTACTTCCTTACAGGGATGTGACCCTCGACAGGAGACCAGCCTCTCGAGCCAGGCACAGCCTCACCCACCCCTCTGACTTAAGACACACGTAAGAAATTCTCCCTTGTTTGGGCGGTGGAGCCATTTCACGATGGGGCCGCTGGTGCTCTCTGAGGGCTCTGGTTTCCCTCCTGAAGGTAAAAGGGGCCAAGGAGTCACACTGGCTTTCTGCCTCTCTTGTAAGGAAGGTCCAACTAATAGTAAATAAAAACCACAAAACACTTCTTGCTTGTAGCAATGATCCCTGACCAACAGGGTCCCTTGGTCAGTCCCGGCTTCCAGCCTGGAAAGATGAGCTATCGGAAGGGCTGCCCCAGGAATTAGCCCAACACAGAGAAGGCACTCCAGGGAGAGAAGGAGCTCAGCTGCAGAGCCCCCGAAGAGCCCAAGAGGCTGGGTCAGAAGGGGCCCCGGAATCCTCGTTGTCTGCCTTCTTCCTTGACCCGATGCATTTATACCTCGAGACACAAATGAGGGGTTACTGGCCACATCTGGGGACACTTGCATTATGTTCGATTCAGGGTGGTCTGCTTAAAGTTGACGCCAATTAGTAACATCACAAACGCCTCCTGTGTCTATAGATCTTTGTCTGAAGAGCTTAAGGCACACAGAAAGGGGCTTTGAGCCCAGCCCTTTTTACGTGGCATCTCGACAGAATCATGCTCAGTGATCAAAAGAGCGGGATGAGGCGCCCATACCCCACCCTCCCAAGGCCCTGTTCTGCTCACCTGACAGCTGACTGGCACTCCCAGCCCAGAGGATCCCGGCAGCTATAGCAGCTCAATGCCTAATATGGACGGAGCCACAAAGAGGAAGAAAAAGAACATTCATTGTCCTGCTACTGTGTACTGACCATGCTCCCTTGCTTACTAACATGTCTGGTGGCCAGGGGAGCGATACTGTGAAGCCCATTCTAAAGATGACAGATTTGGGGCACCTGGGTGGCTCAGTCGGCTGGGTGCCTGACTTCAGCTGGGGTCACGATCTCACTGCTGTGGGTTCGAGCCCCGCGTCAGGCTCTGTGCTGACAGCTCGGAGCCTGGAGCCTGCTGCGGATTCTGGCTCCACCTCTCTGCTCCTGCCCTGCTCACTCTCTGTCTGTCTCTCAAATATAAAATAAGATATAAAAAATTTTTTAATTAAGATGACCAATTCAAGTCTTGGAGACAATAAGTAACCTGAAGGAACTCTTGTTCAAAGAAGAGAATTGGGGTACGTTGGGGGCGAAGGAGCAGGGAAACGGCGGAGGGAGGGGAGAAACCCGAAAGGAACAAGGAACAGCTGCACAGGAAAGTTTTCACGCTCAGAGAAATGGAAACGTACAGCCCTACGCAAACATCGAAGCTTTAATCTACAAGCAAATAGAGAGGATGCACCCCACGCCCTGTGCAATTAATGATGCATCAAATCCTAAGAAGGAAACGCGGCAAATACGGATGGAGAAGGAACACGGAGAATCGCATGAAAGTTGTGCGGCCCTTCTGTCAGTCTGCGGGGGACCACCGCCCACCGATTCGGGGACTCCCCAGGCCAGAGCTCCGGCTCACAGACAAAACCACGCGCCAGGCGAGGGGCGCTGGGAGGGGGGCACTCAGCGGGCTGAGGTGGGGGCGCCGCTGGGGCTGTCTGACCTGTTAGGACCCGGCCGTCATCAGACGGGGAGCTGGACGGCCTAGCTCAGGGTCAAACACAGAAGCTGAGACACAACCTTCGCCGTCACGCGCAAGAGCCTGGCCGGGGTAGAATGGGAAGGGCGCGCGTGACCCCGGGCAAAGCGTTTGCCTCCCTGGGCCTCGGTAGTTCTCATCTGTAGAATGGGCACTCTGAAGCACCGACTGGTCACTATGGAGAGCAGGAGGGGCAGAGAGTGCGGAAAGTGCCGAGCATAGCACCTGGCAGTCAGTGCTAGATCCGAAGATTCACCTGAGAAGAATTTCAGATCGCAAATGGCCAGTGAGAAACGATGTGTAAGGCGTTGAGGGGGAAACCAGGGAGAACTTGGGCCAAGGGGCCGGTACTCAAAGTAGGCCAGAAAGGAAGAGGAGGGCGTTTTGGTCGGGCAGATTTGGCAGGACACATAATAAAGGGACGAGAGTGTGCAGGGAAATGAAAGCCCCCTGAAGACAGACAGAAAAAGGAGTTGATCTTACAAGTAGTAAATGGTTCATAAGACAGCACTGGGCTGGAGTAAAAGCAAAACTGAGGGTGGAAATCAGACATTGTTTTACTAGATACCAGCCAGTCCCTGAAGCTTCAGAGCTAGGCATTTACGGTGATGGAAGTCGTGTTTTAGGCAGGTCAGTCAGACAGATAGATGTTTGGGATAAAACTAGAGGCCCTGGTAGGTGCAGTTTCTTTTTTTCTTTTTTTCAAAAAATTTTTTTAATGTTTATTTATTTTCAAGAGACAAGAGTGTGAGCAGGGGAGGGGCAGAGAGAGAGAGACAGAATCTGAGGCAGGCTCCAGGCTCTGAGCTGCCAGCACAGAGCCCGATGCGGGGCTCGAACTCATGAGCTGTGAGATCATGACCTGAGCTGAAGTCAGACACTTAACAGGC